TAAAAACCCTTAAATTTACTTTATAAATAAACTTTAATTTCTTAGCTTTTAATATAAATTATTATATTAAATAAGCTTTATTTATAACTTTTTAACTCTAATTACTTAATTATAATTTATAACCTATTATTAATATAATAATTAACTGCTTAAATTAATTACTTTAGTTATTTTACTAATATAAACTATAACTAGTTTATCCCTTAGGAACCTTAGCCGTTACAATTTATCGTGGCCAGAATAGCACCCTGTAATTATATAAAGTAATACGTCTTGTGATACTAACAGGAGACTGTAGTTCTCACAAACGGGATAGCAAGCTTATCAGCAAAAACGTCTTTGTTATTCATTTTTATTAAAACCCAGTCCTAGATATCCTTCATGTACATATTCTCCATCCACTCATCAGTCGTGAGGTATGAGAGCCGGGAATTCATAGCTTTCACATTATCACTTCAAGATGTTTTCTTGTCATTGCCGTAGGCTCTGGTGGCATAGCTGCCCTTGTGAACAATCAAGTCCTCGGGACGGTAGTCATGCTTGCCGCTCAAGTAGCTTTGAAGAATAGCCTTGGTACCCTCGGCATAGCGCTTCTGAGCATCAAGCGAAGTTCCAGACATGTGGGGGACCATGGCGTTGCCACCTCCAAACGGGTTCTTGGCGGTTCGCAGTGGGTGGTTCGGGGCGGCGGGCTGAGGGTACCACACATCACCGCCGTAACCGGCTAGGTGGCCAGACTCGAGGGCCGCGGCGACGTCTTTTGCCACAATAATACCGCCACGGGCAGTGTTGATGAGGTATGAGCCTATAATTGTTAGGTTAGCATACGTAGACGGCCTCAAGCAAAAATTTGGACGACTTGCCAGGCTTCATCTTGGCAATGTTGTCCTTATTAAACAGGTCTTCTGTCTCACTATGCAAAGGGCAGTTGATAGTAAGAACGTCACACCGTTCTAGCAAATCATCAAAGCTCACAAGCTCACAGCCGAGTTCTTCCGCCTTCTCAGTGCTCAGAGGCTGGTAGTCGTGGTAAAGGAGCTTGCAGTTAAACGGTTTGAGTCGTCGCAAAACGCGCTCGCCGATACGACCGACACCAAGGGTACCAACGACCTTGTTCTCCAGGTCATATTCCTGCTTGGCGACGGCCGCAACATCCCAGTCACCTCGCTCCACCTGCTCGTGGGCGGGGACAAAGTTTCGAATCAATACCAAGATGGTCATAACAACGTGCTCAGCAACAGAGACGACATTACTGCCAGTGACTTCGGCGACCGTAATACCGCCATTAGTCTTGTTGGCAAGGTCAAGGTCGACGTGGTCTGAGCCGATACCCGCAGTGATAGCGAGCTTCAGCTTCTTAGCCTTGGGAAGGCGATCTTTTTTCAGGTAGCCAGGGTGGAAGCTGACCATTGTCAACAAAGTTGTCCTGACGAATGAAATTGTAGGAGACCTACGGCGTGGTAATGATAACTTCGGCATCTACAAGTTCCTGCTCGAACTTGGAATCGACACCCTCCTTGTCTGATGTGGTGACGAGAGTGTGGCCCTGGTCCTCGAGCCATTTCCTAAGGCCAAGTTCATTCTCAGTCGTACCAAGAAGTTCAGGAACCTAGCGATTGAGAGAAAACCAGATGCGCGTTAGCGTTGCACTAGAAGGGATAGGTAAGTACCAGACGGCCACGACTCGACGATCCCAGCTCCGTGTTCCCCGCAGTTCCATACTACGTCCCCGCGTTTTGGGCTGAAAAGGGCCAAAACGGGAAACTCGGGACAGAAGGTGTGGAGTCTGGACCACTGCGACAATCGCGTGCGCCATCATTGAGCCGGCCAATTGCTTCACAACATGAAATGACGTCCCATTTCAGGCGCGAGAGTCAATGAATACACAAAAAGCAAAAGAAATCAACTTACATCCTTGGCGTGCTGGCCGCCGTCGTAGGTACAGAGGAGAACTTTGACCTTTTCACGCGCGGTTGTCAGCGCACGCATCGATGATGGCAGGAAGCGTGGCTTCGCAGAAGACAGAGGTGACGTAGACAGCTTGTTGGCGAAACCGGCAGCTCGAAGTGAAGCAGGACGAGCTGAGGCAGCGGAACAAGTTGAAAAGAGGGCAGCTCGGGAAGCGATAGGGAGAGAACGGGACAAGGGGCGTAAAGATACCATTTTTGATGTGTTTGGTGTACGATCTGTTTCCTATGTGGTGTTTGAGACGTCCGTCGTCAATCGATTCTGGGCTCGCTCGTGAATCCTAGAGAACAGAGTTTTGGGAGGGAGGGAGGAAAGTCAGAGGAGGTGGTGCGACAGCGCGAGGCCAGGTTGTTATACGTGTGGTAAGTGAGAACGGAAGCTCCTCGTTCGTCGTAAGCTCAGACTGGCTGGATTGAATACGTATCAGCAAGTGCAAGTAGAATTCGTGTGTCATCGGTTTCCTCCAAGATGCCGAGATGGCGAGCGGCTGGTCCGTATTTATGTGAAGCTGAGCTGCCTCTGATACATATCGTCACCCCTTTCATGATTCCATCCCATGCAACCCGTTCCGCGCTTTGTTTAACCCCTCTCCGGCTTGCTTCTCGGCGTGATCATCTGCCTTAGTCGTATGTACGAAGGACATGTACAAGCTCTCCGATTGCTCCTCCCGATCGCCGCCCCGTCTGTCCGGTGATGTCTACTCCACAGTTGTCTGGAAGTGTCTCGCAGAGAGCTCGGCGTTGCGGTTTATATGACTTCATTGGTGACTTGAAGCTTTGTTGCGGGGTAATGGAACAACTCATTTGGCCTAGCGAGCATGGGGGACTGGTAACCACGGTAGCAAAAGCTCCCGTGGCTACGCGGCCGGCCGCTTTTGCTGCCCAGCTAGCCCAATGGATTCCGTGGTCGATGTCTGTTGCAAGATGAAGCGCTGGTGGTGGGAGGTATCTCGGGGTTCGGGATTTGATGGCTTGATGGATGGAACCATGATGGATGCATTTGACGGGTCATGGAGAAGATGTGAGGAGGAAGTTGCCCGCAAAGTGCATATAAGTGGGACTGTCAAGCTGGCATTGGCCCCAGCCTGTTTGAACTGAACGTGTGAGAAGCGGGGTCGATGAAGCTTCGGCATCAGGAAGGTACGACCACGACCCTCACCACACAACACTTGGCATGGCATGCTCAAAGCACCATGGGTCAGCCACTGGCGGGAAGGATATGGACCATGACTTGGTGACATGAGCAGTTCAACTGATGGCACTCGGCGTTGTCGCGGCTGATCTCAACTCTGGCTTGAAGTTTTCTTGACAGGCTGTTTGCGGTTCCTTCATGGCTCTTCCTGTCACCACATGCAACGCCCTGTTTGGGCTGGTTGCTCCCTTGGATCTGGGCTGGAGCTAACAAAAGCCACTTGCCTTGGGGGGTTCAATCGCCCGCTCCACTGCCCCTGATGACTGCTGGAGGCGCTGCAAAGAGGGTATGTCTGGTGAGAATACCCTGCACCATCGAGAGCCATCGACAGCCAACCCATTATGGACGGAGTCCTTGTCTCTAATGGTTCCTGGAGAGAGGTGTTGAGTGCACTTTTACGTCGCACCAGGACCTGTCGAATTGGATCTTATCCGGAATGATGCCAAAATGAGGCCTTTCCCGGCACACTTTCGGAAACATCATTGGCTCTTGGGGACTTGCGGACTTGGGGTTTGAAGATGGCCCATTTGTTTGCTATGTGCAACAATAAATGGATATCAGGGCGCGAATTTGATGGCTGCTACTCCGTAGTCGAGTGAGAACCCGAGTTTTGTCCAGCTTCGGAGCAAAGCTGTCTGGGGCAGGGGAGGACTGGCATCAAATGGACGGGAACATATGTCGCCGCGTTGTCCCATTTCTAATCATATATACGGGGCTGCCATCATCGTCAGTATCAACGCCGAGAAAATTGCACTGCAAAAGGACCAACGTGGTGGTCTCTGGCCTTTACGCCGCACATCCCGTCAGCATCCATGAGCGCTTCCTGAGACACATCTCTCATTGACCTGCATGGGAGTGTGCCTCAGCAGCCTGGCTGTGAGCTTCCCATCCCATCGACACGTCGATCAGTGACTACGTATTGATCATCTGTCGTTTCTTCTCCCCCCCTGGGTGAAGTGGCCCTGCTTTTTAGGGCTGGTATCCTTGCTTTCTCCCACGTGGCATTCTTATTTTGAGGACATCACGAAACTGGGTTTGCATTGATGCCCTCATCTCAGATATTAGAAGTCTACGCACGCAACTTGTTTATGAATTCGATCAAGATTGTGGCAGACATGTCGAAGGCAGAGGCTCAGAAGGCAGAGGCTCAGGCAGGACTCTGAGGACCGAGGATTCAGAATGATGGCTGAGATCAACACAATCAACTGTCAAGCCCTTCTTCTTGAGTTAATTGGGCCCAAAGGGCGCGACTTTTCAACAGGCTGAATTGCATCGAAAAACCAAATATTCTCCGCAACAAATTCTCCTTGGGGAATTTTTGTGCGGCCCGCCCTACGCCCCAAAGGCCACTCTCACCATGTTGTCATGCTATACTTGCGACAAGATGGCTCGTTCATCTAACATGGCCATTATCAGCTGCTTTTGTCTGTTTCCCCAATCGTCTCGTTTGCCCCTCTTTGGGCGTTATCGACTCTCGCCGCCACCTCGCCGCTTGACTTTAGAACGGCATTAGACCGTTGGACTGCCCCCCTTTATGTCAGTTGACGGAGCTATCAGTCTGGACCCTCTTCAATTGATGCCCATATTTCCCCTGATAGGACCTCTCATTGGTTGCTAAGCCTGATCGAGAATCTCCTGCAGCCTTTAGACGCATATGCCAGTTTTTTGAGACGATGGACGCCCGTGACAGGTGGTTAGTGTCCGATGGTCGACGCCGAGTACTCGTGGCGTTGCTAACGACGTGACACATTCCCATGGTTTGCTCGTTATTGTATGGGTATAACAGGGACATGGTATGCATGTAAGACTATTCGTCTTGTGCCTGAATCGATTAAAAAGATGCGTCCGAGCGCACGAGGTGTTACACAGATCGACCAAGCTCCAACTAGGGCCCGAGTGATGTACATTGCAAGTGGTAGCGGAAGCGGGCACGGCACGGATATCGTGATAAGCAAAATGGAAGCTCCTCTGATTCTGGCCAATTGCAATTTGTTACGAGCCATCGATAAACGGGATCCCGGCCTTGTCAATCCGCCGCCAGAAAGCCACCATGAGGGGTATCAAAGGCCAAATTCCCCGAGCGGTTGAGATGTGGCTGGCCGTCTTGCGCATCATCTGCCAAACCAAAAGACTTTGGCTCCTCTCTGGATATCTGTGGAACAAGTTGCTGTTGGCTGCCATGACATGAAGCGGGGTCTTTCAAGTCGAGAATTAGGACGACGGGCAACGAAGATTTTGTACAAACTAGCAATGTCGCCATGATTTTTTGGTGCCATGTTGTCCCATTTCTCGGAAACCCTGGCTGCAGAGGAAACTACCGCCGTTATTTATGAAGATGGAGATCCATGCTGCCTGGCAGGGCTGATTCTGTAGTTCCTGCAACCTCTCACCTCCTTGCTATACACTGATAAGCACTATATATCTAACTGTAAAAAAGCATACATTTACGGGGTCTTGTTAAAACAGCGTTTTGCGCCCAACTTTACACTCATTTCCTTTGACCACTTTTTATTCATTTTGATTCAGGCATTCCCGGCGGGCGTTTCTTTTCACCATGGAGTCTATTTGCACTGAGCATCAACCAAATCACTTCTTTATGGGGGCTGTCGAATACCCGTTCTGGGAGCAAGGGCAACCGTGGGAGGGATATATTGAGCCACGACAACCCGTATTTTCTGACCCGTTTGAAGGCGCTTCTCCTGAATCTTCCTTTGATGGAGCTATGGCCTGGACCGACACCTGTGAGCAGCTGTACTATATGCGAAGCTCAGTGTCACCTACGACACTCTCGCCTCCTGTGGCAGCACCCGAGTTAGTCAACCCGAAAGCAACTGAAACTATTCAGACTCAACCACCGGAAACATCAACTGTGGCCAAAAACCCAGGCACAAGCACAAAACGAAAGCGAAGACAACCTCAAAGCGTTGCAAAGTCAACTCATGCCGGCGACTCAAGACTAAAACGGCCTTTTCTCTCCCGCTCAACTTCCTTCTCCTCGTCCACCGTCGACCCCCTTTCGCACAGTAAGGACGACAAGGCCAAGAATAAAGAGGACATGTACCTAGAGCGCAGCCGGGTTGCATCCAACAGGTTTCGAGAACGCAAGCGCAACGAAATCGCCCAGCTTGAGTCAGAAGAATACACCATAGAAGACGCAAACCGTCAGCTGCGCAGCATTCTTGACGCACTGACGAGTGAGATACTCTCCCTCAAGATGCAGCTGCTTCAGCACACAAACTGCAATTGCGAACTGATTCAAGCCTACATTAACAAGGAAGCACGTCATTTCGTCAAGAGTCTACAGGGAGTTGCCAAGGGGTAGAGAAGAGTTGGGGGTGACGACACTTGCGTTTTGTATTGTTCGTCCTTTTTTCCAGCACTCATAGCAGTTGACCAGCGCAACGGGGCGTACGATAAGAAGTGTACATTGATGTATTTTATCGACAATTGTAAAATTGAAGAAACAGAAACACACACACACACACAAACAAAAAAGGAAGAAATATGGCCCAACTTGAAACAATCACTAGTAAGGAGGTCACTAGGAACGCCCAGACTACCAGCCTCGCGGCGAGATAGCCTCACGGCAAAAGGGCGCAACGGGAGCAGAGGCGAGGACGGGCCATGGATTCGCCGTACATTCAACTAAAAAGCGAATTAATAGTCCTATCTGTATTTATGGTACAATTTACTAAAGCTGGTTCGATGCCATCATTTTATTTCAGCACTGTTCTTGTTCCTCCAACCCCTCCATGCTGGATATTATAAACGAGCTCTCATATGACTCGTTCTTCCCATGTGATTCATGCGGGTTGTGCCGTATTAAGACGCCACAGGTATTACATTATTAACGGCATCCATTATCGAGACGGCTTCCCTGACTGCGTTTCGGGCAAGATGCATATCGGGCCCGTCGGCTCCATCAGAAAACCTACCCCCCTCCTCCCTCAAGCGGCAACGTGCGGCATAGGATCGTGCCGGATCTCCTTCGATCCAGGCGTCGGCAGCGTGCCATCGCTCGCCTCGCTCGCAGTGCTGCGGTGGTTCTTCTGGTGGTGCTGCTGGGTGGACGTCGCGGTGCCAACGGGGGGCAGCGCCTTCTCGACGTCGTCGTCGTCGTCGTCCTGGCCCGGGTTGGCGCTCTGGTACTCGAGCCACTTGAGGATCTTGTAGACGGCAAAGGCGAGGAGGGAGCCCATCAGTGGGCCGACCCAGTAGATGTAGTGGTAGCCGACGAAGCCCTGGATGCAGGCGGGGCCGAAGGATCGCGCAGGGTTGATGGAAGTGCCGGTGTAGTTGACGCCGACGATGTGGGCGATGAAGACGGCGATGCCAATGCCAATGGGCGCGAGGTACGTGGCCTTGTGCTTCTCCACGGCGAGGAAGTACACCGTCAGCACGAGCTGCGCGGTGAGGAACATTTCCAGGAAGACGCCCTGGACCTTGGAGGTTCCGTTGCTGAGAGAGTTGGCCACGGTGAGCGGTCCCGGGAGCAGTCCGTCCACGACGGCGGCGGCGGCGATGGCGGCAACAAGTTGGGTAGGGATGATGAGGATGCCTCGGAGGGGCTTGACGGCACCGACTAGCATCAGACCGAGGGTGACCTGTGAAGCAATGAGTACACACGCACACAAGTTGGACAAGACACCAGTGTCCCGACGGCGGCAGGGTTGACGACTTACAGCAGGGTTAAACATGCCACCCGTCACGCGGTAAAACACCCACACGTTGACGGCAATGGCCGTACCGAAAGCGCAGGCAATGTAGAGGAGAGTAGCCGGGGCCATAGGGCCGTCGGGGATATTTGGCTGGTTGTTGTTGATGGCTGTCTGGGCCCCGGCAAACGACAGCATGAGAAACATAAAGGTGCCGCAAAACTCGCCAAAAATCACAACCAACAGGTTGCGCACCGAGTCTCCAAACATGTGCTTGCGAGGCCCTGACTCCTGGGAGCTGCTCCCCCGGGAGTTGAACACGTTGCGTAGCGTCATGGCGAGAGATGAAAGAAGAAGATGATGATGTTGCGAGCGAAACGTCGGCGTGGTGGAAAACGAGTGCTGGGTGCCGATGCCGATACTTACGCCAGAAGCCAAGGGCAAGAGAGACGTTGACAAGAAGCTTTGAGGGCAAGCTTCTGAGCCGTCTGCGTATTTATGTTTTCAAAAGGTTTTCGAGCGGCGATTCAGGGTGGGTATTGCTCCCCGTCGTCGTAGCACCGAGACGATCACGGATTCAGAAAGCGTCATGAAAATCTCGGCACGAGTCACATCTTGCTCCGTGTTCAGCAGCAATCAACTCTGGTCCGTGATATGCTCTCCAGTCCGTGGGTCAAACTCTCTTCCCGAGGGAGAGGAGGAGTGTGGCTAGTCAGCGGCGCAGGAAGGAAAAAAAAGGAGGCTTGCTGTAACTCGCCAATGCTGAAGAGCGGAGTCGTGCAAAGGGAATCCCGTGGCTCTCCTCACTTGCAGGCAGTCTTGAAGGACCGGATGGCACTGGTGTGATTTATAAATGCAGATGTCGTGTGACTATCATGCCTCCTCATGTGAATAGCTTCGTGGGCAGGGGGGCAGGGTGATGTTGCTCGACAAAGGCTTCAGTCTATGACGCTCACTTCTTTCAAGGCATCTATCTCTTTCCATGTTGAATACAAGGTATATACATGTACATACAACACACAGCCAAGACTTGTCCCACGGTTGTCTTGTACATGCAAACCGTGGAAGCCGGCTCCCAGCGCCGGAAAGTCCGGACAGCACGGCTCAGTGGCAGGTCCATCTCTCAGCTAATCAACGGGACAGGAAGAGGAGCCAGGCAACAAGAAGAGGAATAAAAATAAATAAAAATAAAAACTCAGACTTGTTTAGGAGTCTGTGGCAGCAAAGTTTTCACGAGGACGAGTGGCTTGGGCGGGAAAGACGAGGCACTGGGAGGCGTTGGATTAGTGTCGTCGATGCGCAGACACATGCACAATTGTGTGTCCTACATGTACGGAGTATGTATGTGCATACATATGTCGATATAGTACCAGACATGTGCATGTAGTATGCAGCAGAACAACGGTGCCCCCACCATCTCAACATGGATATTGTAAGTTACATGGTACGGCGTAAGTCGCAACGTCTTAACGTCTGTCTGTTTTCGGCCAAGCGCTTGTACGTGCGGATTATGCCATGCGGCCCCGCAAAGGGTCCTCGTCATGCAAGAAACACATGCCGCCAAGGCCTCATGGGTGCCATGCTGCGCTGAAAAGTTGGCAGACGGCTGTGGGAAACGCGGCCGGGTCTAGACCGTTGCAGGTCCCCCTCGACCAATGGGCGAGTCAGCTTTTGTTTGGCCTTCAGCTTCCTACGTAAGGGGGCTGAAACTAACAAGCTCGTAAACCTAGATGGAATGGGGTGAGCGTGGGGATCCTGGGCCAATCAGGCGGCGCATGGCCGCAGAGTTTGGAGAGGACGGCGGCGCGGCCAATTGGGTCACGGTCCGACGAGCTCTTCCATCGTCGACGGCGCGCGTATGAGCTCCACCGGATCGGACTGTGGCTTGTTGCTCTTGTTGCCTTTGCCTCATTCGGCGCCAAGTCGTTCGTGCGGCTAGCATTCGAGATCCCTGCATTCCAGCGGGCTCTAAGAACCTGCTACGGAGTACACCGTGGCTCGTTGCTGGTGAGGTTATTGCCATGTGCCTGTCTGTGGGCGTATGATGCTCGACGCAATATACATGGTCTGACGAGGCCGTCGACTTATACCACCGACACCCACCAACCACCTGCCTGGGTAGTCACCACTCTTCACCGACATGACGATATCCAGGATGCAAATACAGAAATAGTCATGGATTGATTGTCACTGTGCCCGGCTTGCTATGGTGGGAGGACTGCCTCCCCAGTGGCTGGCAACCGCGTATTGCCCAAGGTTGTACGCTATGTAAGCTTCAAGCCACATATCGTTCGGCTGTGAACGGAGCCGCAGCTGCAATCTAAAGCCGTTTCTAGTTGCCGGCAGAGGCGGGAAGCATTGGCCATTGTCCTCGGTATCATGGAGGCGAGTCAATAAGGTTAAGATGCCGCACAGAGCTGCTTCAACGAAAAACAAGGGGGGGGGGAGGGGGGGTCCAAGCCGGCCAAGCCAAATCCTGCAAGATACGAAAAGAAAAGTCTGTGGTTCCAACCCGAGTTTATGAAGCACCGCCTTGCTTGTGGTACGGGAACCACCAAAAGGCCGTCCTCATCCATGGTTCTGACCAGGGGCCCTGCAGCAACGTTGATATCATCTTCCCCCCGGCCCGAACCCTTGCGCAATGTGTTTCAGATATGGAATTTGCTCTTTGTTAGCACGTCGTTTTATATACTACTACTACTACTCCGTACAGGTTTTTATTATTGTTATTCCCCCGTGCGTCCGCGCCTCTACGACTCTTGTTGTGCGACGCCACTTCGTGTAGTAGAATGAGCCTCACACTGCATGTCTGGGCACAGCACACCGAGTATCAACCAAGAACGACTGGACGTAGACCCATGAGAGGCGCATATTCACTGCCTTTTACTCCGTACACCGGTCAAGAGACCCAATATGCCAAGAGTTGCGGATGGGCCCTATATGTTCGCATAGCATGATATATTGGGCCACGTTTCCATTGTAGCTGAGGTGCCTCCATAATTCGCCATCAAAAGGTGCTGAGTTGCGCGACAGCATCACCATCGACCCGGTCAATTCGTTCATGCCTCAGGTGAGACTGCCGCCGGGCTCCGATGCAGTCCCGTCGAGACGCACCTTGACGTAGAAAAATCTCTCAAGGTTGCACCGTAAAACTCGCAGAATGGCGTCACTAGGACCTCATTTCTTGGTTTTCAAATACGAAATTGACACCCTGAACAACTTTACACCTTGTTTGGCTTTCCGACACGGCCACGCTGTCATTATTCCGCAACATCAGGCTGGTGTCGGGGAGACATGGACGGTACTCCATCCACGGGGTAGGTCACACCGAGTACAAACAGGGAGAAAAGCTTAAAGGCCTTTTTTTGCGGCCCCCAAAAGCTTGCAATGGGGAGCACGAATGCCGGCATTGGTATCCCGATGTACATATGTAACTACATACACGGCACGCCGGAAGTTTTCCTGCCGGCAGTTTTCACCTAGGTATGCCGTGCAGCTGCTGTAGCTAACGCGCCTACGGTAGCACACGAGGGAACACAAGCACCAGCATTTCCAAGACATTTTCGTAGCTTAAACCGGATTTCTTGTGTGAACATTTGTGTTGTCACACCCCCCCAAGCCGGGGGCGGCTATGGCTGACGAGCTGACGAGCTCTACGGAGTACAAATTGAGGTATACCGAGGCCAAGGGAAGGGCTCTGAGGTGGGGGCCGAATCTGACATGAATCAAACCATTTATTTGACTTTTGTGAGTGGCTCTTGCTTGTATGTACATGCCTTGAGTCCCGAGTGATTTGCCAGGCTGTCTGCTTGGCTCCTCCAAGACGCCTGGCGCTCGTGCTGTTGGAGGCGCTAGACGCGGAAGTTCTGATGATGAGCCTACAGAGTGGTACGAATGTATCGATTGTGAAGGCGGGTAGTCACGTTACGCTGGAGACTCGGCAACACATGGTTGTGATATTGTCACGGTCTATGTGCAAAAGGGCCAAGGGCTAACCCGACGGCTAGTGGATGTGTATTCGCCCAGTGACGGTGATGTCTCGTAAAGCATCATGTTGAAAGATCAGGCGACGCTATTTCCGATGTAAAGCACCGATTACGTGACGTGGTGGTTGTCGACTTTGGCAAACACTATTTACACTGTCGTCATCAGATGGGAGACTGGAGGTCTGCGGTCCAAACCAGCCCACCACTTACAGACACATGAATTCCATTTGCGGACATTTGGTAATGTAGGTTTTATTTCATTTTATCCAATTCGAATTGTGCACTGTTTTCGCCTCTCATCTCGAATGCCGCCGAATAAACGGGCCACAAACTGAACCCAGTTGAGTTGACACAAAAGGCAAACTGAGGTCTATGAGCTTATGTATACAAGGCGTGCCCGCCGCAGATTTTTAGTTTTCGACACCATTTATAATGTCTGGTCTTTCCAGTTGTGCTCATTTGACTCTGACTGATGAGATAGATTTGTGTACAAACTACGCTATTCAGACGTATCGTCATAGGATGGCTCTGGGAAATGGCAAATCCAACGCCAACCAGAGCTGCACCTCACGATGGTTGACTGGGAAATCCACGGCCCACCACCAGAGTGAAATGCCTAGAGACTGTCGGCCGTGCCCTCGCGGCCCGTCGGGACATACAGGATCAAGTGCACATGCATATAAAAAAGCAAGGGTTGTGGGAGGAGCGAAGCCCGCCACAAATTTGGCTGGGTATTCAACAACGCCACCATCATCTCTTATTGCTCCGTCTCCAGGACAACTTTGCACAATGGCTTCGTGGCGTCCTGGACTACCGTCATCAATAGAACAGCAATAAACATCGTCAACTAGACTCATGGCAAGAGTTTATTGTGAGCACTGCCAAGGCCTGCCACGTCGCCGTCTTTCATAATGAAGTCAACATTGTTCCACGCCAGCCACAAGGTGCTGGATTTTGCTACCAGAGATGTGGAGTATGGTGGTTATAAGCGACGAGGCCTCTCGGTCTTTGCCAATATTTCCCAAGCTCTTTTGGCTTGATCATGTTGTACCTTGTCGCCATCACCAGCACCACGAGTCCACGACATATTGGGTATGAACAAGATCATCGGACGAAGCATGTGGTCTGAGGCCTCCGAGTACGAGCGTCTCAAATCACTTGAAAGAGAAGACGATGGCCTCGAAGAGCCTCACGAGCCCGAACGCCGCTCCACCGTCAGGCTACCGAGAAGGGTGTTCATGACGCTCCTGGCCTGCAACGCACTTCTGTTCATCGCATCAGTATACATTCTTTGGGCGGGCACCCTTGGAAAACGCGCGCCCTCAGAGTGGGAATGCGCGCAGACCGTCTCGCCATGGTGTGAGTACACGTTGACGGCGTGAGGCCCGCAGCACCGCTTGCTGACCAGGCGAGCAGCGCCGTTATGGGAGGCAGTCGAGTTCTGGGAAGGCAATTTCGACAACGACTTTGCCCATCCCTCCAAGTATCGCGGCCCGCCGACGCTGGAGCTGCAGAAAACCTGGGATGATCTCTGGGGCGGTAAGCACAGGTCTTTGTAAACTATATACGTGCTCCAACTGAACTGACGCAATTCCAGTCCGCGGCATCGGAGTCGGCAGAGACGATTTGCAAAAGCTCAACAAAACCGACGTCGGTCAGTACATCGAGATCCGGGGAAGCGACCCCGACAACCCAACGTATGGCGCTGCGATAGAGGCCCTGCACCAGCTCCATTGTCTTGTAGGTGACTTTTCATTTCCGGGGCCGGACATTGTCTCGAATACAGCCGCCGGCTTGCGAGACGCATACACGTACGTAGACTTGGGCGTGGGCTGACCGGGACTACTGGCAGAACGTAATACGCCAATATACCTGGCCGCTGGAGATGTATGACAAGTCGTGGGGGAACCTATACCCGTCCGACTTTGAAGACACGGCCACGGCACGGGTACACGTCGACCACTGCATAGAAACCCTTCGACTGAGCTTGATGTGCTATGCCGACGTGACGCCCGCGCTGCTGACGTACGACAAGGAGGCTGGTGGTCGGCGAACCGACTTCAACACCCATCACAAGTGCCGCAACTTTGAAAAGATTATGGATTACATAGACGGACATGGGGTGCAGGTTGATCCTGCGTGAGAGCCGGCTCCTCGTGCGGGACTTTTTGTGGCTGTATACCAAGGAAGACAGAAGGATGGATTAGATGGTGCAGGAGCTGCTTGGTGAGATTTCAAGTTGGCGCGCGTGTTTTGGGTTCCCGAGTCGAGGATTGATAGAATGACGCCTTGGTGCAAGTGAGGGTTTTGGCCGCCATGCATGGGCCGTTTCGACGACGGCATGTGTGCGATGGGCAGGCCATGGATCCGGGCATGTCGTGACGTGTAACGAAACGAAACACTGGCTGTGGCGGGGACTATTCAATGCCAATGCATCTTTGAGCAACACTTGACTCTGCTCTGACTCGGACCAGTTGGCTACTTGGCACAGAGTACGTCTCAAGAAGAGTGTAATTTGGGGCGAGGAGCCTCTTGAGAAGAGGTAACGGAGCTAGATGTAGTCATTTGCATATTGATCAATAATAACTGCGGGTTGATGAACCCTACAGTCAGTCTGACACTCCCGCTTGTATCAGCGATACTCTCCATCGCCATATCCCAGGGCAGGCTTTGCCAATGACGTGAATACAGCTTTCCCCTGAGCACAAGGTTTTGTACGAATGCAAATCGTGGCAATTAGGTTTAGCGAGGGTCTCCTTCGCAATGGGACAATGCAGATAACCAACATTTGCTTGAATCAGTGCAATATCGCCGCCTATAGCCCCATGAAACTCAAACATGATGTCCACGCAGAGGCAGACGGTGACAAGAAAAGCTTTAACTTTTGGGGACCTGGTCTCGAGGGCAATCTATCACCAGAGCAGCCAGACGTGTCCCCTCAAATACGCAACAATCGTTGAATCGACGCTGTAGCTACCAACCAAGGACCTCCCTTCTCCTGATTCTAAACGGCACAGCGCCCTTGACAGCCATTGTGCCCAAACCAAAGCCACGCATGTCCATTTTCAACGAGTCAACATCCACCAGGGGCTCAATGTCAAAGTACGTCACCATGACGGCAGCGGTGTAGATGATGTCACGCTTGGCGAAATGCCGACCCGGGCACTGCCTCTGCCCGCCGCCATACGGGATCCAAGATCCGTCCACGTCCTTGATCCCAAACGAGGCGCCGCCCGCCGATGCCGGGCAACCATCCTCTCTCCGACCCGCGCCCCGCGCCGGACCCGAGCCGCCGGCCTCGCTGCCATCCGCCCTCTTCGGCCCGCTGCCCGGCACGCCCTCGAACCTGAGGAACCTCTCTGCCCAAAACGTATCGAGGGGGTGCCGGCCGCCCTCACCGGCGTTCCACACCGCAGGGTCCATGTGCGCGACCGTCGTGCTCATGAGGACGAGATGGCCGCGCGGCACCACCCACTCCCTGACGTGTAGATTGTCAAAGAGGGGGACGCGCAGCAGGAGCATGTGCACGCGCAGCCGGAGCACCTCGGCGTAGATGGACTGCAGCAGCGGGTTCTCCAGCAGCAGGGCAATGTCGAGCCGTGCCGCCGGCGACCTGGAGTCGCGGCACTTGGCGACCTCGCGCCGCACCCTGCGCAGCAAGTCCTTGTCGCTGGTGATCTCGAGCACGGCCCAGAGGCCGGCGACGACAGAGTTGCGGGTTGACCTGTGCCTTTGTTGGTTATCGAGTCGCTCATCGGGGGTTTGTTTCTCGCTTTCATCAAACTTACGCCCATATGACGCCAAAGTCGGCGGCCGCCATGGCGTCGGCGTCCATGTGGTCCATGTCGGAGAACAGCGCGTGGCGCTGGCGAAACACCCGGCTGCCCCAGAAGGGATCGTCGCCATTTTCGTCGACGGCGTCGTCGTGGAAGTTGAGCTGCGCGTGGCGGCGCCAGTCCTTGACGCAGGCCAGGAGCCGGTCGCGGCGGGCGTAGACCCGGGGTGCGAGGACGCGCGGCGTGCTCCGGAAGAGACAGTCGAGATGGCGGTCCAGCTTCCACAGCTCCTCGAGGAAGTGAGGATGCCGCTGCAGCAGGTAAGGCCCGCAGAGGGCATCTGTGTTGGCGTGGGAGACGTCCGCCTCGAATACTCGCGTCAGGTCCGGCATCTCGGTCCACTCGGCGCCGACGGGGAGCTGCCGGAGCCGCTGCGCCAGATGAATCTCGTATCGGTTCCAGAATGCCCTCATCCCCGGGCCGGATAGAAACTTGATCATGGGCCCGTAGGTGAGGTGGTCGATGCGGTTGCGAGGCTCGACGGGCGTGGCGGCCATGGGCTTGTGCCGATAGCCGGACTTGTCCAGGTCGTAGAGCTGGAGGGCTTCGCCGGACATGCCAAAGACGTTTCCGAGCACGAAGCGGTGCAGCACGGCCATTGTGCACGTCCACGAGTTCTTGAAGACGGCCTTGACCATGTCGGGGCCTTGGGTGAGACACATGTCTGTGTTCATGACGCGGACCCGTACGGGGTGCTCGTGCTGGAACAAACTAGTATATACAATTTTAGATGGCTTCTTTTTTTGAAGAGGAACAATCGGGAATTACATGCTTACCTAGAAGACAGCACCCAGTTCACGGGGTTTCGAGACAGGGCAAACGACAAGGTCGTCACGACCGGCCCAATACTTGGAACCGTATAGGGCCAATACGGAGGCACTTTGGGACCGCCATGCTGCGCTCTTGACTTGAATATCCAGAAAGTCTTGATCCAGCTCGTCAGCAAGTATAATGCGAACAGGATAGAAACCGAGCAGACCAAGTCGCATTGTGCCAGCCGTTCCACGAGCACATGCAGCGTCACAAGAGGGCTTCCAACGACCGATGCATGCGCCATGGCAGATGACATGTCGTTGCCGACTTGGACTTATTCCAAAGTGACTGGACACTTTTACGTCCAGATGTCGCCTGCACAGCAACCCGGCGCGGCGGGAGAGCCAGTCGTTTATCTAGACTTGACCAAACACGATTCGTCCCAAAGCAGCCGACCGCTGGACCGATCAATGGCCCAAATCTACTTGGACAAAGCCGCAGCGCGTTTCAGATCATCCCATGCATATCAACCGACGGCACATGGAAGCCAGCCCATGCACCTACCCTGGCCGCCTTTGCCCCGTGGTCTCACCTTGTCAAGCAACAACCACGGTCACTTGCGTATCGATGTAGGTACAAGGGGACCGGCTCCTGGTCCAACTCTGCCGGATAATGCGCATTGTAGCGCGGCCTAGGAGCCGGATGTAACAGTACGACAACGGCGTCGATGCGCAGACGTGAGAGGGGGAGAAGGGAGTGAACGCCATCGACGCCCTCGTCTGGGCATGACTTTCTCGCGAGGGCTGAATTCGGCCTCTGATCCAATACCTTTGGCCAATTCCAACTTGCTACTCGGCACCAGACCACTTTTTTTACCCCGCGCCGTCGCCAGTCAGAAAGGGCTGGCAGACGGGGGACAATGTGACATCTGACATGGACGTTCTGGAATGAAGCAAGTGACACATCAGCACCCTCATACACCAGTTGACCTGTTTGGAGGGCCGTCGAAGCCTATAAGAACCACACGCGCGTCTGATGGCGCTTCGTGGCGTGCGCTGAAAAAGTTGTCCGGTCGACTGTCCTGTCGACTGGTCCGTCTTATATATGCGCATGTGGCGAAAATAGCATTCTCTATACATGGACCGCGAGGCCAAGGGGATACATACAGTATTGACAAGGACGGCGATGCCCACAGCTGGGCTTGGCCGTGGCGCCCGGTACCTTTGTCCAATGGACCGTTTTTTCAACCATCGAACCGAGGGCCTTCCTTGTCTCAGGAGAGGTGTGATGCCGCACGCGACAGAGGCCGTCTGTTACAGATAGGCACGGGGCATTCTGGCCGTTTTCCCAGCGGCAGCGTATATATATATATATATTCGCCCGGCCCCCCGGGAGCCCATAATGAGCAGGGTATACTCTACAAGACCGGCCAAGAGAATAATATTCAACGCCCATATGTGGACCGCACCTTGTCCCCTTTCAACAGCCACATGGCGCACGGCACAAGGCCAACATGTACAAGGCAGCCCAATCTGCTCCTCCTCTACTTGCCGGCCACCCCTTGCTTCACGTACGCGTCTAGCATCTACCAAAAGCGGACAGCATCAGGACAAATGCTCTCGCCACCGTACGAAGTCCAGATCTTCTGCTCTCGAACGGGAACACCGGTATGGGCGGCATTCACCATCCAGCCCGGCTTGGTGAAGATGCCGACGTGGACGACGCCCGTCTTGCAGTCGCCACCTTTGCCCCAAAAGAGCAGATCGCCGGCTTTGGCTTGCGCGCGAGGAATGTGCTTGCCCAGTTTGGAGGCGTATTGCGCCTGGGCGGTGCGGGCTGGCCGTATTCGATCGACGTTAGCTCTCAAGTTGGAAGAGGAGGTCGCGAGGACCAGGGCCACGCACGAATCTCCTTCTTCTCCGCCTGGTAGACAGAGTACTGGGTGAGACCGGAGCAGTCGAAGCCGCCGTTGGTGGGACCGTGGATGTTGCCACCGCCCCAGACGTAGGGCTTGCCCTTCATCTTGTCGGCTGCGGCGACGATGCCGGGCCCGGTGCGCCTCTCGAGGCCGGATTCCGAGGCCTGGGGGGGGGTGGTTAGTATGTGTGACTTGGGCCGGTGAGAGGCTGGGTTGGGAGTATACCTCGGTAGTTGTGGGCATGGCATAAGCGCCGGCGGCGAGGAAGACGGTAAAGAGAGAGGGCAACTTCATTTTGTGGATGGAGCGCTGTCGACTTGAGTGTTTTTGTTTGTTATATTTGAAACTTGCCTATGCTGAGCGGGCAAGTGACCCTATTTGTAGCTTCTTCACGATCTTGGGCTCATGGTCATGTATCCATTGCGTATTGTTTCTGTAGCTAGATAGGGAGTCTTGTGCCAAAGGATCCGTCCTGTTCAGGGGAAACATGCAGCTGAAATGCAAGTTGGACGATCGATGCTACCTCAGCCGCACAGCAGGTTCATTAGCATCTGCCTTGTGGTGTAGACCTGGGGTAAAATTACTATTTTTACTCACGGGACAACGTTAAGCTCGGGCAAGATTGCCCTTTGGCCCCTGACTGGAAGCTGAATTTGCCCAGTGGCACCCAACTTGTTCAACATTCCAGGCCGCATTGTCAGCGTGCTGTCTTGTGCGTTTATGCCAGAGATAAGACGGGCCAACTTGGTTCCCGTCTTGGGCCAGAGTTTCCATGTACACACACAGGTCGAGTTGAGTCGCGCCCTGAGCTCAGCTATAATTCCGACTTGGTCTCACCGTCGAGGATTTCGTATTTCGTACCCAGCACACCGTCTCGCATCTATTCACAATATTCAATGCTTCTTCTTTGAACTGTTCTCTCGTCCCCACACGACGCCCGCGGAGGCGGCAGAGGCGCTCGGCTCGTCGGGCCACTTCCGGAGCGGGGAGTCTGACATGCCTTCAAGGTCCGATGGGAGCCAGAACAATCACACTTCGTTATCATGCGGTGGCCAGAAACTCGATGACACTATTTTATCGCAAGATAAGCAAGTCATTGCTTCAATTTTTAAAATGATATCGAATCGCCCGCGTATTGAACAAGCACACAAAACCATCAAGGGCAACTCCTTCTATTTATGGCAACATGATGAGTACATACAACAACCGGACTGATGGGCGATTACCAGCGCCGGGGCCGGGGTTCTCTAGTGATCATGTCTGGTACCGAAATTGGGCAAAATTCCAGCCCTGGCTCCAGTCTTTTACTAGCTAACATTTGAAAGTCATCTAATTGACTTGTTAGACCAGACAGTGACAGCACTCCAGCGCCGTCAGCTGCAGGGTTTACTCGATGGAGGCTTCAGCTGAACTCGACCCATGTTAGCCCTGTGCTACGACACTACCTTGCCGAGTTGGAGCCATCGATGTGGTGGTTACCCCGTACATGTCGCCCATTCCGGACACCCGTGCGGGAGTCACTTTCAAACACTTGAGGACAACCGAAGCTAGTATTGTCAGGAGATCATGGCCCTATCTTCGGGAGAAATAGTTGCGGAAACAAGCAACCCCGTCGTCCCGGCTTTGCTTCATCTTTTCTTTTCTCAAGCATCTTGCTCTTGGATCAGCCTATATTCTGGCCTCAATCCACCTCGTCTCATGCGTTGAGACAAACTCCAAATACCACGGTTCCGCCTCCAACATGCTCAATAGTTCGTCAATATGTTTCTCTATTATTGGGTATCAGGCACCTCTTTAGCGCTAGCCATCGGCCCAGAATATCCAACTTCTTCTCCTGTAGATGCTGGGATCATCAACACATCTAACCAAATATCCCTCTATCCCTCTATCCTCGACCACGCCGGTGTCGTCATTTTTTCACCCTCGCACAACACCAATGCAAACCATCATGAAGGCCGGTCCCTCAAAATACCCGCTTCAAGCTGGGCCCAACCCAACTAGCCGCGTCGCATTTCCTGCTCAAACGCCACTGATCGATTCTCTCCGTCTCCCAGCCGGACTTATAATCGATCCACTTCCCCTCAACCTCGTGCGCCTCCTGCGGTCCCCCGTAGTGAATAGCGTGCAAGAGGTGACAAGTGTTCTGGTCTCGTCCTTTCCAAACCCACTGCATACATTCCCCATCCGCCCGGCACAGCTTCTGGCAAGCCTGTGACGAGTCTGCTTGGCGCTCCCCCAAAGGCACGAAACTACCACGGGCCTCGTTGTTCCAATTGTCGCGGGTTGAGTGCTGGCCCGGGCGGTAAAAGTGCCACAGGTCCGCATACATGAGCGGCTGCTGTGCCCAGAATCCGTCAGTCAGGCCAAGAACAGCCTCGAGCATGGCGCGGCGGACTTACCCCGTGTTTTCTGTGTTCAAACTCCCACCGCCACAGCTTGACCATGTCCTGCGTCGCGACCTTGTGCATCGTCACCAGCGGGTGGCACCAGTGGTCGCCGTCGAACGGGAGAGCCGTCAGCAAGTACGGCGTGAAGAGCGGATAGAAGCCCTGCAAGACGATGCCCAGCTCCCAGGCGGCGAAGCCGAGGATACTGTCGCCGCAGCACTCGCCGTCGTGCGCGAGATACCTGAACCTCTCGCTGAACGGCGGGTCGATGAACGCGCCGTTGGGCCCGGCGCGACGGTGAAGCAGCTTCTTCATGGCGCCGCGACTGAGGACGTATCCGGGGCCGCCGTTGGCAAACAGGGTGCCTTGGAGGCGTCTCCCGTCCCGGCGTCCGGGAGAGGCCGATCCCATGTACAGGGGCGTGTCGGGGTCCAGTGTGTCGAGAAAGCGAAACATGTTGTCCCAGAGAATATATCTGGGAATGATTGTTAATGTCACCGCAGTCAGGGACAAGGCGTCGTACTTACGTGTCCGTCTCGTAAAAGACGTAGAATTCCTTGTTCGGCCTCATGGCCCACGCTCTCTCAACCGCCGGCAGGAACTTGAACTTATCCAAGGCCCAGCCATCAATCTTCTTAGCGGCCTCTTTATCTGTTTCCAATGTGCCGTTTTCCTTCATCTCCTTTTGCAGCAGGTACTGCTGGAACTTGGAGGTGTCCGAACCCTTCCGGTACGTATCCGGCAGATAAGCCAAGATGTCGATGACTTTGTGGCCGCGCAGAGTCTCCTCCATATCTGAAAAGATCAACAAGTCGTCTGCGGAGAAGCAGGCGCTCACGCTGTCCAGCTGCGACTCAATCTTGTCTCGGTTCTCGCTGTATCCCATCTTCAGAACGGGCTGGATCCGCGACAGCTTGTGTCTGGGGAAACTGGCGCATAGTTCCTGGGTGCTTCTGTTACCGGGGCTCAGTGACACGGGCTGGAAGTCGCTCGTTGTTGGAAAGCTGTACGTCTTGTTGATCTCGTCGGGTTCCAGCCACAGCTTGTTGGGAGGAAGCTCCGGCACCGGTGCTGGCTCACGACGGCTCCACAGAAAGAGGCTCGTGAGGAAGAACAAGGCCGCCGTCAGCAAGATGTTGCGATTGAGGCGCTTGTTGGTCAGAGGCGACAGGCGCGACCTGTCTGGCTGATTGAAGGGCTTCATGGCCACCACGTCTATTCAGACGGCCAAAGTGGCGACACACAGCCGGCTTTGACGACTCGATGTTGCGGCTGCAGCAGATCAAGGTCAAGTCCCGTCATAATGTGTCGTCACTAGTCAACACGAAGCATCGTGACGGCTTTTTGTGGTGTCGAGGACTTGAGGGAGGGAAGGGGAGAGAAGACTCCAGACCCAGGCAGGCAGAGGGGCGAGAGTTGGCTCGTCAGCTCGCTCTATGGCTGTGCAACCAACCGAGCCCGAATTCACTTGAGATGAAAAAAAAAAAAGTAATACACAGCATGGTCCTTGTGCCCCTTGGCCGGGCTTGCAACAAAGCTCACCCACCTTGGCCTTCAAAGTTGTGGGTATCCGAACTGACGGGTGGCGTTCGGCGGCCCTGGAGACCAGTCCTGACGTCAATATGTCAACTGGTGTGACAGGGATAGGATTCACACAACATTGAAAGCCTCGTTTGCTTCCGGAGCAGATGGGCCGGTAAAGTCTCCGGGCGTTGACACCCTTGGCACCACCAAAGCTCTCTGTCCCGTTGTCAAAATATATTGAAGCCACCCGCGGCCCACCCTGGCCTTGTGCGTTTCTGTTGACCACGAGTCCACGACAGCCAGTTGCTCTGAGAAAGAAAAAAAGCTCATCAGCAAGACGGTCCCTGACGGGGTCCCTTGCTCGGTCATTTCTCGTGACCCGTTCGGGAAGTCGCCGGCTCACCAATTGCGTGGTATGTTGCATGTGGCATCTTGGCATCTTCTTGGCGACCTTGGATCACGCCCAATTCGCGCACGAGATGATGCCAGGTACCAGTTGACATGAACGCGATCCGCCGGCTCCCGTGTCAGACCCAGTGCATAATTTTGGCAAGGCTGAGCAGCCGCCGACTTTAATCGCGGTTTTGCTCCAAAGGACGAAAAACCGATCCGGAAGACTACTAGATGTTGGAGCCAAAGTGCATAAAAAAACGGGCGGTTTGTCTGGCCAACGCCCTGCCGCTTCCGGTCACATATTTGTGGCTTGGGCCGGTCAGCTGCCGGCGCTGGACGTGATTTCCAGTTGATATTACGTGGACGAGCCACATGTGCTCCGTCTAAGTACTCCGTACTCCGTACATAGGATCAAATCCAAGTCTAATTGTAACATTGAAGTTATATGCGCGCTGTAAGCTTACCCTTGCTTCGTGGCTTAGCTATGAAGCGGCCCGCTTTATCGCTAGCTCTTACTGCGTGGCAGAGCTTTGCCTTCCATGTCTGGTTATTTTTTCTTCAATGTTTCTTAAAAACAAAAGTCAACGGTCGCTTACGCAATCGAATAAGTACGCCTCGGACTTCCTTGCTTGTCGGGCCGCATGTTATTGTAGCGCGGATAAGCCTCGACCCAACGTGCCAGGTGACTTCAAATGTTTGATTTGTCCAACTCGGTCGGTCTGATCTCCGACCCTTTTAGAAGCCGCAGCCTCCCGTTCCATCCGAGCCGCGACTTAGAATCGGCCGAGTAGATGAGTCGCCCAGTGCAATTTGTGGCGGCCAGTCTGCAATTTTTCTTTTTCCGGAAGCGGTTCATCGCTCTCTGCTTCTCTCATGTCGCTCAAAAAGACTACCCGCCGCATCGACCATTGATTCATGTAAATTTAGTATATACTCAGCCCTCGCGTCCTGTACGAAGGAGGCTATCCTGTTGTAAAGCAAGTATTCCTCGCCAACGTAGGTCTCGTCGCTGGCACAAAAGACGACCAGGTTTTATCAAAAGAAAAGAGAAATCATCTGGTCGCTTAGATTGTTTCTCTATTGTCTCAAGATCCACCAATCCGAGGCAGAGCTTCATCTTGTAAGCGAATAACCCAATGCATTATACAGAGTAGTACTTGCAAGTGCAACGCTCGCTACAAGGTCCAAAGAAGCTGCCCGAGCTCAACTATTCGCTACAATCAGTCAACGTCACGACGAGAGAGACGAGCCCAAGCAACTGAAAGGCAAAAAGAGAATCGAGTGGTTTCGCCCGGGCTCGAACCGGGGACCTTCTCGGTGTTAGCGAGAAATCATGACCAACTAGACCACGAAACCGATTGTTCTGATTGGATGATGACGAACTGGCAAATAACAGCTTATAAAACTTCAGTGTTTTTTTCCAAGTTGCAAAGTCGAATTGAGCCGAGTTGCCGTGGGATGTTTTTACAGGCAAAATGTCAACTCAGGTATAGTGTATTCTAATTAATGGGTAATTTTCTCATGTAGCGGATTGTTGCTGAATATGCCCTTTCCCCAATACAACGATCGCGCGGGAGCCCGCTCTTGGATTTAGCCGTCTCTTGTGTCACCTCTGTAAGTTGAGCACCTCCTTGCCTCGCAGTGGCATGATTCCGGGTAGGGTTACATTTGCGACGTCAAGATGGCGAGACATGGTCAATCCCATTGCTGAAAATGGGCATATGCTATGAAGCCTCACTAGACGGAAGAATCCTAAATGTAGATTTGCCCTTTGAACACCGTCGCCCCGGCGCTGAATTTCCTAAGCAGCCTTAAACGGACCGAGATGGCTGCCGGAGCTGGGCTACATGCAACATGGAGTTGTGCTGTCTGGTGCATCGATACGAGCTGACGGCGCAGAACAGGCCGGTCGTTGCCCTCGCGTCCGGCAGCTTAGCGCATTTAAAGGGATGCATCAACTCCTGCTGCCGATGCAACGCTCGCCCACGCGCCAACTACTAGCAAGTTGCTCGCCCTCAAGGTGCAACGTTGAAAGTTGTCTGGGGAAGAGACGACGCGGTATGACGACATGTCGGTACTAGTAATCATCTCGTATCTTGTCCCCACATAAACACCAGAGCGCAACCAGGATGCTTGGCACACGACCTAGGCCCTTCTTTTTCAATCGAAAATGGACCTGCCATCTGCTTCACTGTTGGGGGAAAAGGACGCCAAAGGTGGGACAAACCAGGCATCAGACGGCAGATCTGACGATGCCAATTCGGCCGGCACCCAGGTCTGTGCTACGGTGCCATTCGCCTCAGCTTCGTCGGCACTGGAAGCTGTCAACTGGTCCTTGACAATCGGCTCATCGATGCCGCCGTGTCTTTAATCCACCAGTCACAGTGAAGCTGCGTTTGCTTGTGCCACCTCGAGGTTGAGTAGGGTCCGACGAGACTGCTAGCTTCGAATCCTATATAAACCAGCCCAGTATCGATCGACATTGTTTGCATGTCGGTTACCTGGCATCCAGACACACAACCTCAACTCCATCCTCACCTCGCGCAAGAGCATCAATTCGCAAAAAATGCTCATCCCGGCCGCCGCCCTCAGCCTCATCGGCCTCGCCGCCGCCTCTCCCCTTGGCGAGCGACAAGTCGTCCCCAACTATCCGTCAAAATCTACCTCCAAAGGCTTCCACCTGGTGGTTAATGTCACCGATCTTTCCAAGGACTTCGAGTCTCCCGTCCACAACACCTACGCCTCCAGCATCCACGTCGGGGCCGGCCTTGCGCTCGTCGGCCAGAGCGCAAGCACTGGATACGGCCGCATTTTCTACCAGAATGGCACCGTGGATGAGCAGAGGTACAGCCAGTCCAACATTCTCTCCGACAGCGGCACTCCCCCCTTCCCTTCGGGCCTCACGCTTGTCAAGGACCCCAACTCTCAGACCGTTTCGACGGCTCATCTGAACGGCGGCGCTGGACAGTCCGGCATTGGTATCACGCGCTTTCCCGAACCATACGCCTTCTTGGACCCCGAGACGTGGGTTGCCTGCAACGAGAGCCAGCCCTACTACGGGGGCAAGTACTTTGTCATCCTCAAGCAGGCCGAGACGACCATTGGTGACGATGGTTCAATCAACCGAAACATTCCCGACGGCTGCGCCCCTGTGCGCCTGGTTCCCGAATGCACTAAGCTGAACGACCTACCGGCTGGTTCTACCTCCAGCCACGAGTATGCCCTCGACAGCGAGTGTTACCCTGACGTGAAATCTCTGGATTGGACACAGTACGGACCCTAGAGGGGTCAGTGGTCAACGGGAAAGAGTCGGGGGGGCATTATAGAATATGCTACTTGCATTGTCGGATAGCAACGCCATGTATGTAGTACCTTGGATTTATAACTTAATATGTTGACTGGACACGAATAATATTGACGAAATCGATGATTTGCAATGGTACTACATGGTTGGACGTGCTACTGTCTCATCATTGGTGTATTTGATACCAGGATAAACGACGAAATATTGCAAGCCATGGCGTCGTCACACATCAAATCCCTGACTTTTTTCATCCCTGACAGTGACTCGCCTCACCCTCAGCTGGCCAGACTCATCATGCTCAGCATCCCATTGTTCTATGTTGGCAAGCGGCACTTTGACAAGTGTATGTGAGAGAACGCCATCATCTTCAGCATGCGTAACCTCGGCGCGAACGCGATATCCCCTCCACTTGGGGATAGCATACATCCACGCCACATAGTACAATCCACATATAATCATGCTGTATACAACAAGTTAGATATACTCGGGTATTCTCTTGTCGGGTCGATAAAAAACTCACACGCCAATCCCGGCCACGCAGTACGTAGCGTACCAAAAGCTCACATCGCCGGCATACGGCCCTCCCTTGGGTGGCCACCAGGGCATCACCAGGAGGAACACCTGAATCAAGTTGTAAAACACCAAGAGCACGTCCCAAACCCGAAACTGCGATCTCGGCAGCTTGTTGCGGCTTCGCCGCCGCCGAATGATAAAGACACCCAGAGTCATTGCCAAGCCAAACATGGCCTCGGGGTACGTCTTCAAACTCACCACAAACTGAAACGCATCGCCGGCGGGCGGCGCCGCAATCATGACAAACGTCATGAGCCACTTGAGCAGGTAAGGGCCGACCGGTGTGCCAAAGGGCTTCGTCGCCACCCAGAAGTTGGTAAACGGCAGCACGCCCTGTCGGCCGATTTCGCGGATCATGCGAGACTGGCCAACCAGCACAGCCAAGAGGTTGCCATAGGCACTCAGCAGAACGAGCACATTGAGCGCCGTTTCCGCACCGCCCGTGCCGAAGACGGTCGTGAAGAAGACACTGGCCGCGATTTCCTTGGACGTTGCGAACTGGGTCTTGTCCACGGCAGCAAAGTAGGCGACGTTGCAGAGGATGTACAGAACCGCCACGATCAAGACGGAGGCAAAGCCGTGCTTCTTGATGGACGGGATCGGGTTCCTGATCTCGTTGACGACGTTGAAGGCGTTGGAGAAGCCGCTGAACGAGAAGACGATGCTGACCAGCGCGGTGGACAAGTCGTTCCCGTTGGTGGTGGTGCCCTGGAACGCGTTGTCAAAGTTGGCGCCGGGGTTTGGTACGCGGGATACGTGGCCGCCGAGGACGACCAGGCCGGTGATGCTGATGAAGACGAGGGTGAGCACCTTGAGGACGCCGAGTATGTTGACGGCCCACAGGGAATACTTGTTGTGCGCAATGACGCCTGTTGGGATTGATGTTAGCGATGCGGCGGGCAGGGGGCGCGGCGTTTGCCCACGTTGAACGTACAGATGACGGCGAGGGTGTATGCCGCGATGGCGACCCCCTTCATTTGCCAGTCGGACGGGGTTGTGCCCGCGATCCGCCAGACATATCGCGACAGCACGATGGCGTTGCTGCTGCTGAAGGACAGAATGACGGACTGGACGGCGAAGGCGATGGGGAAGAAGTACTTTGGCCGGGGGTATGCCTGCTCCAGGTAGACGACTTCGGATCCGCTGCGATTGGGGAAATAGCTGGCCAGTTCGAGATAGGTCCCGAAGCCGGCAATGGCCATGATGGCGCCAATGGCCCAGTATATCAGGGCCAGGCCGACGGAGCCAGTGGCCTTGAGGATGTTTCCCGCTGCGGCGTGTTAGTGGGATTCTGGGGGAAAGGGGTGACGGGCTGAGCCGGGTGACTGACGCGTTGAGAAGATTCCCGTGCCAATCATCTGGTTGACGTTGAGGAAGATGATGGTGACCCATCCCACGTGGTATCCTAGGGGGGAGTTTCTCTCGACCGGGGCGCCGACGGCTTCTTGGTAGGTGGCCTCGGAGCCATTCCCTCCCTTTACACGAGTGAAGGCGAGGTCTCCGTCGTACACAATGTCCGATGAGCTATCGGATGCGTAAGCGCCGCCGGCAGCGTCGCCCGGGGCCGGGGCCGGAGCCGGAGCCGGAGCCGGCGTTGAGCTGGACGTCTCCCAGAACCGGAGACCCATGGTGTTTTGCGCTTCCACGAGATCGTCCAGGACGATGTGCAGAGCAGGAGATTGTGTAAAACGCGCCCTTTGATGGGCCGGGCTTCGGGACAAAACTACGTTAACTCCCTCCCTTTTAGCCTTTGCTGCCTCCTGCCGCCGAGCTTTTCCTCATTGCATCTCATAATCACGCAAGAGCACCCTTGCACCGGCACCTATCGCGCTCCCAACTACTCGAGTAGACTGCATTGTAGACTTATGCGCATTGCCCGTTTCATATCCAGGACTCTTCTGGACTCAACTGTGTCTACAACCAGGTCCAAGGTGCCATGTCATGCCACCATGGTGACATGCAGCCAAGTCTGGAAGAGCCGGTTATTGGTGGATGCGGCCACGAAGCCGCGTCGACGATCAGTTGCGACATTGCACCATCGCATCTCGCCATTGGAGACGTGTGGATGGACGATCTGGACACTATTAAGTTCTATCCATCTCCAACGGGCGCGCGCCGTGAAAAAAAAAAAACATCGTCTTTGCGCGCTGCAAATCATTGCTGCGGATTACACTTGACACTGTACAATACCGTCGACGCATCGCGGGAAATGGCGACGGCGGCGGCCAACAGAACAGGTCCTCCGGGACAGCCTGACATTGCGTACACGCCGAACTGGGACACATACCAAGAGCGCATCAAGAGACGCCAAGAGACCGAGAAAATCAATGGCACTCTCCCCGACGGGTTTCCGCAAAAGCTAGAGTCCAGCTTGGCATGGACCGGGGCCACCGTCACCGACCAGTACGACTGGTCCTACGAGTTGAACCAGTCTGAGCTGGAGGAGATTCAAGAGGCCCTGGATTACTTCAAGAGTAAGAGCTCAAGTCTGGTAGCAAAAACAAAAGACCCGTGTGCGTTCTCTGACGCAAAGCAGGCCAGAACAAGTCGCTCGGCGAGATCAGCCAACTCACCTTTCCTCTGCCCAAACTCCATCCCCGTCTGCGGTCCATTTCCGCCGACGTGCACAACGGCCACGGGTTCAAGGTCGTCCGAGGCATTCCAATCGACAAGTACAGCAGGGAAGAAAACGTCATCATCTACGCAGGCATCGCCTCCCACGTGGCCACCATCCGCGGGCGGCAGGACCACGAGCACAACGGCCGCCCGGCCGACGTCGTCCTCGCGCACGTCAAGGACCTGTCTACCCACGCAGACGCAAAGAACATCGGGTCGCCCGCGTACACGACCGAGAAGCAGGTGTTCCACACCGACGCAGGCGATGTGATTGCCCTGTTTGCCCTGGCCGCCGCGGACGAGGGCGGCGAGAGCTTCCTGTCCAGCAGCTGGACCGTGTACAACGAGCTGGCTGCCACGAGGCCCGATCTGATCCGGACGCTGGCCGAGCCCTGGGATGTCGATGAGTATGTTGTTCCCCCTTGCCCCTTCTACTGCGGACATGTCAGGGCAGATCAATCCTCAGAGTTTCTCACGCGCTGCAGATTCGGCAAGACTGGCCCCCCGGGATACACGCCCCGGCCGCTCCTGTACCACCAGCCCGCCGGGGAGAAGGGCCCCGAGCGCGTCATTATCCAGTATGCCCGGCGGTCGTTCACGGGCTACTGGGGGCTGCCGCGGAGTGCGGACATCCCGGCCATCACGGAGGCGCAGGCCGAAGCGCTTGATGCGGTGCACTTCACGGCCGAGAAGCACGCGCTGGCTCTCGAGTTTCGCCCCGGCGACATTCAATTCGTCAATAATTTGAGTATTTTCCATGCCAGGGGAGGCTTCCGCGACTCTCTGGAAAAACAGTAGGTGTCCTGTTCTCACTGAAAAGAAAAACATGAACTCGTCCTGACTCTAGTATGCAGACGCCACCTTATCCGCCTGTGGTTGAGAGACGAGGAACTGCACTGGGACACGCCTGCTGCGCTGCAGAGCAGGTGGGACAGGGTGTATGGCAATGTGACTCCTGAGAAGCAAGTGTTTCCTCTGGAGCCGTCGATCCGGTCGGCTTCTTCTGGTGTAAAGGCCAAGCAGGACGCGCTGCCATTGTCGTCTGTGGCCGTTGCTATAAGTGCTTAAGTGTAGCCGTGTTTTGGTATACCATGTAATTATGCCGACATCTCATTCTGCTTATTGAAATGATCTAGCACTCTTGTGATGGAAGGTGGTAGTACCTGCGGTCTTTTGTTTTCATGAACTGTCTGTGATGAATCATGACACCCTGACAAGTTGACCGGATCCTGTGAGCACGCGTAGACGTCTGCGTTCGTTATTGAACTTCACCAGGGAGACTGGCTACATGATAAACGTGCTCTAATCAAAGCAATCTACAAGATCTATGCACAATCCTATGGGCCGATTATCATCAATCACAAGCGGGTCTCGGTGTCGGATTGTAAACTGCACGGCGGGCTCACGCCTGATTTAGTCCAACCAGTTGACACTGACGTCGATATAACCGACGTGGCGGGTCTCTCATAAATTATCCCAAGTCAAGCCCAACCAACTAGTGCGCATGCTCATCACATGTATTTACACAAATTAATCTTGGTAAAAGTCTTTTAAAGTAGTTTCGCTCGAACCTGTATCTGCCCTTCTTGAAATTGCCGTGAAGCCTTGACTTCAGAATCCATATGTGCCTACACTCAGAGCCACTACATCATGTTACACGTTATAACCCTAACCCTTTGACTGTACGGTCCCCAACCCCAAGTCTTGTACAGTCTCCCGAACAGCGTCCCAGGATTTATCCCCGTAGAGGGCGCCCCGGAGCCACGCCGACGTCACCTTCTGCACAACCCCCAATATCTCGGGGCTCCTTGCCGCACCCTCCTGCGTCTCAGCTACATCCCACCCACTGATACCACCAAAGGTGTGTTTGACCCCCGTCATGATGAACACGTCCTTTGGCCCGGGGCTGAAGGCATACGGGTCCATGTGCCACGTCTCGTCGCGCACGGTAAAGTGAGGACTCAAATCTCCATCTCCCGCCACCACCAATGCCCTTGTGCGCATGGTGCTGAAATCCGGCCCGTAAAACGGCAGACGCGCCTTTGCCCCCTCTGACAAGTCACCTCCGCCGTTCCCAGGCCCGCCAATGACGACGCCCGCTTTGATACGGGCGTCAAAGGCGTCGACCTTGGAGGCAGTTCGTGGATCGGTGTTGGTCGCGCCGAGGAGCATCGACGCCGTCATGCCCCCGAACGAGTGGCCAACCACGGCGACCTTATCCCTGTCCAGACGGCCTTTTAATTCCGGGACCGTGGCTTCTATCATGTCGAGCTGGTTGAGGATCTGCGACATGTCTTCAGTGCGGGAGGTCCAGTACAATTCGTCCCCCTGGGGAGGTTTTTCCAAGCTCAGCGATCGGGAACTGAGGTGCGTGGGCTGCAAGACCACGAACCCATCGGCAGCGTAGTATTCGGCCAGAGGGCCGTACCCGTGTAGCGACGAAAGCCAGTTGCTGGGGCCGTGTCCATGGGAAAGCAGGATGATTGGGAGATTGAGCCCCGTGGCGGGACTTGTTACCCGGAGCTTTAGATCAATGGGTCGATGCGGCGACGGGAGCGAAACTGGGCTGTAAATCCGTATGGGACATGGTGTCGTACTGGCTTGGAGCTTGGAGGCCCTACCGCCGAGTGCGTGGGTGAATATGCCTTTTGACATGGCAGCTTTGACCGAGGGCAGTAGAACAATTGTGTTTGTGAAATCGTTTGACTGAAACGCTCGTGGCCGGGCATGGCTGGTATTTAAATGTCAAGTAGGTATGAAACTGAGCATATTGGGTGACATGTGACTGGGCTCAGTGCGCGCCATGTGCAGACCTGGGCACGTCGAAGCAGTTTGGTATCCCTGCCCGGTGCGAATGTTGGGTTTCTCGGGGTTTACGGATATAGTACTCCACAGGCTGGCAGGACTAAACTGTACGTGATGGCTTGAGATCCATTGCGATTACGCACATTCAGCTGGGTGTTGAGTTGATTGGATTCGTTTAAACCAAAGTCAAAAATATTAGGCGTGGTTGGTGGCATGAGGGTATTAGTTATCAATGATTGGATTTGAACATTACAACTCTGGTCAAGCCTGTTTGCAAATAAGGTGCTGGCAACCAGTTGTCGCCGGCATGTTGTATTCCTCCAACGGAATAGTCGCACCTACGCGTACTGCGCAGTTTCCCTGTCACTCCATTCCCAAAGTCGTCTAGGTATAGACTTCTCATTGGTTTCAGACTCCTCGATTGCCTCTCGCAAATCGTTTCGTAGAATGTCGTTGCCCCGTCTACCCCACGGAATCACAAACATGCCACCATCCTCCATCTTGATATCAGGGCTCCAACCGGCATATAGTTCTGTGTATGCACCGAGACGAGATGGGTGGCTAACTATCTTGGCGGTCAATAATTCGACAGGCCCAAGATGGCGGCACAGCTCGGTCGCAAGGTTCCCTGGGTTGAAGGCGAGGCTCAAAATACCATCCGCTTCATGTCGCCTACTGAACTCGGCGGCGTAGAAGTTATTGGCGGCTTTGGATTGGCCATAATTCGTGGACTGCGATGAAGAAGTCTGTGGTGCATCGTCCTCACCAAGCTTGACGCCGCCGGCCGGTGACAGCAGATTGGCGGTGATGGAGCTGGCCCAGATGACGCGCACTGAGCCTGGTGGGCTGGCGAGAGCCGTCTCTTTCAAGATGGGAACGAGACCCTTGGTGAAGAGAAATGGCCCTAAGCAGTTGGTAGCCAGTTGAAGCTCATGGCCTTGCGTCCCCTTGGCATCCTTGGAGCACATCATGACTCCAGCGTTGTTGACCAGTACGTCGAGTCGCTTCTCTCGTGCAGAGAATTCCTCCAAGGCTGGCTTGATAGTGGTCAAGTCAGAGAGATCTAGCGATAAGAATTCAAGTCTGCCCCTGGAGTCTGGGTTTTGCGCCTTGATTTCTTCAATGGCAGTCGTTGCCTTTTCCTCATTTCTTCCAGCAATATAAATGACGGCATTATGCTGATAGAGAATAGTGCTCAGCTCCTTCCCAATGCCAGCATACCCTCCCGTTACTATATGTACTTTGCCACTTTGGTCAGGCAGGTTATCTTCTGTAAGAACTGGCTTTGGGATGAAGAACGACTGGGCAAAGGCACCCCAGAATAGTTGGGCCATGGCTGTGCGCGAGTGGTCCGGGATGATGAGGACTTGATATGGCCGTTGAGAAAGATTTGCTTTGGCCACAATGCAAAACGGTGACCTGAAGATGGATGTAGAATTGGACGGATGAAGTTGTTGAGATAGGATGCCAGCTGCCCACGGGCAGTCTGAAGAATGGCAGTCGCGCTGTTGCTGGGACTATACAGTACATACAGTCTGGTCGCACTAGATCTCAAAGTGTGGTGAGACACAAACATGGCGCTGGGACTATTGGACGGGATGGTGAACTGATGACCACAGGCCTGGGAGTCTGGGACTATAGCAAGCACTTGAGGATTTCACATCAATGCTGCCAATGGCTTTCTTGGTCCGTGCAATGGTGTTACTGCGTGAAATCGGACATCTCGATCAATTGATGGCAAATCACAAAAAAAAAGCACTGACCATCAAGGTTACACAGCGCATTTTGCTGCCTGTGCGGGTCCCGTGGCAAGGGCTCTGGGTCAGTTCTTTCCTATTGTAGGCATAACAATAGGCATCACAATGATCTGGTCTCAGACAATGCGTAAAAGTACCTCGGTAGCTACATGTATGTACACGCATTACTTGGTCATGTCAAGTCTTCAACCTGCCGTCACTCTGGGGCTCGCTCACCTGGCAGTTCTCTGCTCCTCCTCACAAGGCAGCTCCTCCATCATCAATTCTCTACTCCATCTTCCGTACAATCTACGAAACACACCCTGACTTCGTGCGACGAAGTACGTACAAGGTCAGCATTGACCGGGCCGTGCCAGGTCGCTTTCCCCTGTCCCGTCCACACAGACCAGAGTGCGCCGCTTGATCTCTAAAGTGGGCGTGAACAGACTCGCTTCGAGTTGCCAGGCTGTACTGAGTGGCTCTTGGCGATTCGGCTGTAACACGCCACTTAAGCCCGGGTGATAGTGTCTCACTGTCTATGCGGAGCAGTCTCGATCGGCAGTTGCCTCAACGAAACATCACACAGTCCACGCGAGGCATGGCATTCTTGCCCCTTCAGCTCGAGGAGCGGCTGAGCAAACAAGCAAGGTCAGCTGGCAGTGTTTTATTACGCATTACAGTCCTGATACTAATATCACCCCTAGCTCTGGCGAATCCCAGCACTTATACTCGAAAGTCTCAAATACCGTAGCACTTGTCTCAACACTGCTTTACTTTCCTGGTGAAGCTACCTGCCACCGATCTCACGGCATTTTGGCCCCCTTCGCAAGCGTCAGGTATCGACATGACTTCCAGTCACACGTGTTCTTGCCTTTGGTCAGCATCAAAGCTTCGAGTCTCAATTCCAGGGATCGCCTTACCGTATGCACCGTCGTACCCCACCATGAGAAGTCTTTCGATGCCCCCGTATATATCACTGCAAAGAAGATCAAGATGCCTGCGATGGCCGTCGAGCAGTCCAGCGATGCACTAAGCACAAAGTTATACTTATTCCACCAGGTCTTGTAATTCTTTTTTACCAAGAGGCCAAAAAGGAGTCCCACTACAACCCAAGACCCATAGTTCGTGCCTGAGGCTGGCGGAATGTATCCCATCCCGCCGAGAAATAGTGGCACATGTACGCGACGCAACCATTTTGCGTTGGGAAACACACGTCGCAGGCCGTATACAGCAATTGGTAGAAGAAATCCAAGCAGGAAGAACCAAAGAAGTGGCCGATACGACGCTCCAGGGGCAAAAAACTTGCGAGGCCCAACGGCCCCCCATACCATACTGGTATTGAAATGAGTGCGAGAGAATGGACAAGTGAATCCATTGGCCGCTTTGGAGGTGCAAATATTTGGTATATGGTTGAGAGCCCAGTTCAGCACCGCGACTTGGGAAACAGTACCAACAACCAAGCCCACCGCCTGCACGAGGAACAGGTGGCGCGGGGGAATCTGCTCTTTTTGTCAGCTGCTTTGATCAAGAATCGAACGAGGTATAGCGATACTTGCATTACAGTAAATCCCGAGCTTAAGATCCTGCGCAAAGGCAAGACCTTTGGTGGTGGATATGGACCCAAGGGAAAAAAACCAGATGTTAGCAAGGACTTTCCCTTCCCAAACATATCCAGCAACCAGGCGGCAGAAGAGCTCAATGCTAATTTTTGTATTTGTGGTTGCGAATACCCAAGCAATCTGTTTTTTTTTCCGTCAGCTTTGGGTTCCCAGAAATGCATTTCAATGCAATCAAATCACGCACCGGGATGAAAAAAACACCGGATATTACAAAAGCTAGAATCGCGCCGTACCAACGGAGTTGTACGGCGTAGTATTCACAAGAAAACATGGCAAAAAATAATCCGAGAAGAGTGGCAGCGCCGTACCACCACAAAGGTGCTTGTGAATAATGCGAAGACAAGTCTTGCTCGGCAGTGTTTTCATGTGTATCAGAGTCTCGCTTAGGCCATAATTTTGCTTCCCGGACTTGCCGCACAAGGCTGCCAATTTCATGTCGCTTTTCAAGAAATAGCCATGTGAAAAGAGACGCAAATGTTGCAAAAGCAAGACCAAACTTGTTCAGCGCATATGTTACGGGCAATCGGATCTATATGTGGTGTAAGTCAGTTCAGTTTTGCTATAATTGAAGGCAGCACGTACGTCTGAGTAGGCAGCAAATTTGGCCTCATCAAAGGTGAAGCCATTCTTCGCATTTATCACCCTTGATACATTGTACACCTTGGCGGTGTTGTCGAATATTGAATTGCTTTGCAAAGGGAGGTAAGCTGATAGCCACGTGTTGGAGTAATATAAGGCCGGGGTTATGATCCATATCCAGAAAACGACAGCAGCAAGGATATTGAAGATCACCCAGGTTGGGACAATGAGAGGCGAGCCGATATACGAGATTTGGCTCCCTATTCTGGCATGTTAGTGCCCTTGATAGAGCTCTGCTACCGAACAAGGGTCCAAATGCCAGTGCTTACAGTCAAAGGTAAAAGGGAGCAGCCCCATTCCACTCTTCATACCAAAAACTTGGTTGACAACTGCGTTCTTTGGCGCAATCCAGCAGATCCAAGTGAAATAGCCAAGAGCAGGAAAGATCAGGTCGGGAAACCAATACCAAATAAACCCAGCAGCAAACGTCCACAGAAAGAATTTGTAACGCGTCGACCTCCAAGTATGGGCGTGACTAGACGACACGGACTGTCAGCCTCGGGTTTCCTGGTATTCACTTGTGTCACTTTAGCCGACCTACCTCGAAACGTTTTGTTTGCTATTCCCTCCATGAAGGGCGGCGTTGAGAGCAGTATTGCCTAAAACCCCAGGCCAGACCAACTCACGCGGCTCTACGACGAGTGAACGGGCGAGACCAGCAAAGCCAAAGCCAAACAGAATGGTTGCCAGTGTGATCATCAACTCAAAGCCCCAACCTGCCTCGAGTCCGTAAAATACTCGTTGTTCAGTCAAAACATCGGCACTAAGACGCGTCATATAGCTCAAGTTGGCAAGAATATAGATCAAGATATTCTCCTGGAATACTTGCTCAGCGGGTCTTTTAATGTCTATCGTGCGGTATATACTATCGGGCGCTTACCTTGTGATTAAACCGACACGGGTTCAAACTGTGGCGTGTGCCAAATACTGTGACACCCCAGTCTGGCACCACGAGCTCCCAGGCTTTGCCTACGGGATAGGCCAAGAACTGGATCGCCGATTGAGACAAGGAGACGGATGGGAACCGGAAGGTGTAGAGGGTATTTACGCCACTACCGATGATGCAAAAGCCTATACCGATAAACCACATCCTCAACGTGAGACAAGGTAGATTCGGGTCATCGCCACTCATGTCGACACCGGCGGCCGAGAGAACATCGCTATCCGATGCATGGTCTTTGAAACAAGTCAGTATTCTTCCGTCAGAGGAACAAGAACAGCTCAGCTGCCCCACTTGCCGTCGAGTTGTTTCGAGTGTTTCTCGGTATCTTGGTTATCTTGTGATGCATCGACAGTCAAAGTATCGATGGCTTTGGGATTCATGTTGAGGTCTGGCATGGCGATGCCGTACAAGAATCTTGGTCTTTCGACATGTCCAAGAAGGCAATCTGATGATCAGATAAGATGAGATTTCCCATCTTTTATTACAGAAGAAACAACTGCAAAGTAAGCATATGGCTCGTTCCACTCCGGCTGGCAGGGTGGACACTGCAAGTGGACCGTGAAGCATAGCCACCGTTGGGAGCGAAATTGCAGCATGGTGTTGCATTCTTTCTGCTGCCGATTAGCCGTGAACGGTGGAGAAATTTTACATAACCAGCAAGGCAAAAGACGCAGAATGCAACTGCAATTGGTGCTGGAGACGATCGTCACAAAACCCGAAAACGCCAAGAGATGATAGCCTTGATCTGGATGCTGGATATCTCTCGGTGGATACCCAAAGTGGCAAATAGTACGGGAACAGGTTGGAAATAACACCATGACCAAATCGTATCGGATGATTCCAGGCTTATGAGGAGCGAATGGAACTGGTTATCTCCGTTGCAAATGCTGTTGTACACCGTGTATCCTGAATCTTGGTGTAGAAATCTACGGACCTGCAGGCATCACGGCCAAAAGACACAACCGTCCTCTACCATCTAGACCAGCAGGGACTTTTTGTGCGGGCTCTCTTTGGCTAATGGAGTTTCTCTCATGTGTGTGGTGCATTTCGCTCCGACGAGAAAAAAAACCCTCGGGAAGTTTCCGAGACGGTATCGTGCAGCATCACACTGTTCGGAACAGACTATTTGGATCAAGCTGCAGCTACAGCATGGTATGTTCGGGACAGAGCGGCTGAGTGGGCAGATTGGGCAATCTACGCGGCGTTACGTCGGGGTTCACGACGATTGTGCGTTCGAGAAGCCCAAGTTCCAACCCAGAGTTGAGCTGAGTTGCTGCGTAAAGCTCCAACTGCAGGTCCGCTGGCATGGAAATGGAATGGAATGGCAAGGCAAGGCCATGGTTTGTTACAGCGGCAGTCAACCTTAATTTAATTCAATTTGATGCTCGGGCCGCGAAAAGCTTAACGGCAGTAATGGCGAGTTTCGCAGGTTGAAGACGACGTCGTCTGTGTTCCGTCCGGTCGATACAAAAGCATCGCGGCCCCAGACGCCAGTGGCGCACGGGAAGCCCCCCAATGCCGCCCAAGACGTGTCAATAAATTACACAACGTAATCTTGCTGACTCCCGGTTGTGTATATCACTTCTCAGTCCAAATGGCTCGACTGTGAGTAATGGTGGAGGGAATTGACCATCCTTGTTCATCTTTCCTCGTCACTGACTTCCTTTGCAATGAGTTGCCATATTTGAGGACAACCAAAAATGGGCTGTTGACGTTCAGCATTCGGCGCGCTCTCAAATTCAGCCTTGGAAATGAACGACTTCAATATAAAACCATGCTTTAGCATCTCCCTACGCCGTCTCTTTCTCCCCGAACGAAGATGACTGTCCGTATTCTCCAACAACAGGCGGCACAGGATGCTCGCCAAACGGCCGCCTCTATGCCCATACACAAATCCGCAGTCATGGCCCTCGGCTAATAAAATACAGGCCGCAAGACCCTGCCGTCCCTACAAGCAAACGTTACAACAAGCTCAAGTCCCTCTGCGAAGCACACGACTCTGAGGACGCATGGGTGCGGGGCATCGACGCCCAAGACACGTACATTGGATTTCTCATCATGTCCATCTGGGCCCGGAAGAATGGCACTGCACTCTACATGGGGCTTTATGATTTCTCGTCGCTATCTAGGAATGGCGTTTGGGTCACGGGCGACACAACTGGCCATCGAGCATGTGAAGACGAATCACCCACAGGCGAAGCTGGGGAGACTCGGGCGCTGGGGAGCTGACTTCTCCGACGAGTTTTCAACGTTATTGAATGTTAGCCTACAGGGGACTAGAGGCTTCGGAATGGGAAAGGGGAGATTGTGATGGGATTAGACGTTCATCATGGCCCCTGTCCCTGCTAGCTTGGTGAGCATACGACGAAACGACTATGTTGGTCTGTCTAACCACTTGACAGGCAGACAATCATGTGCATCACCATTCCCCAGCCTCGGTTGGCGATATTCCCCAGGATTTCTTCCCCAGGATTTCGTCCCCGGATTTCGTCCCCGGATTTGCTTCTCCAGGTTCTTCTTCCCCAGCCGTTCCTGGTTCCACCTGTCGCTCGGACACGTTCTACGCTCTCCCCAAACTAGTCGACTAGTGGGTTGCAAAACGGGATAGAAGCACACCAAAGCTGCAGTAGCGGATCACGGGGACGACAATGTATTCTCAGCTACACAGTCATGTTCCAGCGCCGGCCTTGGTCGACGTCGACCATCGCCTGCCTTTCCAAGACAACTGGCCACACAGGGTTGTACTGTTCAAGACCCTAGGCTGGCACCATCCCTTGCCTTGACTCAAGATGTAACCGCAGTGTCCAGGTACGAGAATCGCAATGGCATTTCAGACGCTACAGAGCAGAGCTTCACAGGTTTTCGAGTGACGAGGAGCCGAGGCCATAGTCGACGACACCCAAGCAAGGAACGCTTCATACAGAGAGCGGGGAATCATCTACACATGTAGTATAGATATATTAATCTTGTGTCCTCTTTGGAATGTCTTGTTTCATGGTCTGCCCCCGTGGACCCCAAATAACGTCTTGCTCTTTCAGCCAAGCCCATTCAACAAACCTTGTATCTTAAACGAACCTTTATTGGCGTTCTGATCATCTCTCACAGCAGCCGCCGTCACCATGTTCCGCATCCTCCTGATTTCGCTGTTGCGCTTCCTGGGCTTAGTCTCCGTCAGCCTCCCTCTCGTCTCAAGTCGGGCGTTGAACCAGCCACGAGCTCTTCCCCCAAGCATAGATTCCTTCTATAAGCCGCCTGCGGGCTTTGAATCCAAAGCGCCCGGCACTATTCTACGCCAACGCCTTGTTATATCGTCCTTTTTCGGACTCATCCCAGACCCAGTTGAAACATGGCAACTCCTCTATCGCACAACAGCCATTGACGGCTCGCCCATTGCCACAGTGACGACAATCTTTAAGCCTCTCTTCCCCAAGAAGGACCGCTTCGTCTCGTTCCACACGGCATACGACAGCTCGGCCTCCATTTGCAACCCCAGCTACAACTACCAACTAGGTGCCCTGCAGGTTGACCTGATTTCATCAGCCGAGTTTCTCCTATTACAAACCTATCTGCTCTCCGGCTACATCGTGGCGTCACCAGACTATGAAGGGCCCGATGCGGCCTTCAGCCCCGGCCGACTCGAGGGGATGGGTGTCCTAGACGGCATGCGAGCCGTGGTGAATTTCAAAAACACACTGCACTTCTCCACGTCCACCCCCATGATTGTCGGCGTCGGGTACTCTGGCGGCGCCATCGCAACTGGCTGGGCGGCCTCCCTCCAGCCAACGTACGCCCCGGAGCTGGCCATGAAGGGCTGGGTGCAAGGCGGCACTCCAGCCAACCTCACGGGCATTCTGACATTCATTGACAATACCCTGTTTAGCGGCTTCCTGCCCGCCGCCATCGACGGCCTGACGAAGCCAAGCGCGTACGGCGCGCAGCTGGGCCCCCTCGTCGAGAGCATCGTCACGCCACGCGGCCGGGACATCCTCAAGTTCGCCAACACCAACTGCGCCGTCGCCAACCTCATCGCCTTCCCGGAGCAGTCGGTGCTGTCCACCAGCATCCAGAGCCTCGGCCCCGGCCTCCTGTACCACCCGGACGTCGTGGCGGTCCTGCAGCGAAACACCATGGGCGTTTACAAAAACGAGACGCCCACGGCGCCCGTGTTCGTCTACCACGCCAGCAACGACGAGGTTGTCCCGTACGCAAACGCCTCTACCCTGGTCGACGCGTGGTGCGGCTACGGCGCCAGCGTCAAGTTCACCACGTTTGCCAACGGCGGGCACGTCACCACCGAGGTTGTCGCCATCCTCGACGCCCTGCAGTTCGTCAAGGACGCCTTTGCCGGCACGGTCCCCGGCGGCTGCTCGCGGAATACGGAGCTCAGCAGCACCCTGAACCCCATTGCCCTGGGCGTGGCGCTCGAGCCGTTGCTGATAGGGCTGATCGAGGTGCTGGCGATTGCGGGAAAGAACGATGCCAATATCCTGAAAGACATCAAGACGCTGGGCAAGCACTGAGCCTAGCGCTACTGAACGAATTGCACGTACGTATCTGCTTTGTTGAATGGGCCATGTTGTGCCGTCTGGTGAGAGGGAGCGAAGGCGCACGCGGCAGATGGACAGCCCCCGCCACGGGACAGTGTTGTGTATATAATGACCTAGTTTGATGAAAATGCTTTACAGGGCCGCAGAGCCCGCTGATTTGCGCACATTGCTCACAAACAGTGCGTTCCAAACAAATGATGCTGTTGCGTTCTGTTCGTAGGGTGGAAATCGAAACATCGATTGATGTCTGGTGGTTGCTTCGCGCGGGGCTGCAGGGATCAATCTATTGATCGTCCCCGCGTTCACGTTCATGCACCAGACACAAGAGGCAGGTGGATCAACAGAGAGCGCTTGAGGGTGTGGGTGATGATGGCGACGGCGACGGCCGCCCGACGCCATCGAGGAAGGACCCAAGGCTTGGGCTTGATTAGCAAGAAGATTGATGCCGGATTGGTTCAATGCTACGGGTATGGAGCCTGGACTTCAACCCTGACCAGTTGACGCCTAGTTGACCAGAGTCCGGGCGCCAACATTGAACCGCCCAGGTACCTGGACTCGGGACGACGGCGCCCGGCAACGCCATGAGACATCGGTCAAGGCCCAGGTGCCAGTCTCGCTCTCAGACCCACTTCGTCACATCGCTGTCCATCGTCGTCACCGCCGTCCAGGACTATCCTCTCCTCCCCCAACTCCCTTCCCCTTCTCCATTCGCATCACTTGCCGCTAACCAGACTCTGCTGTCCCGAATCCCACCACACTCATTGCACCCTCCTGCTATTCATAGCGAACAATGACGAGACGGACGCCTCTGCCCAGCCCCCAGTCTTCTGTGCTGCCGTTGCGCCAGCCTTCCGCGCCAGCTCCAGCTCCAGCTCCAGCTCCCGTCACCACCACGATAACAACCGCATCCCCCAAATCAAAGAACTTCATCCTCGCCGACATGGACGGCCGCGCATCCCGCGAGAATCGCGCGTGCGCAAGCTGCATCTCCAAGCTGACACCCAGCGAAATCGGCCAGGTCAACTGGCATCTTGCCCAAGACCAGGCCTGCCGCCTCTGCCAAGTCGCACAATGCAAACCCGAGGCCTTCACCAAGCCATTCTGCGACTTCCTGCAGGAAAATCCCACCGTGTTCCACACCGTCGACTACTTCAAGCGCAAGTTGAGTGACAGCGGCTTTGAAGAGGTACGCCAGACACAAACAAACTCCAGGTTGTGAAGAGGCATCGCCGAAATAGTGCTAACACATCGCAGCTCTCCGCGCGAGACTCGTGGAATGGCAAAGTCCACCCCGGAGGCAAGTACTGGGTCACCCGCAACGGCAGCACCATCATCGCCTTCACCGTCGGCGCTGCCTACAAGCCCGGCAACGGCGTGGCCATGATCGGCGGACACATCGACGCCCTCACCGCGCGCCTCAAGCCCATCAGCAACCGGCCCAGCAGAGCAGGCTACGTGCAGCTCGGCGTGGCCCAGTACGCCGGCGGCCTCAACCAGACCTGGTGGGATCGCGACCTCAGCATCGGCGGCCGTGTCGTGGTTCGCGACCCCGAAACCGGCAAGACGTCCACCAAGCTCGTCAAGCTTGACTGGCCGATTGCCAAGATTCCCACCCTCGCGCCTCACTTTGGCGTGGGCATGTTTGGCAACAACAACAAGGAGACGCAGGCCGTCCCCGTCATCGGCCTCCAGAGCTCGTCCCAGCATGATGCCGAGCCTCTCGGCCCCGAGGGCGCCTTTGTCAACACCCAGCCGCCCAGGCTCGTGCAGCTCATCGCCAAGCAGCTCGGCATCACCAGCTACGCCTCCATCCTCAACTGGGAGCTCGAGCTGTACGACAGCCAGCCCGCGCAAACATTGGGCATGGACAGGGAGTTCATCACGGCCGGCCGAATCGACGACAAGCTCTGCTCCTGGGCCGCCCTGACGGGTCTCCTTGCCGCCGACACCAACACTGACGACAGCTACATCAAGCTCGTCGCGCTCTTCGACGACGAGGAAATCGGCTCCTTGCTTCGACAGGGCGCCCGCAGCAACTTCCTTCCCATTGTCATTGAGCGCACCGTTGAGGCCCTCAACCCGTCCACCTACGGGCCCGGGCTCCTCGGCCAAACGTACGCCAAGTCGTTCCTCCTCTCCGCGGACGTTACCCACGCCGGCAACCCCAACTTTTTGGAGAATTACCTGGACGACCACGTGCCGCAGCTGAACGTCGGCATAGCCATCTGCGGTGACTCCAACGGCAACATGACCACAGACGCCGTGTCGACCGCCATACTCCGAAGGGTTGGCGAGATTATCGGTGCCAAAACCCAGGATTTCCAGATCCGCAACGATTCGAGAAGCGGTGGGACCATCGGCCCTTCCTTGTCCAGCGCCATGGGCTGCAGGGCTGCAGACGCCGGGCTCGCCCAGTTGAGCATGCATTCTGTTCGCGCCACGACGGGAGCCCTGGACCCAGGTTTGGGCGTCAAGTTCTTCAAGGGATTCTTAGATTTGTGGGAGCAAATCGACGGGGAGTGGTCCTGAAGCGACTTCCTTTTTTTTTCACCCATTGTGTATCTAGACTGGTATCATAGATCATGGTATCATAGATGAGGAGTTCCAAGAGTGAGTGCATTTCTTGTAATAAAGATGGCGGGATCGCGCACACCATGCCATAGAGTATAAAGCTAGACATGCTATCTAGAATATAAAACTTGCGAATATTACATGCGCGCTTTTTCATGCTACGGGAAAAAATGACATGACACCCACATGACGGCGCCCGCTTCGTCAACCTCGAGCCTCACCTGCCTCCAGCAAGCTCGCTACCTCTGCCTCGTCATCCTCGTCATCCTCATCTTCCTCTTCGTCGCTTTGCTCAATGGCTTCATCCTCCACTACTTCACCTGGCTTGCGTCTCTTGACGAAATCCTGCTTATGCGCCTCGGCAAGGATCTTGGAAAACGACCGCGCGCTAACGGTATCCGCGCGCCGGCGCAACGCGCTCAGAGTCGACGCCACGGCCGTAGAGCTGCCCGACTGCGCCAAGTCGTGCCTGGGCTCGTCACTCATCAATACAGGAGACATCTCCTCGCTGGCGCGGTCCATGAGCGGTTCGATGCGATACGGGAGGGGGACGTCGCGGGACGCCTTGTACTGGGAGACGTTGGCGCAGTGTTCGTTTTCGACGCGGAAAAGAGCCCACATTCCGCGGCGGACGATCTCGACAAAGGACACGGCGAAGGCAACCAGGGTTGAGTGCTGGAGGTCGTGGGTGAAGATGGCGTAGAAGATCCACGCGAAACGGAGCACGGGGTCGGCAACCATGATGAAGTAGTACGGCCAGCGGCGTTTGAAGGCCAGGATGTCGCGCAGCGCAAAGTGCCGTGCGTCAGTTTGCAGGAGGGAAAAGTCCATGAAGAGATCCCATATAGCTTTGCTGGGTTCAGTACAGAAAGTTTTGGCGGAAAGGGGGGGAAGGGGGGTCCCAAGGTTGTTACTTACAGACGTATATACCATTAATGGTGGAAAATGCTATGTAGAGGGCTAGGTTGGAGCGGGTGCCGTTGATACGGTACAGGGAGAGCATCACGGTAGATAGAATGGTCATTATGTACTTGCCGCCGTTGACAAGATGGGGAAACACATTGCAAGTGTCCTTGTATCTGCGGACGCATTGGAACAAGCGCCAGAGGGGCGGCAGTGCCATGAAGAAGCCTAAGAGCCGAGAATGATTCGAGTTACATTGCGAGGGATTGTCCCATTTGTTGGCGTATAGACAGAAGAATAGTTCGATATTCTGCGCCTGTTAGCGTAATTATTTCCAGGGTAGGAGCGGGGACGCGTACGGCCATAGAGTATGTCAGTGAACAATACATGTCTCCGAGAAAGAAGTCCCGGAATTCAACGGGGTAAAAACCAGCTAGCAAAAGCCGCCACTGCCACGAGTCAGCTCAAAATCCCGTCGCGCTGGATGCTGCATAACTTACATGAGCATAGACAAACCATGAGCGGCTCTTGTGAGACAGCGTCGGTCCAGGGAAGAATATAATGGCGGCAGTGATGGAAATCAAAATCACAGGATAGTAAATATAGAGCCAATCAGGACCGTATCGGCTAAAGTTCATCCACATAAAAATACCCAATAGTAGTAAAAAGAAGCTCGGGAACTCTGCAAGTCGCCGCCAATCAAGCACGCTTCGCTGGTCAAACTCGAAAATAAACCGGTAATTGATCTTGTTTTTGGTCCATATAAAACAATTGATGCAAAAGAAGGAGAACATGAAGAGCATGAGGAAGTATCCCGCATATAGCTGCAAGAGGTAGCTGGTTTGGATTCGAAGGTCGGCATCGCTGTCGAAAAGCAGCTGTGAGCCGGATACCAAGCCCTCGACGGTGAAAATAAGGCCAGTGCCAATGAGAAATCCGTTGATAAATGAACTTCCGGATTCACTTCTTGAGCGCTTCGAAAGACTTCTGAGCTTGCCGGCTGCAAGTTTGTGGTTGCCGCGTTCAAAGTATCGGGCGTACAAGTCTTCCACTGCCTTGATGTGCCCATCAAGGGTGTCACTATTCACAAACCCGGCCGTGTTGACCTTTTCATTCATGTAGCGCAACGTCGGCCGGGCATTAACAGCCTTGTCAAACTTCTTGTTGAGCTTGCGAAACGCAGTCCGATTGAGAAGTGCATACGACTTGAGGAGTTCCAGCCCACGGTAGAATTCTTGCAAAGCCAATTTTAACTTGCGCTTGGCCGTTCTATACGACACGTCCTCCTTTTGCCGCCGCCTACTGTAGTCTCTCGTTGCATCACCAGCTGAAGCGCTTGCTGGAAGGTATGGTGTGTTTGGCATATTCCGAAGCGCCTTGGAATTAGGTCCCAGCGGGAAGATTTTAGCCTTCAGCGGTTGAACCCATCCATTGGGGTTGTCCTTGGAATTCTCGGCGTCGGTGTATTGGCCATTGTCAGGATCATTGTCACGATTCGAGGCTATTTCGTGAATGCGTCGGTTGCGCATTTCATGAAGCTGTTCTCGTAACAGAGCGAGTCGTTGTCCAGCTTGGTCCTCCTTGAGCTTGTAAAAGGACTCGACCTTTTCCAGTTCCGAGTCTAAAAATGCATAGAACTCTCTTTCCCTCTCTCGCACCAGGTCAAATTCGTTGATCCCACCATCCATCCACGGCATATCCCGTTTCATTGGGCCATATGCATTTGAAAGAATTCGCCGTAATTGTGATGGCGACTCTGCCAGGGCACCTCCAGTTATTGACTGTCGCCGTGCCGCGGAAGACTGTTCGACTATGTCGTTCCTAGTAGCAGTCACGGGTTCGGCTGTTGAAGCCCGTCGTTGTGTGGGAACTGTGTTGCGACCCTTTATCGCCGCGGTCGGTTTCAAGAGTCCCAAGGAGTCGGAGGCACTGATGGCGGGTGCCGGCAATGCAAAGTCACGACTGGCCTTGTCCTCGCTTTGCCTCAATGGGCTATGCTTCGGCGGCGTCGGCACAAAGCTCCCATAGTGCAGGTCGTTGCCGTCGCCTCTTAATGCCTCGTCTTCGTCCGCGTGGGCAGCAATGGAGATGGGATTTGATCCAGGAGTGGCAGATCCATTGCTTCGATTTGGAGCCCGTGGAGGTGGGCCAGACGAAGAGGTGGGCAGGATTGCTGTTCGGCCATGGTTGCTCGACCGAAACAAGGACTGAGTACGGTTCGCAGATGTCTTCGGTGTTCTATTAATTGCTCGTGAGACGGCTTTAACGTACTTCTTGCCGGCCTTATAGTTGAGGTACTTGATGCGCCATTCTAGAAACGAGAACAAGGGGAAGGGGGGGAATAGTCAGCCAATAGTCTCGTTCCTCTATACAGACAAAGTCCCAAATGTTGCCAGTATCAATTCATGACGGGGCAGACGCAGCGTCTCCTCGAAGCAGCAAGGCACGCGCGCAAGCGATGTAAAAGAAGATTTCAATCTTGACACTCACCTGGGACGGCATCTCTCTCGAGCTCCTTGGCGAACTTCATGGCCGGCGGTTCAGCTGCAGCGCAGCCTTCAACTGATGCAGGTGCATGTGCGAGAGCTCAAGTTGAAGAAGCAGGACCGGAGTGGCCAAATGTTGGGTAACGACGGGATGGAGGATGGCGCTATTGTACTCCTTCCCCGGTAGATATCTGAGCGAGCGACAAGTGACCACGCTGGCCAAGACGTGTGAAGTTGGTGAAGTTGCGAATGGTCGTCAAAGTTTGGCCACGAACTGGCATGTCGATGTTGAAGAGCAAATGGAACAAGTTGGAACAAGACCTCTCAGAGGCGAGATTTGCACAACGTGCCCTGACCATCTCAGACATGGACCCACCAATTTGCACCCGGAGTCTCTTTTGAAGAGGTCGAGTGGCTAATCAGATTGCACCTGACTGGCTAAAACGGCCATACGGGTGGTTGCTGGTGGATATAATAATCGGGGGCGCCGGGGTTCAATCTTTGTCTTGGATATGCGCCGCCACTGATCTGCCAAATGTGGCTCATCAAGCCGCCGCGCACATGCATCAAGCGGACTCATGTTGAACGTCTGGGGTACGGACGGGGCAGTCGTCGGGCATTGGGCACAATGACAGTGAAGGCATCTACAAGAAGGCAGTGACGTGTTGTAGCCATCATGTCAACCGGTGCAAGTTGCCGGATTCTTCCGTCTTGTCTTCACCTTGTCCACTAGTCGTCCCCGTCGCATAATAATCCATGATGCGTTGCGATGCCCATCTTGCCTCATCATCAGCCACTCGTTGCCTGGCCCGTTTCCACCCGCTCCAACCGTCCTATCGTCTTCGGTACCAGACCCATCCAGCCGTTGGTTGTTTTTGGCCTGCCACACCACTTAGTATTGAGAGGTGCTGGGGCGAGAGATCGAGGTCGCGTGATGCACCCACCACCTTAATTAATGTTCTCTAAAGTGTAACGTTAGTTGGTACCGGCCTTTCTCACCATGTCGGACGGGCCAACTGGAACCGCGCCGCACTCAACAACGTCCGAAACCATTGAGACCCGTTTGGTGACGTATTGTCATTCCAAACATAACCGCCGTTTTTTTTTGTTCGTTTCCCTTTCCCTAGCTATCCTAGCGCTTGCACCGGGGGAATCTGTTGATATAATAATCCACCACCATGTCAAAACCATCATCACCAACTACCCGCACTCATTTCTCATAATTGCCAACTAGTAATTTCGAAGCCTATCATTGCAGAGACCCATCAAGGCTTTACCATCAGTGCCATGTTCATCGTGTACACGTCCCACATCTTGCTCATCTTGACGCCCGATGTACGTCACGATATTGAAAGTCGACCCCCAGCCTACCAAGTGTCTACATTACGTGCAGCCCAGGCCCAGCTCAATAGAGTGAGATGGAAATTGTATGCAGTAACCAGAGAAACCACCAGCATTAAAAAGGGCTAGAAAGGTGAGACTTGTGAGACTTGTCCTGCGGGTTCGTCTCAGAGCCATGTTTCAGACATTACCCTATATGAGAACGAAGAAAAAAAAAGACTTTTGAGTATCAATCAACGCGGCTAATTGAACCCCAAGTTTATATCGGCACATCGTCGTTGAAACTAGTCACCGTGAACATGTACTCGGTTGGAAGGGCGCAGCTTAACCGTTGATGCCGTGATCTCTCTTCATTCATTGTCAACAATTAAAGTCGCCGACTGCACTGCCTTTATTCGGCGGCACATGACCAGTGAACTGCCTAATCTGTTGATACCTACGGCGTAACAATTGAATTCAACCCTGCCCAGAGGTTAGGGCATCTGGAAATCCAGTCAACAGACCTAGTTCATGCACCAAGTCTTGCGAGGTGGCACATCTTGTTTGCAAACGGTTCACAAACCTCTCTCAATGGTCAGGACCACATCACCCAGCATCGTGTCTACTCTCGTGATGAAGACCTCCGCCAGCAGGCGCCGCTAACATGAGCAGCCGAGTCTGACTACCTAAGAAAGTCGAAGCCTCGCCGGCAGCGGTCGAACCGTCGAAGTCATCGTTAGCCAACCAGACATCATGGGCAACTCACCGCTTCTTCGCGTCTGCGCGTTTGGACCTCTACCCAATTTGAAACTCTAAATCTCCGAGGCAGTGTGCAACATAAACTTCAGAAACAGCAGGAGAGTCTCCTCACACACAGGCCGTTATGGACTTCTACCCCGATGTAGTACTCCTTATGCAAGACGACGTCCAGGGTGGCGACCAGATATGCAGCTCACCACTCCACATTGCTGCCAGAAAGTGATATGCTAACGCCGTGCAGATACTCTTAGAGACGGGAAAGGTGGGTATTGAATGCAGAAGGGACGGAGATTAACGGCACGCTGTGTTTGTGTGCCGCACGACACGGCCATGGGGACGTGGCCCAGTTGCTCCTCCGAGCACAACGCGTAGAGATCGATACCAGACGAACTTGTACACTGAGCACCACTCATGTGGGTGGGGGGACAAGGAAATACTCCGTACCCAATACGCTTCATGATGTTGGCAAAGTCCATCTGATACTCGGCTGGGCCATAAACTCGGGCTGCTACAAAATCGTCCACAAGCTCTTATGAATAGCCCAAACAAGCACCAAGTAACTCTCACCACCGCAGAACGGGAGCCAATGCTTCGGGAAGCAGTCCGATCTAGATGCGTATTTTTTTGTGTTGTTGGCGACCAGGGCAAGGGAGGCACAAACTCAAGAGCAATACTGGACGGCAATAATATAAGCGATGCGGTTAAAAAACGAATACTGACAACTCTCTTCAGATCTTGTTTTCGTGAATGAAAGTAAAATCTTTTTTAGCCCAAAATACAAGTTCCATTAAGGCCAATGTTGCCGGGGACACGCAACCCGACATAGCATGTCGGATCAACTTCTTCGAGAGCTGGAAATTACGTCAGTTCATTATTCCAAGGATGGGTTTCAAGTACATACATACATGTCTTCATCACCCCTCACATTCATATCAACGGGAGGGGCGCTGACCACAGTGTTGTGACTTACATGCTGCCTAATTGCTTTTTTGTATACACTTCCAGTTCACTTTTGGGGGAGAAACCTGCCATTCTGACAAAGATTGACTACGGATTACCCTTTTACATCACAGTATGTACAGCTCTCGTTGCATGACATGGCATGACATGGCATGGCATGGCAGATCAGCGTGGCAGGGATAATGTGCATTGTCGTGCGGCATTGAGTTACACACTCCGCGTAGCACAAGGGCAAAAGGGTACACACTGGAAATTGATATTCGAGTTGGGGATTTCCCCGTGCCCGCATCCGTTTGATTGCGCCGTGGTACAGCCAGTTGAAGGGCACATCAGTGACACCGTAATGGTTACTACTGGTGGACATGGGCAAGTCGACTGTTGAACATACATGGCCTTGCTTACCCCATGCCTGCCGGCCACCATCCACCTTGATGTCGATGTCTGGCTCTCGTACAGGCCTATGTATATCCCTAAAAGAGATAAGCGACCTCATGACAAGGATGTGCTTTGGACATTTCGGCAACCGTTGGCATTGTTCAGGTTATACTGCATCATCCCTGTAAGCTATTTGGACCGCTATTTGCATGATGGGGAGGAAAGCCCTCTCTGACTGATTGCAGAGCGCCTGAGGGCAGGTTCACGGCAAGTTATGCTGGCAGACAGATGCCTCACAATTTGTGTCTTAGAGTTGGCTTGGCCCGCCATGATGGCCCGCCATGATGGCCCGCCATGATGGCCCGCAGCAATGGCCCTCAAGTCGGACGTTGAAATGTTTAATTTATGGGGGCCGAGTTGTTCGGGTAGGGCATTATGCTTTTCGGGAACTCTGGATACCGGTTTCCAAGTCGTCTTCGGCCATCATTCCCGACACCAATGTGGAAGAGTTTTGGGCCAACCGCCAACTCTTAATGGCTCCCCCCCCTTTTAGACCTGATGAGCCGGGATGTTGAGGATCAATTGGTTGTATGTACATGTACGGCGCAAATGTGAAGGAGAGTCCGTAAGCGCCAGTGGCAGGCAACACCTTGTTTGTTTCTGTATTGGGCAGCTAATCCTTGTCCAATATTGCCTCAATGAGGCAATATTGGTGGGTTCACCAGTCCATCTTGTCGGGGCATCTTGTCCATTTTGTTGTCCTGTCCCTTGTATACGCCTGGCAATGACAGTTTGATAAGCCGGAACTTTTTTCTTCTTTTACGCCCGACAAGGTTCTAGAGAAGCTTGGTTCCACTTTGGTGTTTCTTGTTACCAAAGGGTGAGACGATAACTTTCACCCTCACAGCCAATTATCCGCAGCTGACGCTACACGAGCCACTACTCTGGTTCGGCAGTTTGCTACACATGCCGGCTTGGGTGATATTGTAACAGTCGGGTGTTGGGATTGTGCTCTGCTCCCGTGATGATAGTCGGAATTTTGACCAATGCTAAAATGAACAGTACTCTCCGGAAGACACACCGCTTCTGTCAAATCGCTTTTGATCAGCCGGCGTCAAGAACCACATCATGCAATCACCAGAAAGCATATCTCATATGTCAGCTCTCACAATGACTCATATAAAAGAAGTAATAACAGTCGTTTGACTGAACAACCACACTGTCGGCTGGCAAATCTGTGTGTCTTGACAATGCCACGAGTGTTCTGATAATCAACGACAATACCGCACAATGGTCCAAGGCAGGTTTCGTGGAGGAAGTATTGCCTGTATCGGATTGCATGCAAGGCGGGCTAAGCAAACAACGCATAGCTGGATCTTTCTTGGAGGGATGGCGAAGACGGTGAGATTTGGTACTCCTAGAGACCCTTTGCACTCCTCTTTGGCGGAACGATGCCCAGACCCACCGATTTGTTGTACTCTTGACAGTATGCAGGTTATAGTGAAGTGTGTGACACAAGCGTCGTTCCAGGTAGATGTATCAATTGAGATGATTCGAATAACCTTCTTACTGAAGGAATCAAATCATATCGAACCGAGTGCAACTCAACTTCCGGCCGCCCCTAGATTTCAAGGATACTACCGCTCAATATTATATGCGCCATCGCCATGTTGGGCGCCCTATGGCGGCGCCAGTGCCGTCGTAGGTTGTCTCACCATCCCTAGTGGAGAGCCACTCTGATATTGAACACACTTTATTGATGTTCGTCAGAGAAGGCTTGAAGCGAGGAATCGTCATCTGGTCGTGATGTGATGTCTAAGATTGCTTATACTAGTAGAGCCACAGCGTCGCTTTTGATGGATACCGCAGCTTCCTAGGCTTGGCCAATATGCGAGCTTTGCACCATTCAATGTGAAGTGGGTTGAGGAAGACTGATGGACTGCCCAGTCAACTACGGAGTACAAGGAGGACGGTTATGGAGGACGGGTCATACGTACAATCCCATGCTTTTTCCATTAATGGGGCACTAGCGTGGTATTTGAGGGTGGTGGATTGAAGTGCAAATGAGTGCAAATGTAAATACATCTGCAGATGACGATGCGAGTCAAGGACAAGAACAAATGTGTGTGTTCCAAGTTGGGGCTTCTTCTGCACATGTCCACGGTGCCATCCGGAGCAACTCCAGACCCTGGGCTAGCGCCAATAAAATTTCGTGCTGGCTGATGGGAGCGAGTCCACGTTGGGAGAATCGTGATTTGCATCCCTGTCGCCCATTACCTCACCATTGATGATAAGCAATTGATTGGCTTGGTTGCGCCTCATACTGGCGTTGGGCCTGAACAGTCCCCGCCCGCCACACATGGTCGGACCGTTCAGCTGGGGAGGGGAGCGGACTGGACGCCAGTACGGAGTACGGAGTAAAAGATACCGAGTGCTCAGCAATCTTCGAGCTGGGCACACAAGGTGTGGTACTTACGTACCTACCGAGGTACGGAGCAGTCAGATGTAGTAGCACTAAGACCAGTCATCAATTGATAGAAGCCGCCGCACCACAGTGGCTTTGGATATATGCTGTGAGTCGCGAGTTGTGCAGCAGGAGATGTCGGCATCTCCATGTTGCAGGTGGAAGGTGTGCCTGGTGCTGTGGGTTGTGGGCCAGGTTGTTGGGAATGACTTGGAAGGTGCGGCGACAGACCGGTCGACATCAATTGATCCAACATGGCTAGACGGCGCAGGCGCAAGCGCAGGTGCAGGTCCAACATGGAGCTTTCAATGTTGAACATGATGGACGGGCACAGAGCAGCCGAAGTCGAGATTGGACCTTGACGGTTTAATTTTGACCACATGTGCTGTCACTGCAGTCCAAAGCCCGCCAACGAGAACATTCAAGACGGCTCGTGAGCCTGTCAGCCCAAACGGCCCAGCTGAGGTCATGACATGAACGACATGTGTATGTATGTACAGACTCCGTAGTACGTACTATGGAGTAGCGGGAATCCCACGACTCTTGCGCCAGTGCCATGGCGCCTCCAAACATTGAATCAAACATTGAATGCTGCCAACCCAATGCAGGCCCCGGCGACATCCGTAGCGTCCAGTGGACGGTGTCCACATCGCCTGTGCTGGCAGCAGTTGAGCTGCGCTGGGAGTTGACGCCAGAGTCCAGGCGTCGGTGCCGGCATTCAACCGCCAACCGCCAACCGGCCAACCGGCTGCCCCAGCCCCAGAACATGTCCCACCAGCTGGCTTGCTCGGTCCCATCGACTGCTTCTCCCCGGCCCAAGCGTGGCCGCCATGTCCTGTCTCACTGGCCGTCACTGGCCATAACCATGCCTCTCATGCAATCTCACCAGTAGACCGGCGACCTCAGTTCGCCTTGGGCCTCCTGCCTTAGCCTTGCCGCGCCCAGAACTTCAGAACTCGGCGACCCGTCCTCCGCACATGGCCGCATGGCTACGTTGGACCAATTGGCCGCCCATCCACTCAACCTGGTCGAAAGCCTCGGGCCTCCCATGCTGCAGAGAGGAGTTGACGAGGTCGAGTCTGCCGCAGCCAGTCAGCGTGTTGCCAGCCAGCACTGAGACCTGTTGACGCAAAACCAAAACCATAACACTGAGCAGACACACAGCCATTATTGATCACTCCACCGCGCCTTCTCGCAAAGCACGCCAATTAGCTTTCCAGTCCTCATCTTCTTTTCTGCGTGGGCACCTCCATTCCTCGCCCGGGTCCTCTCTTTCCCGCCTTGCACCAAGCTTCACCACCATTTGTGCTGTCTGGTGCGCTCGCTTTGTGCACGGGGCCTTCACTTTGAACATCATCTCGTACGCCCTCGTCTACCGAGTGTGCGCTGCTCTCCTGCCGCGAGGCTGTCGCTCGGTAGTTTCAGGCTGATAGGACTGAGACACTGCCGCTCCTTACCGTGCCCTTTGTCGTCGCTCGGCACAAGCAACCTTCTTTGCTCTTGCATCCCATTTTTGCTTCTGCAGACTCGCAGGGAAGGTCCGGTTCGATTGACCGCACAACAAAGAGACAATTCAACTCCCACTGGACTCGGCGTGGCTCATCTCGCCGCAGCTATCTTGTCGACCGCCATGCTAGAACCGCATGCGATATCCAGACCGATGGATCAAACAAACGCCTACGGCCACTCGCGGTCCCGAACGACCTCCTCCAACATATTCCCCATCCAGCAGCAACCGCCACAGCAACAGCCCGCTTCTCATTATCCGCAGGCAATGCCTACGCATATGCAGAACACGCGTCGGTCGCCGTCCGTTAACACATTTAGCACAACATCCAGCATGCAACCGCCGGCTGCATATCGGACTTCCTCGTCGACAGACCTCCGTCGTTCCATCTCCAGCCGTTCTGGTGGAACAACCGCGCCGCCATCCAGCTATGTTGCCCTTCTGCGCCGGCAAAAGGCCACAGTCTGGTGCGATCGAGCTCAGTATGAGGACCCTCGAGTAGCAGCTCAACAAAAGGCAGCCAAGATGCGCGCAAACCTTGAAGTGGTTGGCGGCGGGCGAGGTACTGTCGCTGCCAGCCGAACCAACACTGGAATCAGCGCGACTGGCAAAGTTGCTGCCAAGATCAGGCATCATGGCAAGACACCTGTTGTTGGGTATGCTCCAGGTGATACGAACCATGTCGGTGTTGGCGGCGTGCCTCTGAGACTTAGTGCCACAGAAGTGGAAGGAGAAAGTAGTGATGACGATGATACTCAGGCAGCATCTCGCGCACACCACCGCCGCACAGGAAGCAGTGGGCGAAGCAGCATTGGGAGCGGTCGACGAGGTCTGCAATATCGAGCCTCTGGCAGCTCCGTTACGGTTGGAGGCCAACGACGAAGTCCCGGTGGCACTCCGGAGCGGACTGGTAGTCTGATTGAGCGACCGGAACGAACTATGGACGACTCGGCGTCAGGACGGGCGCAAAGCTCACGGAGTGCCAGCAGCGGAGAACGAGCCGACAACATTGGTGAATTAAGTAGCAACCCTAAACTGGCAATCAATTCCCAGAGGCTTTCGGTTCTTGGTAGAGAGAAGAGCGTCAAGAGCGCTGACGAGCTTAAGCGACGAGGCAGCGTCGACGAGCGGACCGCAACACTCACATCCGGCCGCCTTTTCATTGCCAACCCTGATTAATCGACCACAACATGTGAATATAGAATATCGGCATATATCTCGCTGGCAGCAGTACTCAAAACAGTATCACTTTATTGGAATGCTCAAGAAGCAATTTTCATTACAGTGTGGGTATTTTCCAACCTATGGACTTCCTGGCCATTCGCTTTTCTCAGCCCAATGCATATCTCTGTCGTTTTGCGTCATCCCCGGTTGCATTCAAGGCGTTTGGGGACATTGATCATAATCACTCGCTATGTTAAAAGGTTTCGCAGGCTTTCGATACCTTTTAATCCCTTTGTTCTCCGTCATGTTTTACTACTTTCACTGATGTCCCTTGATTATCGTTGTGCTGGGCTGGCTAAAAGGATTCCGCGATTGGTTTTGTTTTCTCTCTCTGCGCATGGCGAGACAAAAGCGTGTGTTTGATGAAATGACAGACTAATATTGTCAATGGCCGGGAAGTGTATATATAAATATATATATATCAGTAATGGGAGAGAAATGGTTGCCGTTGGCCATCGTACTATGAATTACTAGCGTGTTTCCAGTCTTGCTCGATCATGTGTACATCTTGGTGATTCAGCCATGGGCAACTGGTAAGGTGGCAAGACGTTATCGCAAGGCCTCCAACCGCATCTCAGCCTTCCAATTGATTAGCAAGGCTACTAGGTTCACAAACGGCTTCGAACGGAGCATTGTAGACTTTTTTTTTTTCGTCAAGCCCACTTGCGTGCTAATCTAATGGGGCCTTTTGTCTCGTGCCAGTCCTCTCTCGTGTGAGGGACTAAACCTTGACCAGACTGGAACCTAATTGCATCATTGCCCCTTCATCAGCTTTTGTGACGAAGGCCAAGCCTCTACCATCCGTGAACGACTTAGCGCGGGGCGGTAAATGGATAGTGAATACTACTCTGTACTAGGTCAAAGGAACTCGCGCACCAGCCACAGATTTGGCCACTAGCAACTTATCTTGCTGTGGCTGCCGGGGGCAACTGCCAACACGTGAGGACGACCACAAGGTACGGAGTGCTCCGTACCTGGGCCACTTGACGCGTCCCGGGGTGAGTGCAATTCACGCGGAGCGCGTTCAAAGCTACCGACTTCCCAATCAACCACACCACTCCACTACGAGGATATGCTCTTTCCACATAAATTGAGACCGCTGATTTCTACACTCTTCAATACAGACTGAAGCGTGATCTGGCACTTGTTCTTAAGACTGGCTTGGGTTTTTACGGTCCCTAATTTGTTTTGTTCGCCACCGACTCGAGTTCGATCTTCGTGCCGCATCGAATGATTCGATCCCTCACCCCCCTTCTGACCTCTTGCCTGGTGGATAGCACCAGCCATTGACAAACCGGTTATTGCTGCTATTGGCGGCGACATTATTTCGATGCCGTTATTCGAAATGTCACCCAATGTACAGGAGACGAAAGCCAGCGGGCGAAAGAGGTGCCACGGTGAATTCGCTGCAGACATGATGAAGGTTGACGACGGGGGGGACGCAAAGACACCACAGCCTACTGCTATCAGGCGATCTGGCGACAGCTGTGAGCACCTGTACCATTCTGTAACGGGTTTCCCGTGCACAATGTGACTAACTCCGCCTAGTGCTCCCCCTTCGGGCTCAAATAGAACCTCATTCTTCACCAGGCGGGTCATCGCCACTCACTGAGGAAGGAAGTAGGACTCCCACCCGCGACTCTCCATCTCCAACTACACAAACCGACACAACCTTGGACAGCAACTCTTGTGATCAAAAAAATCTAGACACAATGGTGACTTCGAGCAAAGGCGCGGCATCAAAGCGGAAACGTCTCACGGCTGAAGAAAAAGTCGCTAAAGAAAAGGAACAGGCCGAGAAGAAAAAAGAGCGCGAGGAACAAGCTGCCAAGAGAGCCGCCGAAAAAGCTAGACAAGAAGAAGAAAAAGCCGCCCGAGTCAAAGAGCGGGAGGAGAAACGCAAACAAAAGGAAGAGGAGGATCGCCTCAAAGCCGAGCAACGGGACGAAAAGAAACGAAAGAAGGAGGAAGAACAACGCCGCATCCAGGAAGAAAAGGACAAAAAGGCACGGAGTCAGCCGAAACTGAATGCGTTTTTCAAGATTCCCGATACGCCAAAGAAGTCTGCCAACGGCAGCAACTCTGCTGTTGGAAGCCCTATCATGACCAACGGTGGTGATGCGCCTGCCAAGCCAATGGAGACCGAGTATGAGAGGCTGTTCAAGCCCTTTTTTATGCGGGAAAATACTCGTCTGGCCCCTTCAGCAACGCAGATGGACGAGGAAACTAGAGAGGCCAAGTCTCGAATCCTCGACAAGTTTGTTGCTAGTCAACGGGACACGGACAACCAAGAGCTCCCGCGATTCGACCCTGTAGAGGCACTACGCCTCCCGGCAAGAACTCCTAGACGCGGTCGCATTCATCATCCTGTTAAGCACATAATGGAGACAGCTTATAGGGATGCTGATAACTCGAATATTGTTGGCGCTTCCGGTGCAACCAGTATATTCCCGGAGGCTCGGCAGAAGCTGGCCAGCATTCCTCAAAAAGTGATTGCATTTTCCCACGATGTCCGACCTCCTTACTATGGTACAATTACATTGAAGTCCTATGCCTTGGGACGGGATGCGATGGTTAAACTTGCTCGCAAGCCTACGGGGCGACGACTCCCACTCGATTATGACTATGATTCAGAAGCTGAATGGCAAGAGGAAGAGGGCGAAGACGTTGACATGGATGACGATGAAGAAGAGCTTGATGATGAGGACGATATGGACGGTTTTCTGGATGATGCCGATGATGCCGGACTCTCCAGGCGTGTATTTGGAAACACGATGGAGCCCGAATGTACGGGCGTTTGCTACGAGAATTACCATCGCCTGGGCCCGAACCGAACAGTATATGAACACAAGATGGAATTCATTCATGGTAAGGGCTGGCTTTGTTATCCAAGATTGATTGTCCAATACTGACAGGGAGCGAGCAGAAGGACTGGAACAGACGTGGGGTATCGATCCTTTCTCATCTCAATATTGGGAACCAGAGGTGAAAGCACAGCCGGCCAAGGTTTCTCAGTCAGCACCTGAAAGCACCACAGAGATGCCACCACCCCCTGCGCCAACAAATGCTTTTGCCGCGCTCCATGGTGGCGCCGCAAACGTATCAGCTCCCACGAAACTAGTGAAGGCAGAGCTACTCAATGATTTCAAAAGAGCAATACTGGATAACAAGGCACTATCGAAGGTTGGAATCATCGACTTTATATTCCATCAGTTTCGCAACAGCGTCTCCCGCGCCGAGGTGAAAAATACCCTGGAGCACGTGGCTGAAAAGAAAGGAGCTGGCCGATCAAAGGAATGGGATCTAAAGCCTGGTCATGAGATTGTGCTGTGAAGACGGCACACAATGTTTGCTTTTGTACAATGATTATGGAATGGATTTAGCGAGGAGCAACTTGGCTGGCATTTAACATTCATACTTACCCGGGCGTCCCTGGCGCGCGCCTGTATACACCTTGCTAGAATGGCTCATGCCACAAATTTGATTTCTTGATGAGAAACACTCGGAACTTGACGCTCGTTATTGACTATTGTTTGTTGCACTGTCAACAGTGTACTTGCAGTGTATTTCCTGAGGATGACTGAGCAAGGCGTCGGATGAAGCGAGCATCATGTAGCGTGTCGGGTAACACTAGGAGTTGTGTTCTATTAACATTATATATACATATTTATATATATATGACAGATATGCGATCATTAAATTAACATGGGACTTATTCCCAGAGCCTAGGGACTCTGAGAATCCTGCAGCACCGGCGGCCTTCACATCGACCTCCCCATGCGAGGCGTGCTGGCGGACAGCTAGGCGGTCGAGTTGGACGAGGGCGCAACGCTGTACAGCGTCTGACCGCCCTTTTTGAAGTTTCCCACGACGCCCTGCCCCTTGCTGCTGACCAGCCACCTGGCAAAGGCCTGGGCCATGTTTGGGTTCGCCGCCCTGGTGCCGATCAGCAAGTGTGCGGGATTCAGCAGGGGGTCGTCGGCGCCGTCGGTGCCGGCTTTGTAGACGACTGTTTGGTTGCGAAGCCTGGCGTCGAGGGACAGGATGGTCCCGCGGTCGGTGATTGTGTATTCCTGCAGCAGGATGGCCGCGGTGAGGGCCTGCATGGGGAAGGCGATGTATTGGTGGTACCAGGTTGAGTAGGCGGTTGCCCATGGGACCTAGACGTCGGTTTACCGCCCCCTTATCAGCAACCGTTGCCGACTTTCACCTTTGTCTTTGGGGGGAAGGGAACACACCTGTCCGATGCTGGCCCACAGGAGACTCTCCTTGATGTTTGTCGCGGACTTGTCGTATCGGCTGAGGAAGCGCACCGGCGGATCCGTCTTGTTGTTCTCGGCCACGTCGAATATCTTGGAGAACATGGTGTGGATGTCGTCGGAGGCGACGAGGTTGGCGGGGTTGGACCTGGGCCCGACGAGGAGGAAGTGGTCCCGGAAGACGTAGTAGCTGGGGGACAGGGCGATGCCTTGGCGGATGGCGATGTCTTCCGCAGACGGCGTGTAGGTGATGCCGACGTCGATGTCGCCCGTGGAGAGGTACTTGATGGAGTAGGTGGTGTCGCTGGTGTACCAGGCTACCTTGAACGGGGGGGAGCCGCTGGCGACGGCGTCTCTGATGAAGGCGTCTGATAAGGCTGAGGGGAGTTAGGCTCGTGCGGTGATATTCCTCATGGTGAAGCTCGAGGGGGATGGCGTACCCTTGATGAGACCGCTCTGTCCGGCGCCCCCGTTTCCAATGCGCAGCTCAACCTTGGAGGCGGCATTGCTGAAGCCTCCGTCGTACACTGCCGCAGGAGTAATCGCCGCGCAGGAGGCTGCGAAGCCGCCGCCGAGGAGGTTCTTCGCGCTGACCATGGTGTTGGCTTGGTGGACTGTCAGGACCGGTTTGGAATACTGCAGATGACGGCTCTCTACTCCGTACTTGATCGTGTACGGGAGGGGGGAAGAGGACAAGACATCTTATAAAAACAACCCAAGTGAGACCCCGTGAGATTCGCTGTAGCTCTCCTTTCCTTCCAACCAACAGCTGAAGCTGAAAGGGACGTACCCTCGGCATCCTTGGACACGAACTCGCTTCCAACAGCGTCGGCGGCCATGAGGAGGCACTCGGCGGTGTTGTGCGGCCAATGAGAGGATTTTGGACCGGCAACTAGCACAGATGCGTTCAATGTTCTGTTGCCGTGTTGTACAATGAAGGCCCAACATCCACTTTCTGGCGATGTTTAAGCCTTGTGACTGCAGCAGGCTACGGAGAACCCCGTAGATTGGCATGTGTAAGTTGACAATCTCCACTGGCCGTGGGTTGGTGATGCACTTGCGACTCCCGATCTGCGCGGGCGTCGGCTTCTTTGGGAGTTTGCGGCCGCCGAATCCCCTCGTTCACTGCCACGGTGGGCTGGGAAAATTACCAGTTGACGTGTCACCCGGCACTTGGGATGCCGTTGTGGGAACACTTGAACAGGGAATACTGCAGATTATCCTGTGTGTGACTCGTTTAGGGCGGACCCAAGGTCGGGATTGAGTCGATTGTCAATCTGGGAGGGCTGAAGTGGATAATGGAGCAGCTCGTGTTGAAAAGCGCCCGTGTTGGACGTCATTCTGCTGTTTGATTTTAGTACTCCGTACCTTCACGATGGTTCCGTTTGTTGCGAGATTATTTTTGGCAATTCGGGAGGCACGAGTAAGTCAGGGTGGAACTCATTTTCAATATTGCGGTGAGAGCGCTGATGCGAGTGGCCTCATCTAGGATTCCGCTCTTGGGGCCTGGAATCCGCGAGGCTTGCTCAAGCTGCCAACGGGAAACGAGTATGGCGTGGTTTCCGCGGCGGTTATGCCAGGGATTACTCGTCTTATTGTTATTACAAGAGGGGGAGCCGCTTGTCCTGAACAATGGCATATAGTATTATAGTTCGTCGTAATTGCTTGATGCTACGCTGCGGTGAGTCAAATTGGAGACATGGCGAGACAGTCGCTTAGCTTCTCGTCACAATGACTTGTCCATGTCCTGTGCCAGCTTCCTTTTGGCGTTATACATGCTCTCCGGCCACCATCTCCCTCCTGGCTCCGCTCGTGCCTGTGCCGAGGACAGTATCCGTCCCAGCTCCCATTCTCCGATGCCGCCAATCCACCATACGCCATCGAGGAGCATGACGAGGACGAGCCAGTGCGCAAAGATGTCCATTGCTAGTCGATGCGCAGAAGTCATCGTCATTGGTGTTGAGTCGTCCCAATTGAGGTGATTCAGATTGCCGGGTACCGGGATGTCGTCAAGCGTCGATTGGACCAGGTGCAGATACTCGAGCGGCACGCGGTTCAAAAATGCCATGACGGTTCTGCGCAGTGGTTTGGATGGCGTAGACGACGTCACGCGTCCCAGGTAACTTGTGAGCCATGGCGACACGCTGCACATTCGACCCAGGTGGACGGCCTCGTCCTCGTGAGGCGTAGGGGTCTCCTTGTCCATGAAGACTGCGCTGAAGACCTGCTCCAGAATCTCATGTGCTGCAAGACACGCCTGCAGGTTGCGCCCAGAATCACGAGGGGCCTGTGTCTGCAATGATAGCACCTTCGCAGCGAGCTGGTCGAGCGCCGGTCCGTATGTTGCCCACACAGCCGGAAGGAGAAAAAGCTTGGTGCCTTCAGAAGGTCCATCCTCGGCGAGATATACATTGTCAAATGACAATCCTGGTGTTAGAAAGGCAGAATTTTCTGCAACTGAGAGATATCGACTGCCAAACACGGCGTTTATATCATTCTGCACGTCCAACAAGCCCGTAAACGCCGTATGCGCTGCCCGAATCAACATCATCCACTGCGACTGCGTGGGCAACAACTCAAGCTCCAGCGTTATACCACGCCTGTTCGCCATTTGTGCCAGAGACACACGAACGCAGTGGCTTGAGGAGCCATACAGAACCATGAGCGCGGCATTAGCCAAGACATGATCATGTTGTTGCACGTCGTGTATAGCGGCCTGGATATGGTGCAGCGACGTCCTGTGGTGCCTGTCCGCCAGGGAAAGCAGTTCTCGCACCTCATCTAGCCTCTCCAACGGCTGAGGTGAATACCTCACAATGTCATGACTCTTACAAGCAGCCGAGAGAGCTAGTAACGATGCCATGAGGGTTTCGTTACCGAGGGCAAGATTGGGAATTCCCACGTGGAGCGCATACAAGTCCCCTTGGTCAAAGGGGATGATGCGACTCGTATGCGTGATGTAGTGGCATAGAAGCTCGAGCTCCTGCGAGCTCAAGATACCGGGCATGCGAGCCTCATCGCTTTCTTCTAACATGTAGGCCAAGGCATACGGGGATAGTGAGTCCGTGGTCGAGTCGGTGGCGAAGACATTGTCCGGCCACAACGAGGAACCGCTGGGACTAAGGTCGGGGGCTTCCAGCACCGGCGACGGCGACGCGACATCTTCTTCTGCGGCGGCTTCTGGTGCGGATTCTCCCACAGAGTCCCTTTTCGCGGCGTCGTGATAGCGGCAGCAGTGGCTGCGCTTGTTGCAGCGGGAGCAAATGGGCCTCGCTTCATCGCACTGCAGGACTTGGTTTAGCAACAATGCCGCGTTTATGTTACCAGTTGTCTATATGCTACCTTTTTTCTTTGCTGCTTGCATCTGACGCACCCGTTCCTTGATTTCTCATGCGATCTGCGCGGGCGGAATTCCGAAGCAGCCTTTTTGGTGATTGTGGTGGTTGGCATGGTGGTCTGAACTTGACTTGTGAGCAGGAGACGAAACACGCGGCAGCGTATAATCCATCCGGAAGCCGTCCATCCTAGATTGCGTTTTCTAGAGGCTCCTTTTAAAAACCATTCACGTAGAGAGCAGTCTACCAAAAGCTGTCATCAGCCGGCTCAGCCACACCGCGGAAGTCGGTTGATGATTTGGAATTGGGAGCCCAGACTGGGAAGGCACGTTGCTGCTAGCTTGCCAAGACTAGCGTCATCCAATCGACGTGAGATGCGACACTGAAAAGGGCATGGTTGCCGCAGCTGTCAGAGATACATGCCTAAAGTACAACATAATCCGTACAAGGCACGGAAGGTGCTTAGTCGTCGAGAAGAACTTGACATCAAAGCTGACCCGCCGCCATTTTAGTCTCCGTCCCAAATGCCACTCTCACTCGACTTGCACTGCCTCCACAGAACCCGTTGACGCCAAACCTACAAATGGAGCAACTTTCCTCCTCCGGGGAGATTGACAACCCGCCCTGTTCCAAATAAGAAAACACGACGACGTGACCTCGTCCCTCACCTACGCATTTGGCACGGGAAGAGTGCCGCGTGGCCGGAGAGTGCGCCACCCGAGACCAGTTCGCATACTGCAGCCGCTCTGCTTTATGGCCTCGACATAATCGCAAAACTCCAGCTAAGGAGGCTTCTTTTGGTCGATGGAAATTGGGCAGTGTATCGTGATGGACCCGTAATTGTAGCCACTGCCCAAGCCAAGCTCAGACAACTCATTCGAGCATTCTGGACCTTGAGGAGCAAGCCGGTCGATAGGCAATGCTGCTCACGTGCCTACAGCGAGAGAAGGTTAATGACAGCCATGGATGCCATGGGGGCGTCTCGACGGAATACGTAGTCTTGTGCATGAACCTATCTTGTCAGAGCCTATAACGATATAGTCTAGTTGACAGCTAGCTGAGAGTTCCAGAGCACCTATGACGACCGACTGGCCTTACGTCAATGTGAGGCATGATAGGTACTGCCCCCCGTATGATGCGTTGAGTTCAGGCCGTGTATAAGCCATCCACCTATCTGCAGCATCAATCGTGCTGCCAACCTGAGGCACTTCGTGTATATGCAAGTGTTACAAGAGGCCGTGGCTGGGAGATGCAAGTCGATGCCTGTGGCGGCTTGGCCGGTGAAGCCCTCGTAGATTTCAAGAGGCGGACTAGGACAGCGGCTGCTCCAAGAATGAGGCTATTGTGCTTAGCGTCGAACGCAGTACTAGATTCTTGCCCCATGTGAAGTAGAAACTGTGATGATTGTAAGAAGCAGATACCTCTTCTGTAGTCAATGAGAATGGGATTTGTATTCTGCTGCATTTCTAATAGTACTCTCGGAGTAGTGTCTCTTCGTTATTCCAAGCGTTTCGTTGATGAAACTGTAGACTTGGTCTTTTTCAAGGAGCAGAATACGACCAAACCATAATGTTAATACATACAGCCAACTAAGCTAACTGGATAGGCGTAGCCGTGGCCCTCAGTCGACAAGTGCCGGCCCGTCTATCTTTTGGCACCAGATAATGTATGCACGCGGCAACTCTAATCGACAATTTAGCTCCGGCGCGGCCTGCTCGAAGATGAATCTTAATGCAGGCGAGTATTTCGATTCTTGTATAAACACACGACACAACCCATCCCATTTGTGATGCCAGATTCATCTTCTGCTTACCATCATCCGCACCCTTTCCAATCTCTTGCAAATTTTGGCAATCCTGCAACAAAATCTCTTCAAAACCTGACTACTCTGAACACAACTTCAGCTCATCACCACTACAATGTCTGCCACCAAGTCTGAATCCAACAGCACCAAGATGGAAGAAGCCCGTCCCGCCAAGGATGTGACCGACCTCGCCATCACGTCTACAACAAACAGCCTCACCAAGCTCAGCAGCGCCGAGCTCTACCTCGCCGGGCTCTCCCAATCCAGGCTTCGCCTCTCCAAGCCCCAGGCCAGCTTCGAAACCACCCGCTTCGTCGTCCCCTCCAACATCGCCCGCAAGGACCCTCTCATCACAGGCACCTTCCTCCGCCTGCCGCCAGAAATCAGCCTCCAAATCATCGAGGAGATGGACGAAGACGTCGACCGCCTCTGCCTCGGCCTCAGCTGTCGCCGCCTCCTGCACCTCGTCCAGGAGCGCAAGATCCGCGTGCCCTGCATGAAGGCCAGCCGCGATGCCCGTTTCCTGCAGCAGGACAACAAGCTCGCCTTCTCCATGATGAAGCGCGTGCACCCCCTCAACACCATCGGCGAGCCGCGACCCGGCACCGCCCTGTGCCAGTCCTGCTTCAAGTGGAAGAGCATGAACCACTTCGCCACAACCACCCTCGGCCAGCGCACCACGACTGTCCTCTCGCACGTCGTTTCCCTGAGGGACAGACAGTACAACACCGTCGGCGTCCTCTTCGAATGCGCCCAGTGCGTGGCGCGCGACTCGACGCCCAGGGAGGAGAGGGACCGGCGCCAGCGCATCCACGGCATCGGGCTCGTCTCAGAGCCCACTGAGTTTTGCTCCAGCGCGGTTTGGACCGGCCGCGTGAATATGCACAATGGGAGTGAGGTGGATCCTTAGGTGAAACCATGTGCTGGCTAGACTTTGGCCTGATCCGGGAGGGGGACTCGGGCAAAACTGTATTTCTATCTTGTACACGATTTGGGTTTTGGATTTTGTATTCTTGGGTTTTGGCGCATCACATGTACTCTTGTACCAGTATACGTACGTATTCTTTGCTTGGGCTGGGGACAATGTTTGATGTACAGGATACCGTACATGTATCAAATATCATCCCTTTAATCGCTAATTTGAAGTACTTGCTGTGAAGCACGTTCCTGAATGAACAGGCACCATTGCTTGGAGGCTGTATGCTTTTGGTTCCCTTGTTGACCTTATGTGTTTAGATGTGCATTTACCAGACCGTTTCGAATAGAATGGAAGAAAATGGAAGCAAAAAGTACAATGGGGAAGATTTACGCACCTATGGCGATATTCCATCTACACTTACATTCGTATTGACAAAAGTTTTGCGCGTATATATGTGTACAGACTCCTGTTGCTATTTTCTGACTGGAGCGTACCTGAATATCGCCCGTTTACACCGACTTCTAATCGTACACACCTCCTTATGTCTCATGAACCAGAATTGGGGATGATTCTTCAGGCCCTGTTTTGATTCAAATGGCCTCCCCTGAGGATGAAGAGCCCATGTTATGGAAGTCACAAGTTTAATTCGAAGAACCGCTTCTCGTGAACTGGGTATCGCCGCTCCTGAAAGCATAGCTCCAGCAAAATAAACCCTGATGTGAGTTGTCGCGACGACAGCGACTTCAACTGCTATGTCTCTGGGAACCGACAGGTTTCCAGCTATCGCAGAGTCTATCGTAGCGCGAGAAGCTGTACATAAAGATGGGTATTATTCCATTTCCATAGTTCATGGTTGGTGGGATACCAAGGGCGAAGAAAAGAAGGTAGCACGCATCGTATCACAGAGAATGTTCCATTGGCATATCTGATGTCAGATCAGCATATGTTGACTGACCTGGTCATGCTCAAGTACCCGGTAAATCCTCCGCAGACGGTCCGAAATTTTCGTTTGGGCCAGATCAAGGCTTGGTTTAATAAGACGTACGTGTGATGGAATAAGAAGACCTACAGATGCTCAAGCGTTTTAGCTAGATTTCACGTATGTCACCAAGTTTTGGTTGCCACTCTAACAAGTTCTTGATAAAGGGGTAGTGTTGCACGGGAATGGCCCAACAACAACGTAGCGGGACAAAAGGGTACTCTCGCCGACAAAGGACCTTGAGGCTACACAGACTGAACACATAATCGGGCAGAAGCCCTAGACGCGGATGTTCCCTTCATGTATATATAGTGGTCACTCTTCTCTCTCTTCCTCTTGGAATACCAAGGACTTTTGACACCCTTCGACATTATCATTGAATTGAGTTACTTCTGCTCCAAGCCTTCGTATCGAACCCTTGTCACAGGTAGTCGGTCATATATTGCCTTTATATAACATGATTAAGGAACGGTAGTGGCCCTTTTCTTGGGGTTGAACAAGGCTTTACATGGGACAGAGAAAATCATTGGGCTAGTCGATTGCTTCCAGTGCCGAGGAGTGTGGTTGGGCACTATTGTAAGGCCAGGGGGCAAAGGGGTAGGTATGTGGCCAACTGAAGTACCAGGAGTAGCCTTTCACATACTGTCTGGTACTTCACATGCTGTTGTACCCTGATGAATGGCTAGGTAGAGATATATATATGCCTTCACAGACAGCAGATTGCTTATTGTTCGGTTGTCGCGCTATGGGTAGTGCGAAAGCCAGGTTGCATCATCGGATAGTATCAAAACCAAAGGAGCCGATAACAAAACCTCAGTAAATGTTGGGGTGAGGCAAGTGAGGCCCATTACGCCCCGGAGATGCAAATTGCGTCTCACAGCAGTGGTGCGACTTTGACGGCCTGATATTTGTCTTTCAAGCCAGCGAAGGACCCAACGGGGGATTAACCGAAAGCCTGTTCGTTTGACAGACTAGATTTCTCGTGACTCGTTGGGTCGACGGGCTGACTCCTAAGATGCAGCCGGTCGTAGAGCTGTGACGCGCGACTTGCGGCCTAGGATTTTATCTCCTAATATTGGCAGTCTTGCACCCTCGAGCTCAGCGGTATTTGGTGTCGTTTTATTTTTGTCTCCCAACCCTTCGAGCATGGTCTCGTACCGAGGAGTTGTTTCATAATTTGCCATTGAACAAGTGGCAGCATGCTCTGGGACGGGAATCCTGTGTGCAACATTGAGTTCGCCTCACGCTCCGTATTGCACCAGGACTCGACGGCGGGTGTAGCATAGTATTTGTGCAATGGATGGGCAGCCGATGGATTGAAAGGTGCATATAAACAGGGCCATTCAAGGCGTGCAGGGCCGCTCAGGTTGGAGGCGTTTTGTGAAACCAATACTGGACGTAGCAACGAGCCATGTTGTCACGTTGCCGTTTCTGGCTTGCAGTGGCTGGCGGCGCGACCAACGGCTACAGGCTCGGCCGTGTCACCGATGACTCGGCCGAGTGTTGGTTGTGTGCACCATGCGAACATGTCTCGGGGAGTTCCTAAATCGTAAACGTCGTCGGTATTTGCATGGTCCCAGCGTATCGTTGATGGTGGATGCCGAATTTGACACTGCCGAGTTGTAAATTAAGCATCTTGGCAAAGTGCGAATGCTCAAGTACATACGTTACCTGCCTACCCACCTACTTAACTAGGGTACAGTGCGCCGAACTTGGCGCGTAAAGTCGAAGGTCGGAACGTTTTAGCCTGTGCAACAGAAACCAGCTTGACATGATAATAAACATGCCGGCAAGTGGAAAACAGGCGCACACAGGCGGCAATCAAGCGAGGCAAGTGCAAATCATGTCGACATGTCTCGGCGCCCCGCTTGCCGTCCACAGACTGGTCGACGGTTCCACCAACCCACAGAGTGCTAAGAGCTGAGAGTGGTCATGTACCAGGTACGGCGCAGCTACTCTGCGGCCGGGCATTCTGCAGCGGACTCGCTAGTTTAAGTCCAAGTCGGCTGGTATTTCCTGCGGATATTTCCATCGCCACCACAGGATGCCTCGGTTTTGCGAACAGAAGAGTCAAAGGTGCGCGTAGCGGAGCGGAGTGCCCCTCTGGCCTCGACCCCTGATGCATCTTGGATCTTGGGTTCTAGACAATAAGCCGCACCCCCATGCTCAATGTTTCATTCTCTGAGACTCTGCCACGCGAGATTGCGTTTGGCCAGGCACCAGCTGGAAACTCCATCAGCCATTGGCACGGCATGGCATGGCCTTGTATCCTGTCACACCGCATCGACTCCCGTGGTTGACGTCACACCGCAGCGCATGAGACCTCTCGGCGTATTTACCATGTTCCCGGGCCGGCGCCTAAATAAAGTAGCTACTTAAGTAAGTACGACGGTCAACGATTCAACTGATATTCATGCACTACTGCACAAGCATCGACGAGTCAGGTGGAGAGATGGGGAGGGAGTTGGGGCCGTGGCAGCTGGGAAAGGCGGCTGTTCAAACTTCGAGTCCAGTCCCAAGTTTTAAAGCATGTGGGTGGCTTTTGCAAAGACCCTGCCTGCCCATCCTTCAATCACACATGCTGGTGCCGTCTAGCACTTGAACAGCCGGCCTAGTTCGTCTGCCAAGATGCCATCGCCCTTGGAACCTTCGTCGCCTTGAGCATCTCGGCGCTTCCGCTCTCACTCTCGTGTCTTCGAAAACCCACCTTTTGCAACATTGCGCTCTTGCACTTTGGCACCATGGGACACTGACCGCAACGCGTCCCTACAATGGCCTTTGAATCCCTCCTGGGGTCGATTGACCCCGTGCCTCTCTCTGAGCCGCCATCCTCTCATCTTCACTGTGCTCGGCTGTGGGCTTTTGTCCTGTTGGCCCTCGTCGCTCTCTACCTCCGCATGTCGAGGCACGCGCAACAAAATGCCGACTTCACCCTTGCGAACCCGCCCAAGTGGTACGAGTTGAAAATCGTCAAGCAGATCCGTTTTCTGTTCAACGGCATCAGCGAACTAGACAAGGCTAGGGAAAAAGCCAACGGAAACCCATTCCGGCTCCTCACAAACTCGCGTGAAATTATTGTCCTGCCACCGTCCTACGCAGAGATCCTCAACGCCGAAGATAGATTAAGTTTTGCAAAGTATTTCGCCGACGTAAGTTTTCGCTGGATACCGCCAATACACAGTGGCTGATAAGATGCAGGAATTCGATGGCGATGGCAAAACTCCTGGTTTGGAGCCGTATACTCTCATTGCGGACCCTTGCAAAACAGTTCCGAAGTTGGTCACCAAGCGTTTGACAAGGTCATTAAGTAAGACATTCCCAACACTCATTCTCAGGGATATGCCGACTAACATTGTTACCTGCCAAAGACACGATCCCCATCAAGATGTCATCTGAAGCTAGCTTCGCCATTGAATATAATTTCGGTGGTGGTGTCAGTACGTGTATTACAATGCTGTCTTACAAATCCGGAGCCCCCAAACTAATAATCCGCAGACTGGCAAGAAGTTGCTATACATCAGCATCTTCTCGACGTAGTTGCACGCATGATCTCTCGTCTTTTTTGGGATGGCGACGAAGTATGCCGGGATGAACGGTGGCTTCAAATTATGAAAGAATGGTCAGTCAACAGCGTCATCGCCGCCTTCATGATCAATATGGCGCCTAGTTTTGCTCGACCACTCATCCGCCGATTCTCCCCTACTGTCCGGCGAGCTCGCGACGACTACCAAGCTGCGCGTCAGTTTATCGAGCCGCTTATTAATGTGCGCCGCCAGGCCCGCGAAAAGGCCCGCGAGTCTGGCGAGAGGGCTCTCGCGTTCGACGACATTGTGGACTGGATTGACTCCGAGAATGAAGAATTGACGTGTGATCCTGTTGCTCTGCAAATGGTACTCAATGTTGCCGCTGTTCATACCACGGCGGCGCTGGTCACCAATACTATTTCGTTCCTGGCCAGCGACCCGTCCACTTTGGAGCCCCTTCGGCAAGAATTGGTGGCTGAGCTTCGAAGCAACGGGTGTCAGGCCGCCGCCTTAAACAACCTCAAATTACTGGACAGTGCCATCAAAGAATCACTTCGCTTGAAGCCCCCAGGTGTTTGTATGTTAGCCGGTATACTTATCATTCTATTGCTAATAACTAACCCACCAACTAGTTGGCATGCATCGCGCCGCCTTGCAGGATATGCAACTACCCAACGGGATGCGCATCCATAAAGGCGATCGTGTCTTTGTAGATATTCCTCATATGCGCGACCCCAATATCTACGAATCTCCAAACACCTACGACATGTACCGTTTCTATCGCATGCGCGGCCAGCCTGATCAAGCCCTAAAGGCACCTCTGGTTCACACAAGCCCAGAGCACTTAGCCTTTGGACACGGAGCCCAGGCGTGCCCAGGGAGATTCTTCGCTGCCATTCTTAGCAAAGTTGTGCTGTCTCATCTTTTGCTCAAGTACGACTGGAAACTCGCTCCAGACAGCGATTTGACGTCTCTGGCGATTGGGTTGACAAAGCGGATCAACCCAAAGTTGAAGTTGCTGTTCAGACGGCGCAACGAAGAGTTTGAGTTGAGCTGAGCTTTTACTTTTAGCATTTCGTCACCATACGTATTTGTGTACACTGCGACAACCACCTTTCGCATAACGACTCTTGAAAAATGACCCAAGTTTTATGACCTAAACATCATGAATTTTATTGCCTCTTCTTTAGACTTATAGATGGCTTGTGTCTGGGATTGGGTTCTGGTATTGCATATGATGGGAGATGCATTAGAACATAGAATCAGGTTAAATTTTGTCCACTTTCAGCATCATACATTACCAATACAAAGTGGTGTATTGTTCCATTACTGTTGAGAATGGTGGTCATGCTCATTATCTGTTTATCGGCTTGAAATAGTGTGCCAAACGCAGCAAATGACAGACTACTCACCAAGGCGCAATATACTTGCCGAGGCCTATTCTTTTGATTGACGCGATCGAAGAATGTAACAGGTCACTGGTCCATATTTGCACTATTGACTATCCAACCCAAGTTTGTGACACTGTTCCACAAACTCATCAAATAGCTTATTCAAGCCAAGGAGATTCAAAGGATCCCTGTCATTCTCATCGTTCATGAAGCACAGCATGTTGTGTATGTCAAAGGTGATGGCGAGCAAATATCCATACTCGGACTCGAGGAATACCTGCTCCCCCGTATCGCACTCGCCAGTCAATGCGTTCCACTGCCGGGCATACTCGTCGCAAAAATGCCTCTTCTCGCGCAGCGTGTATTTCCGGCAATCGGCAATCTTGCTCTCCTCGTCGAACCACCTGAACATCTTTTGCATAAAGTGCCCGCCGACATCCAGCGCGCGGTAATTCCGCATCGCGAATTCAAAGTCCACGAGGGCTACCTTGCTTTCGCCCGGCCTCGCGTGAAGCCGGACCAGGACATTCATGAACTGCACGTCGTGGATGCACCACCCTGCCTTGGCGCCGAGGGACGTGAGCTTGTCGACGGCGTGTCGCAGGCGCGGCCCAAAGTCGTAGTCGACAAGTTTGTCTATTTGCACGCCTGCTTGCCGGCCGAGGAGCTTCAGCTTCTCCGCGTGCTGGTACCGCTTGAGCCCGTCCGTCAGGGCTTCATAGTATAAACTCACGGGCGTCTTCTGCAGCGGCGCCTTGGTGGTGTGAAACGTTGCCAGGGCGTTGGCAACGTCTGCTCGGATGGCGGCGTCTTCGACATCCTCTGGCTGCAGGGTGCGTGCCTCTAGGAACTCGTCGATTCTGCCTGTGGTTCCGTCCGCCAGTTTGAAGAAGCCGTATACTTTTGCCCCGAGACCGGATTTCGCAAATTCGTGGCAGAGAAGCGCCTCGTCTTGCTTGCTCGGTGCTAGATGCTTGAAAATTTCAATGTCTGCCACTGCCTCCTTGTGGAATTTGATGAAGACCTTCAAGGGCTCGGTGGGCGTGTCTGAATTTGGCTGCGGCCGCTCTACTGAACAGTGGGCGTTGGCGAATGACGCGTTGTATGACATGGTGAGAGTCTCCGGGCTCACCGAGGGCAATTCCTCTGTGAGAAAGGTGCTGATGATATCCCTGACCATCTGTTTCGTTGGCACTCCGTCTTCAGGGAGTTTTATCGGCACTGGTGTTGGCGGCGGCATCTTGGTGACTTATGCGGATAATTGATCAGCGAGGGCAATTGCGAGATGCAAGGTGCGCCAAAGATGTATTTTTTTTTTGGGCAAGAGATGACGGAAGTTATTCTACTGCGTATTTATATGTTTCCCGTACAGCAGTGGACAAAGGACGCAAGCAGACGTCTGGAGCTAGAAGCTGCAAGCTCAAGGTGTGAGTCAACCGGCCGGCATGCTGCATTAAAGCCTTCATCTGTCAAGGATGCACCGACTCGGGCTGTGTCCATTTCTGGAATGCGACTAACCTGCCCCTCCTTTGGGAATCTCAGCCAAGCAGTCCAACCAAATGCAACTCTCTCCTGGCACGCAGACTGCGGCCATGGTATGACGGCCGGGACATGTAAAATGAACCCAAGATCCGAAAGGCTTCACGTCGGTATCATCGGCGGGGGAATCGCTGGCCTTGCGCTTGGTATCGGCCTCAACTATCGACATGTATCCTTCACCATATACGAGGCTGCACCGGGGTTGAACGCCATCGGCGCTGGCATAAGTCTCGGTCCCAACACGACGCGGGCCATGGCGCTCATTGATCCAGCGCTGCGGGAGGGCTATGAAAAAATAGCGATAAAGAACCGGTCTCCCGAGAAACGGCACAATTTTGCAGATTTCCTACTTGCTGAGCCTGGACTCGGTGCCGCGAGGGGATTCCATGGTGCCGCAGTCGGGTCAAAGGATTTTGTTAGGAGCGGCGCCCATCGAAAAGACCTACTAGAAATGATGAAGAGCTTGCTTCCAGGAAACGACTGTATCCGATTCGGATTCAAGGCCATCAGTGTTTGCCAGGTCGGGAAGAGAGTTCAGGTGAGCTTTGAAGACGGCCAGGCCGCCGAATTCGACGCAGTTGTTGGCTGTGACGGCGGAAAAGGCATCACTCGACAGGCAGTCCTGGGACATCAGTTTCCAGACCAGGTCCAGCTGACATACAGCGGTCGCTATGTCTATCGAGGCTTAGTACCTCCCGGCAAGGCACAAGAAATTTTGGGAAAGTACGCAGACGACAGCAAGATCTTCATAGGGCAAGGCAGATACTTCGCAGCATATCCCCTATCGGGGGGTGGCTTCAACTTTCTGGGAGGGAGACAGAAGGATGAGCCTTGGACGCATTCACATTCAACCCAGGAGGTGAGCAGAGATGACATGCGCAACGACTTTGATGGCTGCGACCCACGACTGCTCGAGTTACTAGAGGTGAGAATGGCTTTGCTCTCGAGCCATGCCGGGCTCCTCGCTAACTGTTTCCTTGAAAGTGGGCTAAACCGTTGAGATGGGGACTCTTCCACCATCTTTCCACTCCGACTTACACCCATGGACGTATTGTGCTGCTCGGAGACGTGGCTCACGCCTCAACTCCTCATCAGGGCGCGGGAGCTGGGCAGTGTTTCGAGGATGCTCTCATTCTATCTCACCTGTTGGGCCAAATTACGGACGACCAAGAGATACCTGCCGCCATGGAGGTGTACGACTCCATATGTCGCCCCCGCGCCCAAGAAATCGTCCGGACAAGCAATGACACGGGGCTCTTGTATACCATGACGCATCCGCAATGCGCAGATGATGTAGCCAAGATTGTGGCCAGCGCGAAGGGCAGGTTCCAATGGATTTGGACCCACGATCTGCAAGCCGACTTGGCAAAGGCGACAGAAGATCTTGACAGGTTGCGAAAGCAAGCTTAGCAAATAGACCAACTTTAATGGTATACAAAGTACGCCCGAGTAGCCTTACAAAATGACATGTCAGTATTATTAGCACCGCTACCCAAAGATGAGGCGGAGGAGGCGTTGTTGGTCAAAGTTGGCACCACACAGGACAACAACGTTCGTCTGGCCAGCAACCTTGTCCGCGACCTTGTTGTAGCCGGCGAGCGCAAGAGCCGCGGACCCTTCCACAATCATGTTCTCCTCCAACGCAATCGCCTTCAAAGCAGCCACGATGTCTTCCTCATTGCACTCGACGACCTCATCCACAACAGACAAGGCCAGTGGAAGCGTGATGGAATCCTCATCCATGCCGCCGGCCACAGCCTCGGCCAATGTATCCAGATGCTCCGTTTCCACCACCTTTCCCGCCTTCATCGACTCGGCAAGGGCCATGGAGTTGACTGCCGAAACACCGTATATCTTGGTCCTGGGCTGAAACGCCCTGCAAACGGACCCGATGCCACTGATGAGTCCGCCGCCGCCCATGGCGATGAAGATGTTGTCCACCTCCGGACACTGCTCCAGGATCTCAAGCCCAATGCTCCCCTGGCCGGCGACAATGTCGGGGTCGTTGTAGGGCGAGATGTAGGTGTATTCCCCCGAGGCCGCGAGCTTCTGCGCGTGTTGCTCGGCGAGACCCGTCTCGGCGCCGTGGAGAATCACCCGCGCGCCGTACGACTCGATCTTGCGCAGCTTCGCGGGGACCACGGCGTCCGGAAGCACGACGGTGAGGTCCTTGGAGAGCGCGCGCGCCGCGCACGCAGCCCCGATGCCGTGGTTGCCCGAGGATGCGGTGATGAGCCGCTGGCTGCGGCCGGGCGGCTGGGCCGACATTTTGGACATGGCGCCCCTGAGCTTGAAGGAGCCGGTGAGTTGGAAGTTTTCCGCCTTGAAGAAGAGCTTGGTGGCGCTGCTGTCGCTGTTCTTGCGGGATGGGATCACGGGCGTCTGGTAGATGTGGCTGCGGATGCGGTTCCTTGCCTGGACCGCCTGGGCAGCTGTTTCTGCAAAGGTAGGCTGCATGGCGGCGCTTGGATGGCGTGTCGATGTGCGAGGTTCTGGTGGTGGGTGGGTGTTTTGTGTAGGATGCCTTTTTTTGAACTGTTGACACTTGAGTTGGATAGGAGGTTGCGGCTGTAGTAGCGAATCCGATAAAAAAAGCGCTCTAGGCAGGAGAGGTTATAAAGTTGATTAAGTTTTTAGTTTTAAGTTTTTATAATTTAATTATAATTTTTATAATAATTTAATATATATATTATTTGTACTTCAATAACTTATTAAATTTTTTATAACAAAAATAAATAAATTAAAAATTCATTAAAAATATTTTAATATATTTAATTAATATAAATTACTTTTATAAGTAATAACTTATAAATTATAACTTAAAAGGGATTTTAATTAGATTATTTTATAAGTAATTAAAGTTACTTGTATTTTCCTTTAATTATACGCTAGTACGTTTAGCGCGTCACGATACGTGAACCGACAGTCTATTTTTTTGGTGTCTTACTATTCTTGGCCTGGTACAGCCTAATACTATATTTTCAGATTTTACGCTTGCACGATACTTGTATTATACTTGTAATCTTATTTGACTACAAAGCGAAATAACTCCCACCTTAATATTCCTGGTATTATAATCTAGGTCTGAACTCGTAATATTAGGCGCAAGAATTACAGTTTTTAGAATGTTGTAATATATCTGGTGTATTTATGGCATGTGGCGTAGTCTATTACGGTTCTTTGGTTTAGTGCACTTGACAGTTTGCTAGCACTTGAGGTAAACTGACAAGACCTTTAGCGAAAACCCTAAAAAGTCTACATGTAATACATGTAATATTTATAAATACTCTCCACGCCAAAAACTTGTAAATACCTGCACGGTCTTATTTCTGTAGAATCACACTCCAACGCTATCTGACCGCCTTAATACACGCAGCTTTACTACTCTTCCTCGCGACTTGATAAATTATTATTGAGCCAATATGGCTGTAATAAGTATATTGTCTCTTATGCTTTTATCTATACGCGATCTTTTTTATTCTACTCTCACTTTTATAACCTGGATATTTCATTCCATCGCATCCTTTTTCGAGTCAGTATTCTCTCTTCTTGGGTTTCCCTCCTAGTCCACACCGAACCTCGGGTCCCCCAAGGCCTTGCGGAATCCAAGGACCCTTGATACCCCAAAGTCGATTATTATAATTTGAATTGAAAACGACATGTCAAGCCCAGTCACCCTGGCCGTGTCACACTTTTCTTCTTCTCCATCATTCCCCACAATGGACCACGCGAGCACATGACGTGATCATCATGATTGTCTTTCTGGCTAACACAATGTGGTACCAATTATAGATCTTGCTACCTCTTGCAGTTTTACTTGTTTTTTTCTTTCATGGGCTTGGTGGGATGCATCGCCAACCACCTCTTAGCAAGCGTCTCCCGCCCTCCTGGCGAAAGGTGGCAATTCTTTTGCGACAACTTCCTTCGGGGATTTGTCGTGGCATACCTGGAGGTATTCGGGAGGATGACGTTCGGGATCTTGCAGCGTGTGGGGGAAATGCTGGAGAGTGCCGTGGACCAAACCAGCACGCCTAGGGACCTCGAGGAGGCCTAGGCTGCGAGTACCGTCTCTGTCAAGGCACCGTCATACACGTGCGTCGTCTCCCCAGGAAAGAGGTGCATCGGGATTCGGCCTGGATATCGACGTTTCATGCTTCAACTTGCGCACACGCAACGCACGGGGCCGGAGCCGGAGCCGAACATCAGACGCCGTTCCCGCCCCGGCCCCCCAAGCCGCACCCCGCAGACACCGTGTTCTTCAACTTATATCTAATTTCTCACGGCACCACACCTCCCATCCTGACACCGACCGCCACTTACATGTTCACCAAGAGGCATTTTGCAACATGACAGGTATACGGCACATTCCGCTCAAGTACATGGTTGGCATCAGCCTCGTTGGCTGTGCCGTACCGAAATTACTGCACTTATACGAGCGCAATGGCCAGGCTCTCCAAGTCTTCTTTGCCCTTTACTTTGGACAAATTTCCCTGTTCCTGTTTTATGCCGTCCTGATCTACCCGTTCTTCCTGTCGCCCATTCGCAATCTGCCGAGAGTAAAAGGCGGATTGCCTCTAGTTGGCCATGGTATCGAGCTTAGAAAGTACGGCCCAGGCTATTTGGCAAAGAAATGGTAAGAGGACTCGTTCTTTCCAAGTCGACACATGCGATGCTGAAAGAAAAGTATGCAGGATCGCAGAGAATCCCAACAACGGCATGCTCCGCGTCTTGTGGCATGGCAATCAGGAAATGGTCATTGTGAATTCACCACAGGCCCTATCCGAGATTCTCGTCACAAAGTGCTACAGCTTTGAGAAGCCCAAATTTGCTCGCAGATTTCTCGCCTTCATCATTGGCTGGGGGCTGCTGACTGTCGAAGGAGACGAGCACAAAAAGCAGCGCCGGGACATGCTGCCGGCCTTTTCGTTCCGCCACATCAAGGACCTGTATCCTCTCTTCTGGTTAAAATCCAAGGAGGCAGTGAAGGCAATGACAACCGAATGCGATGAAAAGGGCCTCGCCGAGATGGAGATTTCCTCATGGACTGCCCGCTGCGCATTGGACATCATCGGCCTCGCAGGCGTGGGAGTCGACTTTGGCTCAATCAAGGATCCAAACAGCCCACTGGCCAAGAGCTACGAGTTCCTGCAGCCATCTCCTGCGGACATGCCTCTCATCGGACTCACCGCGTTCCTTCCCGACCTGATCATGCATAACCTTCCCTTGGGCCGAGTCAGGAACGCTAACAAAGCCTCGAAACACATCCGCGCCGTGTCTCGCGACTTGATCCGCAAGAAGAGAGGCTTGCTGGCCAACAAGGAAGATGCCGGGCTCGACATTCTCACCGTCGCACTCAGGAGCCAGCTCTTCTCCGAGGACACGTTGGTCGACCAAATGATGACGTTTCTCTCTGCGGGACACGAGACGACCGCATCGTCGCTGATCTGGGCGACGTACTTTATGGCAAAGTACCCAGACATGCAGGAGCGTCTCAGAAAAGAGATACGCGAGCACCTGCCCTCTGCTGATAGTGATACCGACATCACAAGCGCTGATATCGATAACTTACCATACCTGAATGCTGTGTGCAGCGAAGTCCTGCGAATCCATAGCCCCGTGGCGCAGACTGTCCGCGTATCAACCGGTGATACCACTGTTCAGGACCAGTTCATTCCCCGAGACACCCTGCTGGTGCTGGTTCCGTGGGCGACTAATACTGATCCCACACTCTGGGGGCCCGATGCGTACGAGTTTAAGCCTGAACGCTGGCTGAGCCCAGAGCAGGGCGGAACGAGCGCTACCAATGCTGCGAGCGGCGGAGCGACCAGCAACTATGCCTTTATGACGTTTCTTCATGGACCACATAGTTGTATCGGTGGTAGCTTTGCGAAATCCGAGCTTGCCTGTCTGGTGGCCGCCTGGATTGGAAGGTTTTCGTTTGAATTGAAGGACAAGTCTCTGTTGGACGAGAGAAATATCAAGATTGATCCTAGTGTGGTGGCAAAGCCCAAAGGCGGAATGCACATGCTGGTACGAGTTGTTGAGGGCTGGTGAGAAGAAAAGACCTTGTATGCGAAACATGGACGGGACAGGCCCCAGAGACTGCATTTATTGGAAATAACAACGAATTCTGCTTTGTACTGTCTTTTGAAATATAACTTTACAAAATATTTGTGTAAACGAACTTGAGGTGAGGCAACCCAAGCGGTAGTGTCAAGTTATCCTGTCCCGAAAATCAGGAATTGCCGGACTTGGACTGCCTTGGAACAGCGTAGCAATGCCGTTATGGGAGAGTTTGCTCTGCCTAGTGGAGCCCGATTTAAGCCCAGATTCATCTCGAAACTGCTATATCATTGCAGCTTTGTTAGCTCGGGTGTTGGAAACACCAGCGTCAAGTTGACTGTTCCACAGACCGGTCTGCGTGGCCGCACTTTGACCAGCCTAGACCGATCAACATACAGTGAGTTATCAGATAGAACGTGTACTGCAAAGAGCTCTAACAAAGGCGGCAAAATTCTGACGCCTAAGACTCCTTGTTGGAGACTTTGCTGATACTTTGTCCACGCCCCTTCTTGCAGGAACTGTGACGAACATACTTGCAGTATTGGGGACGTCAGCGGCAGCATGATATATCCTTCATCGCCAGCAGAAGCCAGATGCGGGGAAGGAATGCGGGAGGAATAAATAGACATGTCCTCTCAATCTGCGACGAACTCGACTTACATGATGGCCACTATCAGGGCCCTGCGACCTCGTGGACGAATGAGCGTTATGGGGGGCATTGCGGGAATTTTGAGCTCCCTTATATGCTCATCTTGTTTCAAGGCATTACTATCAAGGACAGTTTCATGTACACCAGGAAGCAGGCCGATGAGCTCATTCGCTTAATCGAGACGGGGATGCTGCCTATCGGCAAGCGTAGTGGGATAGAAGTGACGGGTAAATACGGTCTGCGTCAATGGGAAGAAGCCTTGGATTATGCATTCCAGGAGCCTGGGCCTAAGCGAGTAACTTGCTTCGTACCTGGTGATGGTGAGTAAACGACACTGTGGACAGGGGGGTATTAGTGCCGCATGCAGCCTCCCACTCCAAGCTCAATATATCGCAGTCTGGCATTGTGGTCTTGTTAATCTTGGAAAGCACGGTATCAGCAGGTTGAAAGATAATGGCTGCGGCGAAGCCGGCAATGAGGCCGGATCCCAGGTTAACAACGGTCTGTGTACCATCCGACAGCTTCGACTTATCCCCCAGGCTGGCGAAGACGGTCTCTGCGACCTTTTCGTACGCGAAAAAGTTGGTCACTGTATAAGGGATTCTGAAATTTCATCTACTTAGCTCTATGTTCCTGCAATCTAGGCGCATAGTGGAGGGAAACACTGCTTCAGGAGAACCTTGGGGCTCCTGCTCGGCGGCGACCTGCGCCAGGGTAGCGGTAGAAGTAGCCATTACGACGGCGATGAATGGCTCCCGACGAAAAGAAACGGAGTTGGTGGTGTTTTTCGGAAAGATGGTGGGAAGAGTCGTCCAACACAACGGGAGTGAGGTAATTTTGCTGCTACTGCTGACCTGACCTAGCTTTCCTAGTTTGGGGCGAAATGGCAAATAGTAAGCAAGCGTCCGCGATATTATTCCTCCGCTGTCCCGGATCTCTGCTCCTTCCCATGCTTCAATCGTGCAACTGCATTGCCTTTCGAATAGTTTTGACTTATTTGAGTGACTTGTTCTGTGGTCACAGCCATCTGATGTGAAATTCTCAGTTGACGAGTCGAGGGCTGAGAGAGAAGGCGAAGACATTGATGGTCGGTGAATCCGATTTCCAGCTCGAGTTCTGATTCCAAAAACTTCCTCTTGACCTACGACATGAAGCATACGAAGGAGTATCCGCGATGTGTCTGGCAAAGAGCCAAAGCCGCCCGCCCCGTGTTCGTGGAATCATGGCGCACGGCTGTGGCACCGTATGCGGCTGCCGCTGGTCGCTGTATAATTGGAGCATATGGCATCGAATGGTCAGTAAATCCTACGTTGTATAACTAGGGCGAGTGGTGGCGGGCCACTCACGAGCAATACGTACAGTGGGTGTACAACACCAAGATTAACCAGGACGACAGTGTTACATGATCTCCGGCCCAACAGGGGTGTTCCAGATCTTCCGACAGTCCCCGCATGCCAATAAACTTTCCGGGCCTTGACAGGTGTGCCAAATTTGGCCACTTGCAGTCTACAATCGTCCCATTGGGAACACGACCAAGCTCAACGAGCTCGAACAAGCCATGATGCATCTCGATCCCTGCGGCCAGTATTCAGACCAGCACTGCTTCTTTATAGAAAGGGCAGCACCTTGTTTACCAAACGTCGTATAATTGCTGATTTTGACACGCCACTTCTTGCCCATAATTGGCTCGCCAAGAAGGGCTGAAAAAGTATAGAGCGTGGGTCGACATGCTTGGGAGTCAAATCCTCGCGTGGCTTCAGAATTGAGCACCACGCTGACGGTGGTGTTGCAAATACCAGCGACGATGCATATGTCATCCGGCTCAAAGGTTCAAACTTCAAGGTACGTGGGTTGGCCGTCCTGACTCCTCGGTGGCGACGCCAGACCGCAGGTGCCTGACAGTGTTGGCTGACTTTGGCAAAATTTTCTATAGAGAACGGGCCAAAAATAAAATGGTTGCAAAACATTCCCAATGCGCGCCATGTTAGTCGTCATATCGTTCGATTACGATGCCTCGCTCCGTCCACGTGGGCGCTCTGCACGCCAGCCAAGGCGCGCCTCAAGACGACATCTGGACTTGTTCTCCGCTCACCGGCCCCCGGGCCCTACTCGATTCGTACTGGAGCTGACAGGAGGGTGCTCAAGTCAGGAGCAGCTCGCGAAGATTCATCGTCGCGTCACACCACCCGGCGTGGCTACGCAGCGCTGCATCACACCACCGTCGTCTCCACTCCGGAGCAAGCCGCAAACCACCCCGTGTGTCAACGGGCTCCGGCCGGAATCCTCAGAGTTGCATTCAGATATAAGTATTTCGACGAATACAGGTTTCAGAATGCATTTTGTCTCTGCATACAGTAACTTTAGACCAAGAGACTACTCAAAGATTACTCTTTCTTGACAGCGTAATCCGCATCTGGAAACACCACCTTTTATTTTAATACACCATTCTATGCCATTCAAGCCTCAATATGTCTGCGCCAGTTAGAGCCGTCGCCACCGCCCGTTTCCGCAAGCCGTTGCTGGGACTCATGTTTGGCACTTCAGGTTGGTCTCTGCGTCTTGCCGCATCGCTTTCTCGATAATGGGCTATTTACTAACATAAATCGTGTGTCAGCCCTTGGTGTCGCCACCTATGTTCGGTCACAGCTCGTCACCAACTCCAACACAATGGACCGCTTCTTCGCGACATATAATACACCGGAGAGTGAAGCTTCCAGGCAGAAAACCTTCCAGGGCCACCCTGACCCAAGGACAAACATATTAAATTTCCTGAGTTGGAAATGAAGCTGGTGTCATCGTATATACCATGTCTTTGGCGTTTATCATAAAACAGCACGCGTTAAGAGCAAGGAGTGCTGGAAGATAATTACTGGGAGTTGGGTTTTTTTATATACCTCTGAATATACTTTTTGCTTTGTTGGAGTTTCCCGTTGACCCCTTGTAGGGGATATTAGACCGTTCCAGGGAAAATGTACTGCGTAACAGTGCGATCGCAGTGGTAGTAGCCAGTGCGCGCTGTATAGCGGGAGGCATCAAGTATTATTGCCCACTTCCACGTTATTCTACGCCACCGAGTGGGTAAATACTTACTGCCTATGGCTGGACGTATTGGGTGCTTTTGACGTAGTTTTAAAGGTTAATCTGGACTGAGAAAAGTAACTTTGACCAGATTGCGTGTAAAGAGGCTTTAAGATAGGAAATGACATAGGAAATGAGAACTGAAGTATGATTCTCTGACAATGAGCCCCTCGGCGATTCCTCGACGCCCTCGGACCATGCTAATGGACAAGAGTAAGTACACATGCAGTGCAGGGTTGACCTAGAGGCGTGTAAACTCTGGGGCAGAGTCTGGAACTTGGTTAAAGTTCTGGACCCGGACGCCACATGGTCTGGTGTAATAGGTCTACCTGCGAGTGGTTATCCATGTGGGAAAATCGAACCATCGGGCTTTTTCTCCATCTTTGGCAGTTGACGTCGGGAACCAGCGGGCACTTGCGTCCAGATCCGCCCAGGCATCCATCAAGTTTTTTCTGGTGTGGGCAAGCGTATCGCCACTTACATGTACGTAGTGTTGAAATATAAATGACTGCGAAACTCACCGCAATTTTAAAGACAAGTCGACTACAGAATAGAAAAATAGCTGTGAACTGTCCTCAGGCTGTAAAGTCGTATTCAGGATATTTGCTTGCGCCGGCAAAGACACCGACCAAACATCCCCTGCCAAAGATGGACGTGGATTGGATAGACATGGATGAGGCCGGCGTCGCTTGGCTGGGAAACATGGGTGAATGCAATAGCTTGCTGGTAAGATGGCCGGGCCCTGTCCATACGTATTTTGCATTTTACTTGAGCACCCATGTTTACGTCTCACACCAGGACGAGTACTCATATCAACCCAACGAGGCATTTGGTTCCACGCCAAACCTGTTCAACACCGGCGATAGTGGTGCCATTCCATGCATAAAAGAACCTGGCTCCGAGTTCGGCCAAGAGATGGACCAATTCATTCGCCTTCCGTACCCTTCCCTGGTATCTGATCTGTCTTTAAATCACTATCAGCGCACATCTATATCGGAGTCCTCTACTTGCTCCAACTCCAACGATACCTCACCTCCTGAAGAGGCACTGCCTCTCAAACCCATACAAGAACCTTGCGGTCAAATCCATCCGACACAATTTTCCAATGACCAGCGGAATAGCTCCACGTCCACAGCTATGGATTCCACCGAGACACATCCCACGAAAGACAGACGCCCAAGAACACGCCGCAAGAGGGCAGCGCGCAACACAAAGGTAGACGACGATGACGGATGTTTCAAAAATAGTCCTGCTGCTGGTGAAAAAAATCACCGGCTGCGGGGCTGTCACAACCAAGTAGAGAAGAACTATCGCAGCAGGTTGAACAACGAGTTTCAGCTGCTGCTGGATGCGCTTGCAGACTGTACAAGTGAGAAGGATATGACGTCGGCGGGCTTCGCAGACCGTGGCACCAAGAACCAGAGCAAAGGGTCGACTTTGCGACTTGCCAGGCGCAGGCTGTTGGCGCTGCATACGGAAAATCGCCTTCTTGGTAGTGAGTTGAGGGCGATAAGACATGCATGGACGGAATGGCAAATGGCATGGAGCGGCAACAACCCCGTCACGCAGGAGTACTGAGGCCCGATGACCAAGTTGTATACAGAAAAGACAGTGAGCTATACTGGATAAATATAGAGGAGCTGTTTACAATATTGCACTGTTGCTAGCGTCACAATCACGGCAATACGCCATTGTGTATCTGCTGTATTTTCGTGATGAGGTCGATGAGAAGAAATATTCATCCATTTGTAGGATACGTACTGCTCTTCTGAAAGCTTTGCACCGACCTCTAAAAAAGACAGATCAAGAAGATTGTAATTTAAACCCTCCATCAATGACTGCCTTGAGCCCGCCATCAAGATTTACCACATTGAATCCTTTCTGGCTGAGGATCCGGTAGGCCAAGTATCCGCGATAACCCACGTAGCAGTACACAAGTACTGGAATTGCCTTATCCAGGGTGTCTACACGATCCCTCAACGTGTCAATGGCCAAGTTGACCGCGTTCGGGAGGTGGCCCGTCGCGAACTCTTCGGCAGACCGAACATCGACAACCTGCCAATCGCTCAGCTTCTTCAAGCTGAGATCCTCGGCGTGTACGATTCGGTAATCCCCGCGCATCAAGTTTGACGCCACAAACCCAACTATATTAACTGGATCTTTGGCCGAGCTGTAGGGCGGCGCGTAGCCAAGTTCCAGATGTTCCAAGTCAAACACGGTCATTCCGGCCTGTATCGCCGTCGCCAACACATCAATACGTTTATCCACGCCTGCTCTGCCCACTGCCTGTACGCCCAAAATCCGCCCCGTGTTCTTCTCAAAAACCGCCTTTATCGTAATGGCATGGGAGCCAGGATAGTAGACGGCATGGCTCGGCGGATGCACCGTCACCCAGAGAGGCTCTCGCCCGGCATCCCGCAGCGCAGAGACCGACAGGCCCGCAAAGCCAACAGTCAGATCAAACACCTTGCAGACAACGGTGCCAATGTTGCCGCGGTAGTGCACCAGCTTGCCGGACATGTCGTCGGCCGCAAGCCGTCCCTGCCGGTTCGCCGGCCCGCCCAGCGCAACTACGCGCGGCTGCTTCAAGACGGCGTGCTCCGTCTCGACCATGTCCCCCACGGCGTATACGTCCTCGTCCGAGGTTTCCATGTGCGAATCGACCTTGACCCCGCGCGGTCCGACTTCCAAACCGGCCTGCTTTGCGAGGCCTGTCCTCGCCCTCATCCCGGCCGCGAGGATGACCAGCTCGGCGGGGATCTCTCTCCCGTTGCTGGCGAGGACCACGTGCGACCGCTCGATTCTCCGCACGCCGTCGTGGAGGAAGACGTCTACCCCGTGGCGCTTGAGCTCGGCGTGGAGAATCTCTGCGATGTCTGCGTCCACGGGAGGCAGGACATGGGGCAGTTGCTCGATAATGGAGACTGCGAAGTTCATGGCTCGCAGGTTTTCGGCGGCTTCGAGGCCGACGAAGCCGCCGCCGATGATGCATACACTGCAGACGTCTCTGTCCAACATGATACCTCTGACTTGTTGGAGATCCTGTGGGGTTCGTAGGGTGACCACATGGCTCTGGGCTTCTCCTTCAATCCGAGGCCGAATTGCCTGAGAGCCTTGAGATAGTATGAGCTTGTCGTAGTCGAACTGGCGAATCTCGGTTCCGCCGACGGTTCGTGTGCTGATTTTCTCGTTTGTGCGGTCAATTTCGGTGACTTCAGTGTTGAGGTAGACGTCAATGTTGAAACGCTCCTTAAAATACTTTGGCGTGTGCAGAATGAGTGCATCGTCGTCCTTGATGACGTTTCCGAGAGCGTACGGTATGCCACAGTTTGCGTAGCTGGCATAAGGGCCTTTTTCGAATACCGTAATCGTTGCGGATTCATCGAGGCGACGCAGCCGGGTGGCTGCTGACATGCCACCGGCGACGCCACCGACTATGATGACTTTTTTTGACATGTCGACGGTTTGAATAGTATTTTGTTTCAGTTGTGCCGCAGGATTGAGAAATGGCTACGATTCATCAGACGGACAGCGGTGGGACAAAACGCAGCATAGATCTATATATACGTATATCAAGCCAAGACTCGCGTCGGAATGGCCAAGTCATGTCATGGTGGTGTGATGCCTGGCGATATACATTCTTGATGCCTCCAAATGGCGTTTCGTCATACGGTTTACATGTAGTGGCGCACGCGAATTCAGGCTCGGTGTGTGAGGTTGCCGCCACAGCTTCATGTCGCACTCTACCGAATCGAGCCATTTTACTCATAAAGAGAGTATCAAACATGAACAACATGAGTGTCGTCTTGATGAGCGTCATGTGTTAGTGGAAGACGCGGTGATAATCTGTCGTGGGTCACCGTGCTGTTACACTGCAGGCCCCAGGGGAAGAGTTACGACAGTTGTCAACCATCTCAAGGCTACATCGTACTGAACCGTAACATGGGCCTGGTGGACTGAGTGATGATTTCCATGACCTCTCAAAGGGGTCTAAGGCTATTCGCAACTGATGTGGCTAAAGTACTCTTTAGTTTCTTGAGAGACTATATCATGTGAGTCATTTGCCATCCCACGATAGGGGTGAGCTGGAGAAGTTGTTGAATATACCACTATTGGCGTATACTTGAATGTACCACGGTACATTAGCGTACTCCGTATACTTGTAATAATAGAACTTTGGGGCGAGACATAAAGAGCCAAGACAGCGTCCAGATTCGGCGAAAGCCCTAATTGGTCGATGCCCCGATTCTTCAACCTATAGCTATTGCGTTTCACACACGAAGCGGACGGTGGCGGCCACGGGTGTGAGGCGGTCCCAGCTGACGACATCTGGAATTACGCTGCCATCGTTCCATGGGCCAGTTGCTCTAGCCTGAGAACTTGAGTTATTATCGCATGGCATCCTCCCTTGTGCATGACTACCTGGCTAGATGTTTCAGTGTCATATCGAGTCTTGTGCACTCTCCCTCCTGATCCGAAGGCTGCTATCATGGAAGCGAGGCCGCATCGCAGCATACACGGTACAATGCAAACAGCGGGTATCGAGACCGAGAGCAACCGTCTGAAGACGAGAACCAAAACAGGGTGTATAACATGGTAAGCCGAGTGAAAACTTTAACTTGTAAACGAATCCCTAGATAATATGGGTGCTGATACCATCGACTAGCAGGTATGTTGACCGCGGCTTCAACTGTAAGCCCTTGACTTGGACAGTCTAACTTGGCCGTTCTCCGTTTCATAGAAAGCGACGCGTCAAATGCGACGAAGGAAAACCAACTTGCTTCAAGTGCATGTCTGCCGGAAAACCATGTGAGGGATATGCCGCCGCCGTTCGATTCGTCCATGACCAGCGCCGTATTCCTCGACAAGAAATACCCAGCCAAACTAGGCACTTTAGAAACAGTTTCACGAGATCCATCTCGTCAGGCGTGGGTAGTACTCACATGGAACGGCAGTTTTTCTGCAGCTATAGGCGGGCGACCGCAGCCGGGGTTTCCATGCACTCTTGCGGCGTGTCGCCATTCTGGACAACGCTTGCCCCCCAGCTTGGCCATTGTGACGAGGCCGTTCAGCATGCTCTCGTAGCGCTCGGTGCGGCATATAACCTATACAAGGTCGGCAAAGGAGCTTCCAGTCATCTGCAAGTGTCCTCGCCTGCGGTCGGGACGCTGGAGCGCTTCACCTGGCGGGAGTACAACCTGGCCATACGGAATCTTCACAGACATCTTGATAAGCCCGAGCCCGCGAGCATTGCCGTTGTGCTCGTCTCCTGCCTGGCCTTCATATCCCTGGAGCTCCTTCGTGGCGATCACTACACGGCGATAGCGCACATGCGCAACGGAATACGCATCCTCATGTCGGCTCTGGACGTGCGCCGTCTTCGCGCCGCTGCGTCAAGACGTCGGGCAAGAGGGTCCTTCTTATCCGACGCCGATCTATGGGATATTGTCACTCAGTTCCGTAACGTTGAGTTTGCTCTGGGGGGCTTCTCTTCCGACATCCCCTTGCTCCTGGGACAACAGCTCCGCGGCGACACGCCCGACGCCCGGCCCATCGCCAGCGTGGCCCAAGGCTACGACGCAAGAACACAATACGTAAACGAAGTCATGGTTCGCTGCTGGGAGCTGCGTGAGCACAGGGGCAGCCAGGTCTTCTGGGCGCAGCCGCATATGCAGCAAGAACTACACACTCTTCGCCAACGGGGCGTGGCGATAATGTCTGCTCTTGAGCTGCTGTGGGCTGGACCGCAGGCACCCCCGTTGGGAACATGGCTGTCATACAGTAGCCAGATGGACTGGCTGCTGGTGAATAGTGCGAGAACCATGATACAGCTTGTGCCGTTCGGCATCGACTCCCACCTCAAGATGGCCCAGGACCCCTGCTTCCAGGATGAACTTTCACGGGGTGTCTCGTTTGCGGCCAAGATGCTCCTGGCACATAACCTAGAGGGGAAGCCGCCGTCGGATTACACTCTTGAAACCGGCCTCATCGCCCTCATGTACTGGTCGTATGTGTACAGCACGAGACTGGGGACAAAGGAAGCGGCCTTGAGGATCCTTCAGGAGTCAACCCAGAGAGAAGGACCATGGGATGCCAGCCTTAGTCTGGGGTTTCTTTCTCGAGACACCAAGCCGCGCCTTCTCATTAGTTTTTGGAGGGAGCCGCAAGCTATTACGCACCCGGCTATCCCTTGGCAATTAAGAGTCGTCGAGCATTGAAAGATGAGGAAGAGTTGGGGAATCGTGTGAGCTTAGATTGCGGACCAACCATGGCTTTCTCAAATAACAAAGCCTCCTGTGGCGAAAGTTCACCACGACCGCAGATTAGAGGATGCTGATTACGACCTTTACTGCCGTATGAAGCGTTGCTGGAACTTGGCATGCCCGTTGGCGAGTGGGTGAATCTCCAGATGTCCTTTGTTCTCTGCTCCGCGGAATCTTCTGCCCCTTTCACAAGATTGCCCAACTTGCCTCTGGCTCTAGAATATACGCTGAAGACTATAGCCTCGGGTAATCAGGGAAGCCAGGACGACGAGAAAGTAGGAGTTGCGATCAAGTGCATTCTCTTTGTCTCTTCCATACTCTACTAGGCAACATGCAACCACCTTGCCCACCCATCTCCTATAGCTTTTCGCCTTGCGAGCCACTCAGATGGCCCTTCTCCTCAAGATACGACTTGATAATCCCCTCGAGAGAGTCCGTCGAGGTCAGCCCAATCGTGTCATTGTCCCACTTGTCATACAGCGTGCCGCCAGCAGCCCATATTCGGCGCAGCGTGGCAATAGTAGCGATCGGGTTCCCTGCCTCCCAGAATTCCGCCTCTGTCCGCTCCAGGGACTCCAACGGGATATATTTTACAGCAAACTTTCTGCCTAGCTGCTTCTCAAATTCGGCCAGGACCTGGCTCGGAGTCACCACGAATGACGAGATTTTCAACGCCTTGCCGTACGATAGTTCGGGGTGACGGAGAGCTGCAACCACGGCTTTACCGGTGCTACAGAGCCATGTGTCAGTGTGCCTTGAAAAAGGGGGCGTGATGCCGACATGGGGATCAAGTGAGAAACATGACAGCGGTCAGCCGCACTCACTCTTGCATGCTTGTAAACGCGATCCTGCCTTGTCCGTCGCCGATAAGAAAGGCCTCGCCCTTCTCAACCTTGAATCCGCCGATTTGATCCGAGCACGTACCGCCATCCACCCACATTTCGAAATACGGACCGACGACAACATAAGTCACCTTCAGGCGCTTCGTGTGCTCCCGGATGTACTTGCGGATGGCCAGCTTCATCTGATGAGGTCGCTCTGTTGGGCTCTTGGAATTGTGCTCGATATCTGTGCCATACTCCGAGGGGAAGAACCACTGAACAGTTCCCGACTCTTCGGCCAGCCTGATGAGTTCTTTTTGCTGGTCAAGCACGGCTCGCCCGACGCAGCTTACAACCGTGTCAATGCCGCGGTATGCAGCGGCGACATCGGCAGCCTTGGTAATGTCGCCAGTTATTACCGATGCACCAGCGTCCTTCCAGCCATTTATAAGAGCTGCCTTGGACGAAACGGTGTTTTCGGACGTCAAGATTGTTACTTTGGCGTTGTTGGGCCTGGCGTGAAGGATGTTCTTGGTGATGAACTGGCCAATGTTGCCCGTGGCCCCAAGTATGAGGATTCTGGATGGTACTGTCGCCATTGTTAAGATGCTTCTTGCAAGTGGTTCACCCTCTCTTTCGCCGCCAATAATTCAGGACGACAGTTTCGACGGCTGAGAGAAGTTGATTGCGGGGATACAGTCTGTAGTGACGTGCTTATGCTGTCTGCCTGTGATTGGCCATGACTTGATCGTCGACGGCCAAGAACCGAGTGGGTATTGTAACACCCATCGTCGGGATGGGAAACGAGCTACAGACAGGGGGCCTAATTTACGGCTTGTGAGTTCAGGTGCCACTTTCGTACCGAGCAAGGATATAGGCCAGTTAAGAATCCTTAAATCTAAAGGTATAAGTACATATATTAAGTATTAATATAATAACTCAAGTACCTGGGGTTTTGAAGTCTATATAAAAATGTATTACACTTATTGCAGCCCTTAAATAAAAAGTCAAGTACTTGTTAGGTATCGCGGAGAAGTGGGACCGCTACCTGACACAGTCAAAGGAATTTGTTGGGCCGCCGGCATGGTTTGGGGAGTCATGGCAAGTCACCACCTCCGCCAAGCACTCCATGACCGTATCCATCATCTCCCCGGATCGAAGGGAGTCGTAGATTCGGCTCACGCAGTCCCCAATCAGGTATCCATCGCTGAACGGAGTGAGTTCCGCGTCAATCTGCTCCCTTGTACGTTTCGCGCTCGCAACGGAAGGGTGGTCTGGCAGTCCGCGATTGAAAGGAATCCCCAACGTGACCCGAACCAGTTCATATATTTTCTTGGAAGCATCGCAAAGATAGGAGGGGGTGTCGCATTTGGTCAACGCAGAGTGACGGATCTCGTCAAACTGACTCTGCATCAGGGCCTCTACACTTGTAACCCAAACAGGAATCATCGAGAATCCCGTCAGCAGCATTCCGGAGGATAAACTAGGCGATTTGGAGAGAAACGACATGAATACAGCCTGTGTTGACACCGCAATGTTACGGAAGCGACTGGTCGAGTCCTCGGCGGTTGTCTTCTTGAACTGATCGATGATATGTCTACACGTCAACAACTTCAACTCAGCAAGGGAGTCATCAGGCAGAACCGCTGCGAAAAAACCCTCTACAAGCGGCGGCAGAACTGACTTCATTCCATCTTCAAATTGTACCTGCATGACCCGCAGATCAAGGGCTTGGCAAAGTGAATAGATGTAGGAAGCAGTCAACATCGAAAATGTGTCAATCGCCGTATGGGTATAGCGAGCCGAAAGGAGAGCCAGAGAGTTAATCGCCTGATTCGCCATTTCGGCGCTTTGCACGTGCGGTGCAACAGACTGGGCTAAAAAGCCCAACTCCGAGGTATAGGCAGCCATGGCAATGTCGATGCCTGTCGACAGCATAAGCTACTCTACATGATCTTTTTGACGCAGGGTAAGGATATTATGGCGTACCTTTAAACGCATACGAGACGCTAGGCTCATCAAATACCAGATTTGGAGGCAGCCCATTGCTCATGCTCGGGTTCATCATCTCGGTACATTGAGAAAAGAGCATCTTCCCCATCATCTGCAACGCAGACCGGGCTTTATCCATGGCCAATGTCACCGTGGAGGCTTGAAAGTTTCCACCGTGAAGCACCCGGGCCGTTTGGACATCTATGACGGGATTGTCCGTGGTTGAGTTTAGTTCTGTGGTGATGTGCTTATCCGCAAGCACTAGATCTTCTAGCAGTGGACCGATCCATTGAGCTGAGGTGCGTATTGGGTAGCGATCCTGATATAGGTCATCCGAGTGCTCCATGCCGGTTACAGAAACCTGCTGTGTAGCAAGGCGAGAACCACGGAGAAAGCCCAAAATATTTCGCGCGGCTTCGATTTGACCAACGTGGGGGCGGACTTTGGCCAGGAAAGGATGGAAGCTTTCTGTGGTTCCGAGGAGAGCCTCTACAGCCATTGCCGTGAGGATCTGTGATAGAACAGTAAATTGGTGAACTTGATGCAAAGCTAAAGTCGCCACTGCAGCAGACACCGCCGTCCCATTCACCAGTCCCAGGGCTTCTTTGGGACCAAAGGTAATAGGGTCAAGCTGGAGCAGTGTCAGTGCTTGAGCGGCATTAACGAGTGTTCTAGAGTCACTCTGTCCCGTCCAAAGAAACAGTTTGGGATTGCCTTCTAAGACTCCTGCAATGTAGGAAAGAGGGCTGAGGTCTCCTGAGGCGGATATGCTGCCTCTTATGGGGACCAGCGGTATATAGTCTTCGTTAAGTAGTCGCTCCAGCATCTGGATGATTTGATATCTCACGGCCGAGTGTCCCCGAACCAGAGCATTGCATCGGACAGCTATTGCGGCTCGGACCCAGGCTTCGGGCATAGATGTAGAACTTGGGCCATGGCTCTGGTGCCCGGACAATACTCCGCACTGCTGCATCTGCATAAGTGCAACCTGGAGAGCAGCCGTGTCTGCAGAGCGAGTATTCGCGCTGCCTCCAAAACCAGTCCCAACGCCTGCATGATGGTTCAGCTAGCGACACGCCGTGGAAAGCGGCAACTTCTTACCGTAAAAGACCTGGCCTTGGTCCAGGAGCTCTTTTAGACAGTCAACACTTTCATTGACCTTGGCAATTGCTACAGGGGAATCATCGACCCTGGCCTTGTGGCCGTAACTAAGGAACACGGCTGTCAGAATAGATGCTGCTCTGGTGGCAAGCTGCAAGACGGTCACCTACCGAGATATGGCGATGACATCTGCAATGGACAACGATTCGCCATCCACAGGGACGGGGCTGCCATGGTCTCTGAGCAGAGACTTGAGCCGTTTCCAGGTGGCGAGTGTCAATCGCGTATGATGATCTACATGCATGGCGAATTGTGAGGCAGGTCTGTATGTATGTGACTCTGGGTTGGAGTAGGCGGTAACTAGAACTCGTTACTCAACAAGTGTCGGCAGAAAGAGTTCTGGCATTAGAGAAGGTGTATATGGACATGGAGGGAGTAGCAAGGCCCGAATTATCTGGGAATGTGGTTCCGGCTTTGCTTGCCTGGCTTCAATGCCATTTAAACTCGTAGGCACATGCACATGTAAAGAAAGAGTCAAGTTGCAGGCGCGTTCGAGCCAAGAAAAGTCTGGTCGGGCCAACATTTGAACAGTGAACTGGCCAAATGCCAAGTATGAAGGGGCTGCCCACGGGCCACAATAGCTCACAATTGAATGGCCAAATATAACGGCACCCGGGTAAATACATGTATTGTCTATTCAGATCATTGATGGCAAAACAGACCGCAGCAGTCGGTGCCACTACAAGGCGAGAGCGTACCGGCATCTACCGTTGACCCCTTCGCGCTTCTGTTGGTGAGTCTGATGCCGACCACAATGTCGGGGGAGACTGCTACCATAGCAGTTGACATTTGGGGACATGACATCTGGAGCTTCTGATAAAATTGGGCGTCTAGTTTGCGTTTTTGCGTAGTGCCATGGACCACGGCAGCCATCAATCGATCCTGGTAGGATCGACGAATCCCCCATCCTCCGGTCTGCCGGGCGAGTGCCATTCAAGGATCAAGGATCAGTGCCGTCACATCCCCAACCTTGTCTTCATCTGACATGATTCCAGCAGGCAGCGTAACAGAGCAACTTCAAGTTCCATCAACAACTCGGTCTCTCGCCCCATTCGCTCCTTCTTCTACTCCATCATCGCTGACGCTCCATTCAGCTCGCGGGACGTCAACCACAACCGTTTTGCCATTGTCCTCAATTCCAGAACCGTTACATTAATGCGGGGTGACGAAACGGTTGGCTGTCCTTGGCTGCCCGCCTGCATCTCATAAAACCCTGGCGCCTCTTGTTGTGATTAATTTGATCGGATGGACGGCCCGCCTATTTTAATCCCATGTCGATGGCCGCTTCTGGAATAAACCTGTCTGATGCGTCATCTCTCCATGCTGCCCGCCCATCTACATCACACCACGAATACAAGAGAGACAATTTTCTGAGACTTGGACAGAGGGCTGCCCATGCGCCTCAGTTGATGGAACATGTCGACGCGACGTGGTAGCGTTTTGTCTGCGCCGAGTTGTTGGAATGCCAACCATCCCAGACATGTCTTTCCCTTTAAGCAATCGGTTGGTTACCATAGCGCTCAGGCTGGGCAGCGCCGTCTCGCCAAGATGGTATTCATGACGCGCAAGGCGTGCTCTGAAGTACATCCCAAGTGTCTTGAGCGCCAAATATCTGATGGAGAAGATTGAATCCTAATCCTACGCTCGCACTTTTGTACAGTGGCAGTGGCCGCAGGAATACATATGTGCTCCTTTGCAGGCAAATGACCGCGATTGCCGCAGTGATGGAGAATTATGCTGATGAATAGCACTTTGGATCACTTCAGCAGGGCTCTCTAGAGATTGTATATTCCCAAGTGACTGAGGCCCCCTGTTGGGCTTGTGAATACCAGCGGTGCTGAGAGTGCTGAGGCAGCTATTTTGCGCAAAGTTTGGTATTAGTCTTTTCGAAACAATAATTAGTAAAGCAATAAAAAAGGAAGAGGGTATGCATATCTCATTTCAAGTAATATCTGCGCATCAAACAGACAGAAAGGAGCCTTCGGCACGGCTGATTGTGAAAATGCCTACCAGATTTGCTCAAAAACCTCGAAGCCGATAGAAACGGGTCGATAGTATATTCCTATCTACGAACCGTAGTCCAAGCATCAGAGCCATCACCACCATCCAAGCCATTGCAGTCGTGTTCATCAACTAGACCTATAGCCTTATCTGAAACCGAAGCTTGGCAAATGATGACTCGATTCACCTGGTGTGCATCCGTCATGATGCGTTTCGCCCACTGCCATTTCGTACGCATAGCCCCGGTAACATCGTCCACACCAGAGGCCGCATCGTCGTCATACGTTGCACTGTCCCCTGATTCACTGAAATGTAATTGCCGTATGAGAACCGCGTCCGCGTACTGTTTCGGATCTTGTGTAAAAATGCCAGGAACGTCCGTGACAAATACGCATCGTCGCACGCCAGGCAGATGCGTCGCTAATTCATGCATGAGAGCATCACCCGACAGGATTGTAGCCCCCCATGCGTGATCCAGGACGGCGTCGCCAAATAACACGGGAACAAACCCCTGCGTCAGCAGATTCGTCACCCGGGTTATCAATCGACGGCTTCCCTCCTGCGTCAAAACTCCTTGATCCGTCTCAACCGTGTCATAGGTGGACACTGATAGAACTGGCAGTCTTCCCCGGTCCTGCAACAGTTGCAGAATATGATGGTGCAGTTGCAATACGCGTTGCCGTGTCAGTGCCATGCCAAACTTGACTTCATCACGCCGTTCCTCTTCTTGTCGCGTATGGCCATCCCGTTTGTCCTCGGTCGCTCCTGTTGGGCTCAACCAACCTGCTTTGACATTGTACTTCTTGGCCGGAGGGTGTCCAAAGCTTCCAGCTCCATGAATCAGAATCAAACGTCTTCCCAATGGTCTCAGTTTATCTTGATAGACTTGAACTACCTTATCCACCAGGCCATGAATGTTTGGGGAAAGGGTGTCGGCGAGGGACTTGTCTGTAATGGCAGCGCCGCCGAGTTTAACTACGACAGTTTCCATTGCAACAGGGCGGAAACCCGTGCCTGTGATAGAATGTGAAAAGCGAGGTGGTAGATAAAAAGTCAAAACGACGAAAGCGAGACGGCAATCAGGAACAGACAAGGGACGCTGAATATGCGTTTTTTGTGTTCTCGCACGTGATTGTTGGTGTAACGGTCTCTATTTCTCAGCATTAACCCCGTTTCTAATCACAAATGGCTTTGAAAACGTGTCTGGCATTTGTTGTGCAAAAGTTTACGAATTCGTTAGTGTAAGCAAACAATTATTTCAACGATAATTATCATGATAAAGAAGACGAAACGCTCTTTCATGACTTAAGCGAGCGACATAAAGTGGATCCATGACAACTCTCGCGAGCCTCGCCGTTGGAATTTCTACTCACTGCCATCCCCTCGATGCATAATAGTTTTTGTCCTGATCAAACAATTTCGTGACGGCAGATGTCCAGAAGCATTTTGAAAAGGCATTGAAGCAGCATGGCAATGGAACCCCAGCATCCAAACGATTCCTATCGTTGGCCCTCCATGGCCTTTAGTGGCCATCTAGAAGATCCGGCAGATTGACGATCAATCTCAATCGTGATTGCACAAATTTGAAAGTCATCCTGTTATGGTCCGAGTGTAATACCAAGAACTCACCAGGCAAATCATCACCCTCTATCAACGTCATCGCACCTTTGCAATATTTCTGTACTTGCAGTCCATCCCGTTCCAAGCTACAAACGACAGTTTCACGGCATATCTTACTGTAACTAGGGTGTGAGGGTGCAATGGCAACAATACAAATCAACCAGGTAAACTGCTGTGCTTCGGAAAAATGTCCAGAATGGACCTCTCATGCTCATTGCCATTTTTTCAAGGGAATGACGAAGGCCTAGGCCTCGACTTTTGGCAAAGTCGTTAAACCATCAATACGCTTCCGCTGATCGCCCGAGTCCATGTCACGACAACGCTCATTATCGTCTTCCGACTGTCCTGTGAAACCAAACACGGCCTCACCGGTGCAATTCATCTCGTTCCTCACGAACTTTGCGTCCTGGTTGTACCAAGCTTCGCGTTCTGCACAGAACACCCACCCGTACTCCGTATACTGACACACAATCTCCTCAACCGCGGCCCGAGCAACATGTTCTTCGGACTACCAGACGACCTAGTACAGGCTATGCAGAAAATTCGGGTCCATTGGGTAAAACCTCCGATATGCGAAGTCAAGCACAACCCTCCCGCCATGTTGTGTCAGCTTCGTCCAGAGAAAACCAGCAGCCGGTCGGCGTCTCCTGGCCATTCATCGGGCGCTCTCATGCGCCACGCGCTGGCTCAGCTACCACCAGATCAATGAACGAGACACTTTGGGAAAGCTGAAGAGTCAGGAATGTGACAAGCCACTTCGGGCGGAGTCAGCTTACAGCATGCGGTGTAGACGATTGGCAGGAAGACGTGCTGACAATTGTTCATCACAATCAATTTCTGCCATGGCTGGAGTCAACCTCGGTGTCGTTTGCCTCTGTGCAACAGCCAATTTACTACTTTTGGTGTTTTGTGGCTGGTCCGGTACGCATTGGGCTGACTTACACTTCACGGCTGAACCGAACCCCGGGTCCAGGTTGCGAGCACCTCAAGAAACGATATATTGACGATATCCCATCTCACAATTTCCATCATGTCGAGCAGCATTGTAAAAGCATTACTATATAATTACTTCAACAGAAACATCCGTCTCATAGCATCATGAGCGCCGAATGCCACGCATGCACGTCGGTGGCATTCTCCGGCAACATCAAGAAGCGGCTCATTGTGTGCTGCGACGGCACCTTCAATGGCGTCGATAAAGGAACCGACGACTACTCTAGTAATGTCGCTCGTTTGTGCCGTGTGATTTCCAACATCGGCATTTCCAAGACTGGTGAAAAGATACCACAGGTGGTATACTACCAGTCCGGTGTTGGTACAGGCTCCTTGACATATGTCGACAAAGCTCGCCAAGGTACGTCAAGACAGTCTCCATGTCAGTACATCGTCTAATCGCGCTGCAGGTGCCTTTGGCGGGAGTCTCGCAGAAAACGTCTGCGGGGCGTACAACTACCTCTCAAACAACTGGGGGCCAGGAGACGAAATATTCATCTTTGGCTTCTCCCGGGGCGCTTACACGGCCCGCTCTCTGGCCGGTATCATCTGCCAAGTAGGCCTCCTCACGCCGCTGCTCATGGACAACTTCTTTGAGATATACAGCGCGTACAAAAATAGAGGAAATCAGGCCTTCGACGAGACGACGTGGGCAAATCAGCCTCTCGTCCCAGGCGAGCTCGGCACCGTTCCTCCGCGAGACGGTGTGCCGCCTCCCTCCTACGGCACTCGCCTCCAACACCTCCGCAAAGTTGCCCATTTGCATGTCAATATCAAGGTAGTCGGAGTATGGGACACAGTTGGTAGTGTCGGCGGGCCGAACTGGTTTGGCCAGGCCGGAGAGGACACCACGTTTCATTCCACAAAGCTCAGTCCAAGTAAGCACGACTCACGCTCATCCTGCTCGTGTTAAATTCAGTAAAGAGGGGCAAAATATGCTAATCCCGTCCGTTTCAGAGATTGAGAATGCCTTCCACGCACTCGCACTAGACGAAAGCCGTGGAAATTTCCCCCCTACCTTGTGGCATATTGACTCGACGTGTATGCAAGAAGACGGTAAAACACCCAAGGTGAACCTCAAGCAGTGTTGGTTCCCGGGCTATCACTCCGATGTAGGGGGTCACAGCCAAGGTTCAGTCGACACAAACAGCGTCGACGAAATCGCCTTCTCCTGGATGTGCGACCAGCTCTTTGGGCTCCTGCAACTTAGCAGCACCGCTTTGCAGAAGTACATTCTCTTGAGGATAGGCGATTCTGGAATTGACACGAAAAACAAGAATATTCGTAACTTGTCTGCCGAATGGAAGGCCATTGCATGGAGCAACGGTGAGCTCGAAAACACAAACTCCTTCACGAGCTTGTGGTGGCTGCCGTCGCTAGTGTCCACGGCCAAGCCCGCCTATCATCGAATCCCGGGCGAGACAAAGGCGTATGAAAAAATCGGCAGCGAGAAGAAGAGTATTCCGTGGAGGCAGTTTAACGAGGAAGTCCACCCCAGTGTGATCCATCGAGTCAAGAACAGAAAAGGCTACATGCCGGGCCCGTTTTCAAGGGGTTGGAAGTACGTGGAATCAACAAATGGTGCTCGCGCATATTGGGTCAAGGGATCTGGTGAAGACGCCATTGTTTTGAATGAGTACCTTATCCCGAAGCTCGGGGAATTTGACAAATCCGTGGGTAATGACCACTGGCAGAGTAGCTTGGAGCGTACATTTGCTCCCAAAGATGTTGTTGACAAGCAGGACGCTGTACAGCGATAGTTCCTTTTGTATGTTGACCGCGACAGTTATTCTACTTTGGAATGAATTTGGTACCTAGCATTCACATGCTTTCTTGAATGAACATGTACGCATGTTTTTACAGATGCATACATGGTTATCTCCGGGTGTGCACTAGAAGATGAGAGATAATACTATCCTGAGTGATAAGTTTGTGTCGAAACAAACCGCTACCTCTTCCCGTGACGTCAGATCGACAATGAAGAACGTCCAAATTAGAGAAACAAACATCTCGTGCCCTAGAAGTGACACAAAAGCCCAACCTTTAGCGCAAGGAACAGCATTCAATGTGAAAGGAGGCACCGCTGTGTTGCGCCTTATGGGAACGGGTATGATGATCTTGGTACGGTTTCACAGAGAAAAGTGTACGGTCGTTACAAGAAAAGTCACTAGATATCACATTATCATAATCTATAAACAAAAGCGCTAGCACCATGGTCCCTCAATGCTCACATCCATCAACACATGAATTATTGTTGAACGCCACCCACGCTATGCAGAAATACCGATCTATCTCGTCAAATAAAAAGGATCTGACAGGAGATAGAGGCCTTTTGAAGCATTATCAATTCTCGTGTGTCTCCATCACAAACACCAACAGTGCGTTCCACACCTAACATGCTTCACGTAAGATCCACCGCTCTCTCAACACCGTCATATCGAGCCCTCAATCTCTTAGGCGACGAACTTTGACTTGATCGCAACGGCTGGACAAAGTACGGTGACGACTCAAGTTGCGTAGACTTTTGTCTGGTGATCACCTGTGGTGAAATAAGGACAACGTCTTCCACATCGACTAGTTCAATAGATGCTAGGTTCTGTCTTTTTGGCGTGGTCATTGTGCTTTGAGCTTCGACTTCGGATGAGCTGGGCAGTCTGTGTGACAGATAACCGTCAAGCTTTTGCTGAGATGAGCCTGTGGGTTTCGTAGCCGGTTCTTTCGGTTTGGCCTTGTCGGCATTTTTGGCTGCTGGTTTTCGACTTGGCGAAGATGGCGCTGAGTAGAACACATCGTCTGGGCTGGTACTGCTAGTGCCAGGGTTGCCGTTGGGAGGATTGACTAGCTTCACCTGATTGTCATCACCAGGAAGCTGCTTCTTCGGCGGCGACCTAGTCGCATCAGGTTCGGCTTTACCTGAGCCATCTCCCACTAGTAATCGTGGAACATGCGCCAAGACGGCTGTGGCATCTGACTGCTTCCGTAGTAATTTTTCCCTTACGGTAGTTGGGGGGAAAGCAAGCTGATTTGCCACTCGGGTGGTGGCAGCTACTTTCTTCTTCTTCTTAGCAGACAGCAGTCGTTTTTCGGCCCTTTCCCTTTCTAGCCACTCGTGTTGCTCCTTTTGCAGTTTGAACAAGAGATCACGCACTCGATTTCGCAAAAGAGACGGGCGAATATCCCAATTTACCGGCTCCTTCTGGAACAGCTTGCGGACAGTCTCGGCAGGGTCTTTCAAAAACTCTTCCATGTAACCAAGGATGAAGACACCGCAGTCGCAAAAGTTGTCCTGTTCCGGAATCTTTTTAGCAGTCATTCCGGTGGGAACCATGGCCAAATCAATCCCTTTCTTGTCCTTTACTTCTGCTATGAGGTATTCTTTCAAGACTCGACAAGTGGCTGCATGTGGATTCCCCAAAGAGTCTAGTGTGACTATTCTTGGTAACCTGGGATCAACATGCGATGCCGCTGCCAGCCTATTATTTGATGTTGCAATTTTCGGGGCTGGTGACGATTCTTGCAACGTCCTTGAAGAGGTGGGAGGCTCCAGATCAACCGGCTCTTTGGAGATTGGCGTGCTGGCATCGTCACTATGTATGGAGACATCTGGCATGTCTCGCGCAACCAATCCTATCCCCGGAGGTGTTGCCTCCTCTTTCGCCGGGGTTGCATCATCCTTGGGCATGCCACTGACAGCATTGGGTGTGTTGCAGATTATTGCCAGATACCAGTGGGCATTTTCATTGACGGGGACCACAATGTAGTCGTACGAAAGCAGATCGAATTTTGCTGTCCAGGCCCTCACGCCGTCATAGTTAACCTTGCCTTTGGTTGATCTCAGCTTCTCGAAGAAAAACGTGCTAAAAATATACACCTTGCTCAACAGTTCGGGCCGCTCGCTCTCCAGCTTGAACTGAAGATATCGCACGTAGAAGTTTATCAAATTATCGTTTAGAAATTCACCTTCATCAAGCCTCAGGATATCGCCATCGTCAACAGTTGCCCTATTTTTGCCAGTAGGAGGGAAAATAAGGGATTTGTGCCAACTTGCCCTCCACAATGGATTCCGATCAGTCCACCGGTCAGGCCTCGGATCTCGCGTAATATGGACAGGTGAAGACCTTCGGGTTCGACGGGTGGTAGGGGCCAGTGAAACAGTGACATCGTCATCTTTAGCATCGCCCGTGGCCTGGATTTGTTCGGCCGATACAGAGTTCTCCAATTTGTCAATTATTCTCTCCCGCCGTGGTCCGCGAGTTGGTTCCTTCTGGGCTTCTGTCTGCCCGTGGACTTTCGTCGTTGCATGTGGTGGACTGATTTCCAACCTAGAGGTAGTGCTGTTCGGGGTCTGTCTGGTATTCTGGGTGGTATACGTTGAGGCTGAATCAAAAGCCTTTTGCCATCTACGTCGGAGAGTCTCACTGGGTAATATTGACGTCAGCAAACAAGTTAGTTTTCAACAAGGTGGCGAAAACTCACGAGGTGCATGTGGACGTTTTAACATGACAAGCTGCTTGTACCAGGCTAAATACGTCTCGGTGATCGGTAAATTCCAGCCACAAGTTTGCCTCAAAATCGGTACCCCGCGGCCGTAGTATACGAACATAATGGCTGCTGCTCATAGCATGTTCTATGGTGGTGATGCTCTCCAACGGGACCCTCATCCATTGCAACGGCGGACTCTCCTCTGCTGGAAATTTTGGTACGAGTGTTGCGGAGTTACCATCTTGCTGAAGGATCAATTGCCCACGTTGGTCGTCGTCCGCATTGTAGATATGCTTCCCCGACACTGCTCTCCTCACATTTAGGTCGGGAATGCTAGAGTGGGTAGTCGTAGAAGTCATAATGTGCGCGTGCGCGGGCTTCGTGAATTGTGTACTTGGGATATCACCCCGTGAAAATAACCGTCTTTTTGGACTGGGCAAGGCGGAGAAGTTTGTTCGTTTTTTAGACACATGAGAAGGGTCTCTGTAGAGTTCGTCTTCGGAGTCGATGGATTCTCCCCGTGCAAACTTTGGACGCTTGATATGCGGGCTTGAAGGGTCGGCATGGTTCGACGGTCGCGACCGCTTGTTCGCCTGGGGCATGGTGGGCATGAAGGTTGGAACTGAGGCTCAAGGCATCTTCTTGGGAGGCAGCAGCTAAATACATACGGCATCTTTGTCTATACCGTCATATGCCCAGCTGCCGGCAGCTGCGACCCAGGTGTCAAAGACGGTGTCAAAAGAGTCGAGTTCAAGGCGAGTTGAAAACAACGACAGCGGCAAATGTGGGGCTACACAATCGTGGGTACCTGGCTGGGCGCTCGGTAAGGGTAGAGACACGCAGGACACATGCAAGCGACAACATTGAACATTGAAAGCTGCACATGTGTATACCATGCAGCCAAGGTACCCGTGATAGCCCACCTGAATCGCATTGCTGCAGAGGACAAAGCAGACTGCTGTGCGCATGAGGCCATGAGGAATACAATGAGGCAGAATGAGGCAGGGAGGCGTTGATTGACAGCTTACTACGGAGTGCTGGTCTAATAATACATACCAAGTACCTAAAGTACCTAGGTCTAAGTAGGTACCTAGTAGGTTGCCCAGTAGAACCTGCAAATGATTGGAATGCAGAGGCACAAAGACATCTGGAAATGCCAACAAGCCACACGGCGGGAGAAGAACGCGGGGCAGACAGACCGAATCCAGTACATTAACTTAGAGACAAAGGGACAGGGGTCAACCAGTCAGTCCGCCTTCCCAGAAGTACTACAGAGTAGTACGTAGTTACTTTGAGTTCCAAGGGTCTTGTTCATGGTGGTATTCGGGCTTTTGCCAATGTTGTGTGTTCCACTTTTCTTTTCTCCATCGCGATTTCGAGAGACGCCACACTACCTACCCCTTCACCTTTCTACCCCTTTGCGAGTTGATCTGTTCATCACTTGACCTGTTGAGCTAGACTTGTCCGTTCGTTACATGTCAATTATCGCTAATTTCCATTGTACGTGCTTTATTCGATATCAAAACTAGCAAAACGATGGCCGCGCAGACAGGTATTGAGGCCGCATTGGCCAAGATCATGGACGTCGTTCAGAAGCAGGTGAGTTCTCATTTTGGACACGTCACTCAGGGGTTCTCGATGAAAAGGGATAATTGTACACAACGGCGCATGCGCCGCATATCACCAAGTTCACAACAGTTTGATGGATTTGACCAAGTCATTAATCATGTCCGCCGCGTAGAATGAGGAAATGTCCGAACTGCGCCAGGAGTGCGCCCAGCTGCGCCATTCTAACACCGAGATTAGCCAGCTCCTAAGAGAGACTGTCATGGTAGGTTGATACTGAGCATTTGGGTCGGGATAGATATTCATTGTCTTCCTGCAATTCTTGGGGTAATAATACTGACGCGCATCAGCAGGGTCGTCGTGATAGCACTGGTCTCGCCGTCTTCACCCCTGGTGGCGATGGCTCACTGCGGTCATTCAGTCCTCACCCTCTGCCCAAGCTCTCTCCGGCCATGAGATACATCCCACCGCCTTCGCCCAGCCCGCAGCTAACTGTACCCGCAATGGACCGTGAAATCCCTGGCTTCTACGTCATCATTCCTGCTGGTGGTGCCGGTACTCGTCTTTGGCCCCTATCCCGTGAAAATCACCCCAAGTTCCTCTTGGATATTGACCTTTCCGGGCGCAGCTTGCTCCAGTCGACATGGCACCGTCTTGTTCCTCTTGCCGGATCATCCCGCATGACTGTTGTGGCCGGACCATGCCACTCCGAGTCCATTCAAACCCAGCTCCCTCAGCTCGAGTCCGACAACCTCTTCACTGAGCCTGGTCCCAAAGACTCCATGGCTGCCATTGGCCTTGCTGCCGCCATTCTCCTGCACCGTGATGAAGATGCTGTCATTGGATCCTTTGCCGCCGATCATATGATTGCCGGTGAGGATGCCTTCCTCAACTCCGTCACTGAGGCTGTCAAGGTCGCCAAGGAGGGCTTCCTTGTTACTATCGGCATCGCTCCGTCGCATCCCGCCACTGGTTTCGGCTACGTCAAGCTGGGAGACAAGTTGGATGTTCCTAACGCTCCCTCCGCCCGCTTGGTCAGCGCATTCAAGGAAAAACCCGATGCTTATACTGCCGCCAAATATCTGTCATCCGGTAACTACCGCTGGAATGCGGGTATGTTCGTCACCAAGGCTTCTACTCTGATGGACCTAGTGAAGGAGTATGAGCCCGAATTGCACAGTGACTTGACCAGAATTGCAAAGGCTTGGGAAGACAAGACGCAGCGAGAGACTATCCTCAACGAGGTGTGGCCTACGTTGGAGAAGGTGGCCATCGACAATGCCATTGCTGAGCCCGCTGCCGCTGAAGGCAGAGTTGCCGTGATTCCCGCTACGTTTGGTGAGATGAGTCCATATGTCTCACTACACAGAAGTCATGCTAACATGTTCTAGGTTGGGACGATGTCGGTGACTTTTCTTCCCTCGCCGAAATGCTTCCCGCTGAGGCCAACTCCCCGAGGATTCTTGGCGACCGTAACTTGGGTACGCTGCCATGTCTTATCGTCCTTTGCAATTTCACGCACTAACTCAGTTATAGTTGTTGCCCAACAAGCTCCCGGTGGCATCGTCGTTCCTGGCTCTGGCCGTCTTGTCGCCTGTCTCGGTGTCGACGACCTCGTCATCGTCGACGTGCCAGACGCGCTCATGGTCACTACTCGTGCCCGTGCGCAGGAAGTCAAGTCGCTTGTTGCCAGCTGCCGTAAGGCTGGTTTCAAGAATCTCATGTAAGATAGGCGTGTGCTAGACAAAAAAAAGTGCGTACGTGCCTAGCTAGAATTTTTTGTCCTTAGTTTTAGTAAGTGTAGGACGGGCATAATGGTGGAAAACTCTTATTGGCTGTAATATATTGATTGTAATAGGAAAGGGCGGGACGGTGGATTTCTACGGAGAATATGTAGCGTTAAGCAAAAATCCTGCTCTCTAGTTTTTCTGTCTTTTGCGCGTGGTGAATCTGTTTGTGAGTGGCTTGTCTTGCAAAACTTGTGGAAGCGACCAAATGGCCGAGGCGCTTACCGCCGAGTAGAAACCCCTCAACACCTCGTTTCCACTTCATCTACATGTCTGCATCTACATACCCAGATGCTCAATTATGTAAGTACGACCAACTCTCAGCGACCCCGTCATCGACAATCAATTACGCGGACAAGACAGCCCTAGTTACTCGATCCCCTCTTCATTCATACACTTGGCGGCACCTTCCATCATGCCGTCCAAAGACGACCTCCTCGCAAAGCTCACCAACATCCTCCAAAAGCATATATCAGAGACCTCCACGCCTGGGCTCTCCGCCGCCATTCTCACGCATAGCACCTGTCACACCCTCACCGCCGGCCACGCCAATCTCCAGCCGCCACAGCCCATCGAGCCCTCTCACCTATTCGGCATCGGCTCCATCACCAAAGTATTCACTGCGACCGTCATCCTACAACTCATCGAGGAGGGCAAGCTGAGCCTGTCCGACACTGTCTCTCAACACCTTCCCCCAGAAACCTACGCCAATATAGACGACGCTGCAAACGCAAGTATTTCCCAATTATTACGCCACCAAGCAGGAATTGACAGCTGGGAAGACGACCCTGAATGGATCGCGCATGGCCGCGGCAGGTACCTTGTTCCGGCACACGTATGGTCCAAAACGGAGCCATTGGGATATATCCGGAGGCCAAAGAAAACAGCGCCCAGGAGCGGCGAGTGGTATTACTCCAATACGAATTACACCCTTTTGGGTCTCGTCATTGAGAAAATCACAGCCAATACGGCGGAAAGCGAGATACGAGCGCGAATTCTAGAGCCGCTGGCCTTGAGGAACACTTACCTCGAAGGGTTTGAGGCCGCAAGGGGACATGTGCCAAGTCGATACCACTGGGTGACGGATACGTTTCGTTCGACGGCAGGAATATGCCCCTCTTTCCCGCTCGTCAGGGATGACTTGCTCGACGCCACGACGTCCAATCTATCAGTCGAGTGGACGGCGGGCGGAATGCTCAGCTCCGCCTCGGATCTCGTAAAGTTTGGGCAGGCCCTTCGTGACGGGAAGCTACTGAAACCAGAGTCTTTGGACACTATGAAGCAGTGGATAGGTGCTGCTACGCCGGGCAGTGAGATGGGCCACGGGTTATTCAGGATGAAGTTTACAGGGTCGGGCGGGAGCAGCTATTGGAATGGGCACTTTGGGGGCGTGTTGGGCTTTACGGGTGGTTTGTGGTGGGCGGAGGACGGTGACGTCGTGGTGGGAGTGTTTTCGAATGTTGGGACGATGCATGCTGGGAGTGTGGCAGGCAGTGGTGCGCATGTTATCGTGGGCACAGAGTTTCTGGGGACGGCGAGGGAGTTGGCGGATTGTGACTGTGGTGATTGATTGTATGATGGAGATGATGGCTTCGCGGGAATGGCGCGAGCGTGTCCCATTTTATGTGCCTCGAAACGGCGAAAGAGGCTGGTGAAATATAACTTGGAGGCTGGCTGGCGTTGTGGTGGTGCTAGATTAGCTTGTTTTGCATGGACATGTCAACGTCTGCCACATGGTGAATAAGGAGGTCCCGACACGAAGGAAATATCGCACCGAGCCACTGCCAATTACCTACATCCTCAGGAGTAACAACAGCGTTATCCTCATTTCAGACTGCATAACGATCAGGGAGACTAGGCAATACGGCAGGAGAATTTGGTGTATCATCTACCCAGGCTGCACTAGTGAAACGCCTTAACTTTGGCTGTACTTGGAGTATTTTGGCATGAAAAGGAACCAGCATCTACCTAGGTAGCTAGATGAGAAGTTTATAAGTTGAAATTGAAGGAATCCTGGTCGTGATTGTATGTATCGTGTTTTGCAGCAACGGGTTTCAAGTGGGACCCGTCAACTTCGATGCCAAGATGTGTCGCATCAATCGCTTGACCTCAGTGCTCCATTGACAAGCTCCCCACAACGTGTCCTCCCGCAACCTCACGCCAAACCATCGTCAAGCTCGCCCGCAGCTTGCATCCAACATCCAAACCGCCAAACTCACCCGCCGCGCCGCATCTCGCGCGGCCCATCTCCTCCAAAATGCATTCGTCCTTCACCCGCATCCAAAATGTCTTCGGCTTCTTCACAACAGTCGCCTGCGTGCTAGCCGGCTTCATTGCTGCAACCGACCTCCTCGCCGCCCGCAACCCCAGCGGCACTCTCATCCCGACCAACATCCAAGTGTAAACTTCCGCCCCCTTCTCTTCCCACCTCCTCGCCGAGCTCTAACAAGCCACTATCCTCAGAGTCAAAGGCCGCCCCCACTACTATAGCAGCAAAAAGGAAGAATACGCCATCATCAAGTTCTCCCTCGACGCAGACCTCTCGAGCCTCTTCACATGGAACACAAAGCAGCTCTTCGTCTACGTCACCGCCGATTGGCCCTCCGCCGAGGGCCAGAACGCTACAAACTCAGCCGTCATCTGGGATAGCATCATCACGAACCCCAGCGCCGACCACCTGCAGAACATTGGGCCCATTGCCATGAAGAAGCTCAAGCGCAGTGCGGAAGGCAAGACGATTGATCCCAGCCGGTGCGTTCTCTTTTTCACCCCTCCCTTCCCATACCTGACAATGGTCTTGGGTGAGGAAGAAATAAAGGTTGCAAAATAGAAAAAGCTAACAGTTTTTACAGTGGCCTTCTTAAACTCAACAACCAGCGACCAAAGTACCAAATCACGCATCCCTCGGGCAAGATTGCCAGCGTCAACGATGTGACCCTTAAGCTGCATTATAATGTCCAGCCATGGGTTGGCCTGCTTACGTGGAACATGGACAAGGTTATCGGGTGGTGGTTCCCAATGGAGAAGGGCGTGAGCGAAAAGTTTGAGTTTCCGGCGGTAAAGACCAAGGATGCGAAGAAGAAGGCCAAGAAAGCCTAGTCGAATCACGGGATTAGAATGGAGCAATGGAGTATAATTGGTTATATATGGGGCGTGTGTGTACTCTTAGCGCGAGGTGGTACTAGATGCTCTGTTTCTTGAGCTGTTACAACATTTGTTATCGCACGGTGCCACTGCGGTTGCGTTGCTTGATGACGACAAGTGCATACCGCGGTATGTATGGCTACTGCAGCACCAGCCTAGACATGTCAAACGTGACCAAACAGTTTCACCACTAGGGGACTTGGATACTTTTCATCTCATATATTACGTAGTAATCGTAAACACACATGGCCAGCTATCTAGACATGATTCTATCCCAGTACGCACAATAAACCCATGTCGGTAGTTTCCCACCTACCTGTCAATGGTCCAACACCCTGTTTGCCCGTCCCTGTCCGTAACATGACCGAGTATTTACTTTAGACATGACATCTAGCATGAAAAATAAACCGCCTTAGCTCCGAGCCGGGGGAGTAGTTCCCCCCCGTCCATTGCCTCCTCTTCCTCTGTTCGCGCCACCGCGACCTCTGCCTCGGCCACGGCCCCGTCCACCACCGTTGCCATCCAGACTCGCGGGAGGTGGAACGCTGCTGTATTTACCAGGCTGTGGGCTAGGCGTCTCATGGTGACTGCCACGACCTCTGCCACGACCGCCACCGCGCCAAGTCGTCCCGTTGGCAGTCTGTTCCGGAGGAGTCCTACTGGAACCATCACGGTACACCAGTGTGCTGTGGAGCAAGTTGGGTGCGGTCCCATTGCTGCCGCCGCGTTGGGGTCCCATGCTGGGGCTGCCTCTACCTCTACCGGGAGATCCTCTACTAGGAGAGTTTCGTCCGGGAGTGCTATGGCCACTGCCGTTGAGAGCACCTCGCCATCCACCACGTAAAGGAGCGGGAGCGGGAGCATCCTTGTACTGGGGAACACCAACAGATCCGTAAAATCCTGTGGATATTGTCGATGTAGCTCGCTTCTGCTGAGACTTGCTGGACGCAGAGATGACTTGCTTGTCGGTCGTATTCAACACGGATGAAGATGGTACAGTTTGGCCTCGGAACATAGGAGCTCGTTCGCCCAGAGTTGTACCACTCATAAATGATGTATCCCACACCACATCAAGAAGCAGGGCGGTAGCAGTTCTACTGATGCCCGCTACTGTCCCTGGTGTAGCAATGGGCACCTTTCCGGCCGAAGCAGCGAAGGTCACACGATCACCCAAGCTGAAGTTCTGGTTGCCCAGAACCAACTCTGCATCAGATGGCTTCAAAATTGCCGCACGCGGGACGCCCTTGAGTTTTTTGATATCAATGTCTTGGGACGCTTGGTACACTTGCTCGCCAGCATTGGCCAAAGCTGTGACAACTTCGGAGTCGAGTTGCTCAGCCTCGAGTGGCACTCGCTCGAACTTGCTTGTTTCCTGCTTCTTCAACCAAGCAACAACATCCTTAACGCGCTGTGAGGCAACAACAGGGTCGTTCCACAGGTCGGTCTCGCAGATTTCACTTCTCTGTGCTCCCTTCTGTATGGCTGCGAAGAAATCGGGGAACGCAACCATGTAATCAGCAATCAGCTTTATTGCCAAGGAGCTGAATTCCCACCCAGTGTGCGCCTTTCGTGAATATCCCAGGACCTTGAGCTTGCGGGCCTCAAACTTGAGATTGAGGCCCAGATTTAGCCTCAGCCCTGCAGCAGTGCTAACTTGATAGGATGAGGTGATTTTGCTCAGTACCAAGGGGTGCACGCCCAGTTGTTTCGCCACAGCAAAGGATGGTGTGTAAGGATTGGTGCGCTCGGCCTGATGAATAATCCTCTTGGAGAACTCGGGTTCTTTATTTCTCGGAATGGAAACAACAACTTCCGTCTTGCCCTTGACATGACCAGTGACCTCGAGGGGCCGGCCATAAGCATATTCACCGAGGAAAAAGGCTCTGGTACCTAGCGGGAACTCCTCCTCGATGGGAAGAGCCTCCTTCTCGATAAATCTCTCGTCTTCGTTGACAACTTCGTCCACAACGGTCTGAGAGGCATAAACACTGCGCACGCTGGGATTTTCGGCGTATTCCTTGATTAGCGCGCCCTCTTCAGTTTTGAGGAGACCTTTGAGCATGTGCACATGTACAAGACACTCTACTTGTCCGACAATGACGCCCAGACGCTTGGCATGCCAACTCTCCAAATATTCGGCTTCCTTCGAGAAGTCAGAAGCTTCTCTATTTGAATGGTCCTTGGCGACTACATCCTGGCCATCTTCAGCAAGCTCATACGAGAAGAGCTCGTCCTGAACCTTCATAATCTTAGCTTCCTGAAGAAATGGGTAGCCCACATAGCATCGCTGGCCCAATTTAGCCTTGAAAGTTTCAATGCTCGTACGCAGATTTGTATCAGTCAGGGTGACAACAATACTCGGATTTCTGCTATCCTGCTGGAAGACGTTGATACCGTAGCCTTCGATGATTTGGGCGGTGTAAGGCAATGTATGCAGCGTCGGAAAACCTGCCAAAGCCTCAACCTTTACCAAAGCTCCAGTGGCCAAGCCTGAGACATACTCCAAACCTTCCATATCAGGCAGGTCGAAAATGTTCTCAATACAGTGGCAGCTTTGGATCTCGGGAAAGATCCCTGGCAGCGGAGATGGATATTTGAAGTTGACATCTGCAGAATACGTGAACTTGATCGGAACACCAAATCCGTTTCGTGACTTTTCATCGTCCTCTAATAGATCATTTTTGGGGGCCATAGCGTCCAGTAGTCGTTTTTCATCGATAAAGGGGATTTTAACAACGGCTTCCCATTCCATTTTCTTGCCATTCATGTCGAGTTCGAAGTCGCGGGGATAAAAGTCGATAATAGGTGAATTGGGGTTCGTCATTAGGTCGTGGTACACCTTGGGCACAATCTTCTTACTTCGATCAGGCAACACACCCATGAGCTGTTCGTATGGTTTGAAAGGTTGTCCCTTTTTGAAGCCGAGATCCGCGTTGAGGCCCTTAGCAACATCTATGTCCTGTTAAGCCAAAATCACACAATGACGAAGAAATCCATCTTACCGGAGATTAGAGGGGCATAGTGGTAACCATAAAACCATGGCCACGAAGCGATGCCCTTATAATAATAGAAGAGCACCCACTGCAGGCCTTGGACATAGTTTTGGCACAGGTCGATTTGCTCCTTTTCATACTTTTCCGGGGCCCATTCCGGGAACTTTTGCAAGTAATACTTGGTCTTCCAGCCGGCATATTTTTCATTGTAGAGCTTTTCGTACTGCTGCTGTGCCTCTTCCGACGTCACATCGACAACCAAAGCCTTGTCATATGATTTAATGACACGAAATGCAGCCAGGTTGCCTTCCTCCTCTTCTTCATCCTCATCTTCGTCTTTACCACCTCCTCGTCGAGCAGGAAATGACAGCACAAGATGGCGATCGCCATTTTCATTTTCCTTGGTAGACCAATCTAGGTGCATTGCATCCGC